TGAATGAGATTTCTTTGAGAGAGGAGAGATACTGGGTGCGGTTGGAGGCAATGTCGAACAATGTTTGGGGCGAGAGACGGTTATCTTGACACCAGAAGCGGAGATCGCGTGATGAAGTGCCTTTGCTGCGCAGTGCGGACCATTGTTCGTAAGCGCGGAGGTCTACGAGGAGATCTCCTTGGTTGTTGGAGAACGAGGCACGAAGGCGGTCGAACTCATTCCGTGTCTCTTGGTCTCGCTCTCGCGGTGATATGAACGGACTGCGTGCCGTAAGGACGGAAGCGATGGTCAAAGCAGCTTCAAGACAACCAAATGTCGCTCCATACACCAGAAGCTTGCCAAGACGGAGATCTGCTGGAATCATAGACATGTGACGACCGAGAGCAGTCAGCTCATTATCAGTTATGGCTCCCATCTGGGATAACAAGCGCACTGCACCCTCGACTGCGGTACTCTCTGGCGGCGTCAAAGCTGAAGCCAAGAACCCAGAGACATCCTGTACACCCATGGCTTTGATTGATAGACACATTTGTTCGAGCGGCACGCGCCGAATCTCGGGATCAGGTCTTTCCATCATCTTTGCCTCAGCATTTCGTGTGTACAGTTTGTAGCAGTCGCCTGCTCGCACACGTCCTGCTCGTCCACGTCGCTGCTTGCATGCTGCCCTTGAAGCCCACGTCTCTGCCAGACGGACCATGTTGTTCTGTGGGTCATAGCTCGTCTCTTTTACTCTACCTGTATCAATGACGGCGACAATATCTTCAATCGTAATAGAAGTCTCGGCAACGTTGGTACATGCAATGACCTTTCGTTTGCCATGGGGTGCGGGAGGGAACACACGCTTTTGTTCAATTGGCAAAAGTGACGCATGCAAAGGCAGTGCGTGCAGATTTGCAAATTGGCCTAACGCTTGAAGAGTGCGATCAATCTCCATGGTACCAGGTAGGAATATTAAAATACCGCCATCCTTGGATCCGAGTTGGTGATCGATGTAGCGTACAGTCTCAGCAATCAGGTCATAGTTGATGCCGAATCCAATACTGCGGAGGTTCGCAGAAAATCCCTTTTCTCCGTGGTCATCTTCCTCGCCCATTCCGTAACCTTTGAATCCAGTAAAGTGAAGAATGTCGTCCAAGAAGTAGTCAGTTACAGGGTGGGTGCGGCCTTCAATTTCCACACGGCCCACTGGCCCTACCTCTTTAAAATAGGCCTCAAAGACGGCGGCATCAAGTGTGGCACTCATAAGAATAACCTTGAGATCTTTGCGTTGCCGTAGGATTTGACGCAGAAGCACAAGCAAGAAATCGGTGTCCAGACTGCGCTCGTGTACTTCATCTACCACAACGTGGCTCACATCCGCCAGTGCAGCGACAACATCGTCGGCATTTCCGCCAGAGGTTTGGAGTCTCCTAAGAAGAACACCGGTTGTGACGAATGTTATTTTAGTAGTACCGGGCTTCTGCTTCGATTCTCCACGGATTGTATAACCGATCTCATCGCCAACTTGAGAACATCGCTCATCAGCAACGCGATCAGCAAGGCCAAGAGCGGAAATTCGTCGAGGTTGTGTGCAGATGATGTTCGCTACGGCACCAAGCTGCCGCTGTATCAAGTCGTCCAAAACAAACTGCACCGATTGGGTCGACTTTCCTGAACCCGTCTCACCTGAGATGATAGTGACTTTGCATCTATTCACAGTCTGCACAATATCTTCCCTTAGGCGCCAGGCAGGGAGCGATTTTCGAGCATCCATCATTTTTTGTTGAGGCGAAGTATCCTGCTTAGCTTGCCAGGCAGCCAGCGCATTTTGACTTGCCGGAGTCGCTGGTGTCCAATCAATGGGTTTACGTGGCTTGCCCTTTGCCCTTCGTTTCTGACTTGGTTGTTCAGACATATGGTCCGCCGCCGCAAGTCCGGAAGAGACATCTGATAATCTCCCTGGATTTTGGAATATCTCACCAGCATTCGTTTGAATCCAGTCCACGATATCATATACCATTGGCATGCCAACGAAATTTGCTTCTGCGTGAAGGAGAGCCTGCCTGATAATGCTTAAGCGAATGTAAGCTGGGATAGCAGCTTCGAATGTAATTATTGGTACGACAGCGGGGTAAGGACCAAAGGGCTTTCGGACTCGTAAAATGAGCCGTTTACCCTGTTGCTTGACGTCCAATTCGATGCGGCATGCTTCTGAAGTGGGTCGTGAAAAGAGGCGATCATATATCGCTTCCAGTGATGACATCTCCACTTCCCATGGATCGTCCTCAGATGCTTCCTCTGACGTGCCCTCTGACAGAGAAAGATCGGCCAGCTCCTGCAAGATGCTGTTTTCATCCTCTTCTGGTCGAAGAAGGCGAGCCTGCAAAAGAGCTGCCGCTTTTCTTTCATCACCACCTTGGCTATCGAAGGCTTCTTCGCATAGGTCTACAGCGTACCCGGCAGCTGCTAGACGCTTCACAGCACCTTCGCGCTTAAGGTTTGTGCTAGCCATACTAACGCCAGCAACATAACCTTCGGGTAAAGACCAAGATGGAAGATCGTCCTCTGGTACGTGGATAAGAAGCCATTCAATAATTTCCTCGCGGTCTTTGCAGATTTCAGCTGCTTCTTCGACATGGCTTTTTCGAAACCCAAGATCAGCGATTTCCTCGACCAACCTAGCCTTTATAGCCGCGTCCATCTCTACACCATTCGGGTTCCAGAGGGCATCGCGGCGGATCAAACGCTCTGCTTCTTTTCTTGTCCTTTTTCCCAACTCAATCTTTGGCACACGTTCCCACCCTTTCATCAAGTTCCTGCTTGGAGCAGACTCCTTTGAAGACCCAAGCATAGCCGCACCAGGCTGCTGGTTGTGTGCCTTCTGGGCCTCTGCCTGTTCTTTTTGCTTCTTCTCGCGTGCTTTGGCAGCTGTCTCCCGAGCCTTTTCTCTTTCTGCAAAGCCAAAGAATGGATCGGCTTCGTACATCCAGCCTTTTCCATCCTGCTCATCCCTCTTTTTCAGTTCCGTGAATTGTCCTTTCCACAAATCTTTGTAGGTAGGCGGAAGCATCATGTGCAGGTTCTTGGCGCTGGCAACACGAAAGAGGGTATATGCAGCGGCAAAGTTGCGAGCCTCAACAGCGGTGGGTTGGTGTGCTTGCTCCTCGAGTTCGGCGGGAATCTTAATTGGCGGCAAGGTCGTCGTCTCTCGTGTCTTCTGATTTACCTTGGACAACACCACAGCATAGGCAAAATGCTTGTCGCCATCCTTGCGCTACAAACCATCAGCTGCGATGCATCTGCTTTGGAAGAATATCCGTACAATGCGATAATCTGGCTTGGCCCACTGTTGCTTTTGGAAGTGTTCTGACAGTAGATTGACGGGCAATTTCCCAGTCCATGATGCGCCAGCTATCAGAGTCCGAGTATCTGGTCTTTTCGGTCCATCTTCAGGCTGAGCGGCTCCTCCCTTGCCCTTTCCTTTGCCGTCATTTTGGGCTGCGTCTCCGCCAGAGCTTTCGCCCTTTTTCTTTTTGGCCTTGCCGTCGCCAAACACAATGAAGCTTGTGTCTTCTTCGGGCAGGACTGACTTCTTTGCAGGTTTACTGCGGGGCGGGTGTGCGTTCTTTGGCATTTTGTCGGAGCAGGAAAAAGTTGTAGCGTCTAGTAATATCCATGGACAGATGTATGTGCTTCGGAAGGGGAGCGATGGACAAAGATGTCTCCTGTGTTCGTGGGCGGAAGGGCGCTCGCGCTAGCAAAAGGGCTCAATCACCAAAACTCCACCACCAGCTATCAGTGCACTTGTTCGAAGCGGAAGTGGCCGTGGATTGTGCTGTAGCCATTTCGAATGCGGCAGCGAGACACTTGGATGTTGCACGCAATCCGAAATTCCGATGGTTGCAGGGATGCCTCGGTACGCTTGGGCCACTTGTCGTGAGCCTCATCGTCATCGCCCATCGACGCGACATGTCGTTGCGACAAATCACTAAGCAATCCATTGCCGGCAGATTGTTTTAATCCCATACAGAAAATACGTAAGAGAACTCCAGGCTTCTACCAGTCACCGCGTGATAGCTTCCGGACAAATCATGTCCACAAACAACAACCACGACCTCAGCGCGGAACAACCCCGCGACGCGATCACGACAGAGGAGATAAATGGCACAGAAATGCCCAATCAACCTCAACCTACTATGGACGCTGGCTCCCAAAAACGTCCTAATGCATGTACGTTTCTGAATCATTCCACCCAGCTCCCCAAGCATCTGCAACTCACAACACAGTCACAGAACTCATGTCACAATCCAAGCGACCAAAACCACCTCCGGCTGGCATACCAGCCGCCGACTCCCCAAATACCACCAAGCAAGATTCCAAAACCTCAAAACGCTGGGATCCCCGTGATGGACTGGGTGTATACATTGAGACCCCCGAGACGAACCCCGAAGGAAGAGTCCTAGAATACGACGACGACTTTGTCGTAATAACCGACAAGTACCCAAAAGCAAGGTCAGTCTTGAGCAATCCTTCTCAGGCCCAAATAGGTATACAGTACTAAAACATGGTGTAGTGTACACCTCCTCCTCATCCCACGAAAACGAACCTACTGCACTCAACACCCCCTACACGCCCTCTCCACCGACACCACCTTCCTCGACACAGTAAGAACACGCACCACGCATCTGGTAGAACTAGCAGCAAACGAGCTGCGCCGCCAATACGGCGAATCCAGCGCCTCAGATGTGCCGTACAACACCGCTCTTGAATCCCTCATGTCCGGCCCCGACCCACCATCGCCATCCAAGCGGGCCGCTCTACTTCCACAAGGTCGCGACTGGACAAAAGAAATAGTAACAGGCGTGCACACGCACCCGTCGATGAATCACCTGCATGTCCACGTGTTTAGTCGTGATATGCATTCGCCATGGATGAAACACAAGAAGCACTATCTAAGTTTCAATACCAGTTTCCTGGTGCAATTGCACGAGTTTCCGTTCGAGAAAGGGAGTGCGAGATTTCGTCCGGGAGACTGGCCCAGCTGGGATATGCAGTGTTGGCGATGCGGACAGAATTTCAAAAACAAGTTTGCGGCGCTGAAATCGCATTTAGAAGAGGAGTTTGAGGAGTGGAAAAAGGAGTGAGATTGTTTCTCTTTTTTTGGGTGGGGAAACACAAGGGTTACTACCAGATAGAGTATGAACAAGACCTTTGGTTTTCAGAACTATCATTGTGTATTATACAATCACATTATCCCCGAGTAAGAGTTTACAAAGTAGCATATCTTGGAAAATCATTGGGCATTGAGGAAAATTCATCCACATAACAAGTACCATACTGCGACCACTCTCACTGTCTGTCGCCTATACACACAACTTAGCCAAGAAAGGCCGAAACCATTTCTTAGCGTATGACCAGAGTCTTCACAATAGTCGTGTCGATGTCATGCAAGTCGCCCGAGAACTTGCACGAGTCGCCAAAAATACAATTCTTGGTACCCTTGGCATGGTTGGTCTTATGCCGAGGTGCAGGGCACCGGTGACCGTAGATGCACTTGATGTCCTGGCAGATACTACCGTTTGCGCAGGGCGCCATGCGCGCTACCAGACGAAGTGTAGCAATCTCGCTTTCTGTGGGCTTGTAGGCATGCAGATGCGTACAAGAATCTCCGTATGGACATTCCTTGCGGAGAAAATGGATGTTGCACAGTTTCAACTTCTTGACGCGGTCGACCTCGGATTTGTCATAGTCCTTGCAGGGTGGGTCGACACGCTGCCCTGCGCGGTTGCGGGCGATGATCTCCTCGCGGCTGGCAGGCCTGTAGGTGGGCGACTTGGACTTTGGGGGTGGAGGAGCCGCAGCTTTAGCAGCGTAGTTCATAGGCGCTGAAATGGGTCTCTGTGTAGGCAGGCCATCAGAACCTAAGGTTGAAGTCGATGGAGTTCTGGCCATATGGCTCAACATGGCACCTTTGGGCGGAGGGCTTTCCCAGACCGATGAACTGCTCAATGGTCGTGTAGGCACAGGCGCTGGAAACCGAAATGGAAGACCAGTTGGTGTGACGAAGCTGTTTGGGCTACCTTTTGTTTCGGCTCCATTTGTAGCAGGGACAAAAGCTGGTGAAAGGGCTCCCAAAACAGGCCCAGCTCCCCATGATGCGTACTTGGTCTCACGAAAGATGCCGGAAAGCCTTTTTGCGTTGTACGGTAGCGAAACCAGGTCTTTGTCAAGAAGAGGGCCTCCAACGAGTACCACCTTGTCACGCAAACCCTCTTGGCTAGAGTGTTCTTCAAGAAGTCGTGTATACCCCTCGTTGTAAGAGCAGCCGAAGAATAAACGGCAGCAATGGTAATCTCGAAAGTAGAGTTTGAAAGTCTCTGCATCTTGTCAGCGTCCTGAATTGCTGCGAGATGTACATTCAGTATGCTCACCAATGATCTTTTCGTTGGTGCAATCAGTATGCATGCCTACGTCGACAATATCGAACAATGTCTTGCCCGTTGTAAATCCACGGACAAAATCTTCGAAATAAGTAATGTCAGGGATGACACTTGTGCGCACAAGCTCTTCAGCGATACCTTTGACATTGGCGTAAATCCGACAAACGATGCGCAATCCGAGTGGGGTGGTGTTGCGGGTGCTTTCGCTCTGGTCTTGCATATAGTTTTGAACCGCGGCGTGCAGCTTCGAGGCGGCGCGGCGACCGCCGTTTGCACCTTCGCGTACAAACTCATTGAGGAACTGGTGGCTCGATCAGCAAAGCAAAAATGGCTCTTGAGAAAAGGACTAACCATCATATCATCGCCGTCAATGAGTACGATAACAAAGGAGTTGTCCACCTGATACTTGCATGTCAGTCTTATGCTATGATGACTTGCAGATGCACGGCTTTCATGGTATTGCCTCAGCCTGACTCACCACTGCCTGCTGTATGTTGCTTGCAAGTCTCTCGTAGTGTTGCTTTTCAGCTAAACATTGAAAGATCCACTCGCGATCGCGGTTACGTTCGGCAAGCATGGCCTGGTTCTGTTGAACGACATATTCATAGCGGACGAGGAGCTCCTATCGACAAGTCAGACTAGTTGCAGAAGAATTTTTCTTGGAGACATACGGTCATGAATTTGGTCTTTTCCTCTTCTAATTGGTTAAGCTGCTCGAAGCGCTTGCTGAGCATGTCTAGATCATTATCAGTCTGAATCGTCGAGGGAGAAATGATGCCAATCTGGGCATCGAATGAGAGCGCCATGCTGAGATGATCAGGTGAGAGGCGTAGGCGATAGAGGGAGGTATGTGCTTATTGCAATGGGGAGAGAAAAGGTTTGTTGTGCAAGGCAGCTGCGCGTGTCAAGGCGAGAAAGTGAGGTAGAGTGTAACAAGGCAACGTGGGACAGGCAGACAAACGCTCTTTCCACAGTTCACGAGGAAGTGAAAGATGGGCAGGAGCAAACGCGGGTGAGGGGCAGAGCTTTATAGACGCTTCTAGTGGCAATGAAGACAAGATTCAGGATGCAAAAAAGTGAAAACAGAAAACAGAAAACAGAAAAACGGGAAACGGTGTTGGAGAGCAAATATAAGGAACAGTATTGAAGGACGAGCAATAGAAACAGAAAACAGATAACGGAAAACGGTTAACGATTAGTATACCCCTGGACGGTGTAACCAAGATGCAATGCAAGCTACCGGCAGAAAGGCATTTGTCTATGTATGTACAGTACATGTCGGTGTCGTTAGGGACAAACGCAACCATTAGGCGCATGAAGCCGCAGGCGAATAGCCGCCGTTGGTAAGCGTTGCATTGGCAGGAATAGGTGGCGTAGTCAGTCCATCCCTTGCGTTTCGGCGCTTAGACATGTGCAAAGAGGCTATGTTTGCAAGGCGGCAACGTAACAAGGCAGATTTGTCATTTTGTGTCGCTATTTGCAAAACGTCGTGTCAGAAGCGAAGAGAGAAAGATGTCGCGTGTGTGCGAAGAGATATGGGGCTGGCGGTTGTTGCTCATGTCAGCCAACTACCTGACGTCGGCTTTCCGCTGCCGCGGCTGTCGTTACGTTCGCCAAGACCCAACGGCGCCCGGACGTCACTCGCCAGAAGCCACGTTCGAATTCCACCATCTCTCTTCCCACGCCCCTCTTCTCTATTCTTACCATCCCATCTGTTTGCAGCGCTTCCATCATGGTCAATTGGCGATCCTCTACTCTGCTCCTGCTCTCCTTGCGCGCACTTGGTGCCTTTGCCGCAGCTGAGGTGAGTTTGATATGTTGTGACGACACATGACATCAGATGGCTAACCACCAATTCTCAGGCTGAAAAGGTCCAAGAGCAAGTCAAGGAGCCGCAGACGCCCAACATCAATGTCGCCGTCTCCGTCTCATTTCCCCAATCTGAGATTTTTGGCGTGAAGCTCGTCAACGGCCATGCCACCGAGGCGCGTCTTTCCGTCACCAACAATGAGCCTACACCTATTGGCGTTTCCGTTGTTGGCGGCTCGCTCGTCTCTGAGGTCGCCGGTAAATCCCAAATCGTCCGCAACCTTACTTCGAAGCGCTACTCGATCGAGATTCCCGCTGGCGCCGAGGAGACTGTTCCTTACAGCTTCACTCTCGACATGCACCCGCAAAACCTACGCCTGGAACTTATTACTGTGTTGAAGGGCGCCAACAATACCGTATTCACCGTTCCCGCCTACAACGAGACTGTTAGCGTTGTCGAGGCCCCCAACAGCTTCTTTGATCCTCAGATGTACGTTCCTCGCAGACCTACTATACACCTGTAATTGTGCCATGACTGACTTGCGCCTCTAGCCTCTTCCTTTACCTTGTCGTCCTTGGTGCCTTTGGCGGAACCGTCTACTTCATCTACAACACCTGGATCAGCACTTTCTTCCCTCAGAAGAAGGGCCACGGCAAGGGTGGTGAGCGCGCCAGGATGTCTTCGGGCCAGAGCAAGAAGGTCGACCCTGCCGACCAGGTTGCAGTCGTCGGTGCCGATGGCCCCGCGGTCACTTCTGGCGCCAAGGCCTATGATGAGAGCTGGATTCCCGCCTCGCACCTCCAGCGGCCCGAAGCGAAACGCGTCCGCAGCGGCACTCCCAAGGCCAAGCCCAAGGCCTAGATACCTCGAGCACCTACGATACAGAAGGCTTGGGATACTTATGCTATACAAATGTGGTAGCATGCCAACAGGACATGCGCGTGCATGACATGAAGCAACAGTGTGTTGGCATTGGTGGCTTTGTATACGGCGATTGCTCTATACGAAGCTGTCGCATGTTGCAGGGAGGACAAGTTGTCTTGACGAATTGGGTATAATGCCGAAAAGATGGATAACTTTGTATATTAGAAAAGTAATATGATACGACATGTTGTACCATGAATGCAAATGCGGATGTGTGTGGATGTGGGTGCTTGTGGTAGTTGACTGGAAAGCTGGAAGCTGAAGCTCTCCCACTGGTTCATACCAAGGCGCCGTGGCCTTTGTTGTGGTTGGCTCCCACTACACCCTCCAAGCACGCCGCACACTGTGCTTTTTTGGGGATCTGCATGCAAGCGCTCTACGCAAGACAACGGACAGATATGAAGTTAGATAGACGGATTATATTATGCTGTTGAAAGAACAAACAGCATAATCTCGATGTCAGAGTCATCGTGCATCAAGCCCACCTTTGTATGTGCAAGATGACCGTTGAGTGTACCCCCACGACCATGCCTCTTCAGACACATCCACCCTATGACCCCTTCACATGGCATGGCCCACAAAAAGCTTACACACTTGCAGCCCAAGCCTTTCGATCATCATTCTAGCACTTCTCACATGTGATTAACCATAATATTAGCACGAAACATCGCCAACCCAAAGCAAGCAACGCCTTGGCAACAGCTGCATCTTCAAACGCAGGCGGCTGACTTTCAAACACGAAGATTTGGCAGATACGCCTCCCACCCCCACAACTCACATACCCACATACCCACATACCAAACAGGGGCCCAAGCTTGTTGATGTGCATAAACAGCCTTGGTCCACAGACGGTATTCCTTAATCTGGGCATAGTCTGTGTGTTGTAGTAGAGTGTCTGTGGGTTTTACTTAGTAGTAACGTCGGCGTGTGTGTGTTGCATGAGGCCAAGAGAGCAAAGCAAGCAGTGGGACCCTGTTTTATTATTCTGTCAGAGTGTCAGAAGTAGCAAGATTGTGAAGATGAAGAGGGCTAAAACTCCTTAAGAAAAGGACGCGGTCCCAGCGCCTTGGCCTCGCACAGGAACAGCTTCAGGTAGTGTATCCTGTGTACCCGCCTACACTATGCGGAGTGGACTTGGCTGGCTTGGCCCCCATTTGGGCGGTAGGAGGGACGGGAAGTAAGGTGTATGCGTGTTTATTCCGTATCTTGGTGTTAAGGGAAAAGGTGAGAGAATCGTCGAGTTAGAGGCGGGAGGGGCGTGGGTGTGTGCGAGTTGGTGAAGTGGGGGGAATATGGGCGATTACTACAACGGGCTTTTTTGGGGTCAAGTGCAACTGTCATTGTCTGACGTGCGCAAGGTTACTGGACTGGCGGCTGCCAATACGTACGCCTCTTTTTCCTTCCCACTCCCCTCCTATTGTTCCCCCCGCGTAGTCGCATTGCACGTACGTATGCGCACAACGGCGGTGAGGGATGCATGTGCTGTTTCTGTGTCAGGTTGGGGGGGTATCCTATGGGAGAGACTGGGCCCCATGCAATGCGGGCGTGGGTTTAGACTGGTGGTAAAGTGGTGGTGGTTGTGATGGTGTAAAGGCACAGGCTACGCATCGTCGCATCGCGCCTTTGAGATTGAGTGAGCCAAGAAGCCGGGGGGTGTACAGCGGGAGCTAGAGTGTTTTGCAGTATGAGACATGCAGTAGTACGATGGGGAAAGAGAGAAAGATCAAGATAGAGAAACAAGTTAGGAAAAATATCGCATGTCGACGGAAAAGGCCGCGCCGGTTTTTTCTCTCTCTCGCCTTGCTCACGCGATCCGGAAATGGTGCCTTGCTCACGCGGCCGGATATGCTGGGTGATCAAAGCTAATTCACCGGATAAGGGGAGGAGAGAGATGAGGGGAAAAGGCTGCATACACCGGATATGTCCATCTGCACGCACACACCGGAACCAATACAGGTGGGTGGACGAGGATGATGGGCCGATTGGGCCCCCGTGGTAGGGAAAGCGCGGGTTCTGCGCGACATTGTGTGCAAGCATTGGTTGTATAGGTAGTCTGTGGAGTATGGATGTACAGACTTAGCATGTCCGGGGGAAGTGATCGGTAGGTGGGTTGCATGTGGGGTGACCTATAACCTTTTGGCCGCCATAAGTGTGGTAGCTCCAAACGGTGTGGCCTTCATATCACATGTCATAGCTGGCCCAGTTAACCTCGCCTGTGCATGGCACACTAGAACCGGGGCGCCGGCTCGTGACTCTGACGCGGGCTTTACGCCGAGGATGCGGAAACAGATCGTGTGTGTCGGCGGTGGGTCAAGGGTAACGGGCTTGGGCGGATGGATGGACGGACGAGCTGGAGGGTGAGTCAAGATTGGATTGACTCCCCAATATATAAGATCAGCCCTCGTGTCCTGTACCCTATCTAGCTTGCTTTTTATCCTCTCCCTGCAAATCACTACATACCACTCACACTGCCATAACATCATCGAGTGCCAAAGGCCCGAATAGCGAAATCCACCCCCCATCAATCAACAACCACCAACGTCACCCTTTTCTCGAAAATACCCAAGAACACTTGCGTATTAAACGCGCATTCACCTACTACTACAACGATACCAACGTCAATCTTCTGTATCCTACACAAGGCCTAGACCGCCACTCTCTCAACCACACACCATGCCTCCGATCAGCCAGTTCCCCCCCGCCCGCGTCTTCCTCAAGACCGCAACCTCATCCGCACCCACACCCTCTCCCATCTCAATCACAACCGGCATCAACACAACCGCCCGCAAGTCGTCTCTGACTTCGCCCATCAGCCCGCGCTACACCATCTCCATGTCGCCCCAACAACAATCCATGTCGCAAATGTTCTCCTCCCAAAGACAAGTAATGCCGAGACCGGGCGACGCCATCCGGAGAGTCACAAACTGAAGAAATTCCTTTCTTCTTCATCTGCTTTTGTTTTATTTTTCTCTTGTACTTGAAGCGAGAAACACTTTCGTGACAGATCCACCCCCTCCTTTCTCTCGCGGCGCGGACGCTGGTCGTTTTGTGTATGTGTGTGCCGTTACAAACGTCATTTATCAGCGCGAACTAAACTTGACGTTTTTGGTGAACAAAAAAGGAATTCCCCCCCCCCCCCAAAAAAAAGAAGGGGAGACAGACCACTTGGGGGGTCAGAAAAGGCGCAAGGAGTATTTAGGTTCTTTTTTTTTCGGTCTTGCTTCTTTTCTACTATACACTGCGATGTTCGAAGATGGGCGAGACCTGCGGGTTCTCTCATTGGAAGGGATGATGCGATCTGGAATGATCTGGTCTGGATGGGCCCCACCCCGCCCGCTCTCTCTCTGAGAATGCAAATCTGGAGATGACAGATATGACTTTAGAGCACTGCCCTTGAGGGTATGCAAATTAAGAAATGTAAAACTTTCTAAAACATGGGAAGCGTGTATAGTGTGAATGTGATCTAGCCAAGGGTCCCTTCGTATCGTTGTCCTCTTTGTGTTGTATTGTATGTAGCGGCTAGGCTTCTCGAAGCTTGGCTCACGGACCACTATTTAGATGAGTGTGACTATATACTACTTCTTAGGTATTCTTGGAGATGCTGTTAGCCTGCATGATGTTGATTGAATGAGTTGTAGCATGTAGATTACTGTTGCTTCTTCTATTTGCAGTACTGGCTTTCCATGAGAACTTCTTCGCGGCATGACAAACACCAGAGCGTAATGCAAAACCATGGATTGTGCGAAAAGAAACCGTACATGTATAGATCATGTGTACGGAAGTGCGTGAATACTCCACATCTCATCCTTGTCTTGTGTATAAGCTCCTACACCACACTTTTATCTCGCGTCCACGTCATCTCGCCTCTAACCGGAGATTTTCTTTCCAAAAGAGCTTCTAGCAATCTATTCCACACTGTTAGCAAAAACCCTATACCCACCAATACACAAAACAAACACAAGAAAAGAATAAACTTACCAAACTCCTAAACCTCTTTCCATACACGTACGCCGGAATCGTAAGCATGCAAATACCCAAATTGATAAGTGTAATACCATCAAACACCGCCCTCGGCCCCACCTTGGCCATGATGCCGTTGGCATACGTCGTCGCGATGAAAGTAAACACAGCCTTGGTAAAGTTAATAGTGACAAACGCCTGGTTTGCATCGCGGGGGTGACAATCAATGACGTAAGTCAGACTCGCCGTCGAGGCAAACGGCACAGACAATGAGTGAATCGACATGAAGACGATGGGCCACACCATGGGCAAGCCTCGCGACACACTGATTCCAAAGCCCAGGAAACCGACTGTCGCGAAGATGGTCGCGGGAATCATGAGCGTGAGGCGGAACTCGGGCTCGAAGACGCCTTTGTTGCGGCGTGCCATGAACTTTGCGATGGCATCGGCGGTCCAGCCGGAAAGGGGCGAGCCGATGAGGGAAACGGCGAGGAGAGGAAGGTTGGTTAGGCCGACTTGAGCGGGGTTCAGCAAGTAAGGGGGTGCGGAGAAGACACTGACGGAAAGGACAGAGATGGTCAGGAGCCAGGTAAAGTACGATCCGTACACGATAGTACTGAACAGTACAGCGGGGAAGGCGATCAGAGGTACGGGCTTCCACGCATTCTTCCAGAACGATTCAGGTGACATACGACCGCGGAAGATGGCGAGCTGGCTTTTGTATGTATGCTTAGGCTCATCGTGTTCAGCAATGGATTCAGCGATAGAATCGTTGTCTTTTCCATCGAACCCGGGCTTGCCAGTCGTGGGGCGTGGACCGTAGTATGTAGTTTCAACAATCAAAAAGTATATGCCGAGGAAAATGGGTATGAATATGAGCGCTGAGATACCAAAGGTGGCTTCGAACGAGACATTTTCAATGATTGCGCCTGCGATAACTTGACTGGATGATTGTCAGCTGAGTAGGTTCTAGCACTGGAGGAGAAACGTACCCAAGCAGCACTCCGGCAGACAACATGCAGCCCCAGACTGCAATACGTGTGCCCCGCTGATGGACAAAGTACATGTCCGATACTGTTGACGTGACGAGCGTCTCGAGAGGCGCCGACGCGATACCCTGTATGACACGCATGACAGCGAGGGAAACAAATGACTATGCTAAAGTAAGTTGATGACCAGACGACACTTTGCGATTGAACACACCTTGGCAAAGAATCCCCAAACATTAGTAGCGAGAAGAACCACCGTCGAGATGACAAAGAATGGACGCTTGCCCCAGATGTTTGCTCCAGCAGCTGTAAAGAACGTTGTGAAGCCGATCCAGAAAGCGAGAAACCCGATGATGAGACTCGAAACCATATCGATGCTGACGTTGTACTTCTTTGCGAGGATTGGTAGAGCGGGCGTCACCATTGGTCCAAGACTACGCTGGCATCAGTATGTGAAGATTAACTTGTGATTGAAGTACTTACGCTGTTGTCACACCGGAACTGAAAGCAAGAAGGACCATGATGCACTCCTTTCTCATTGGTGACCTGCACTTGTCAATGAAGATTGAAATCTAAATACACACTAGACTCACCAGTTCAAAGGGTCGTTTGGACTGTCTGATGGTTGTGGTTGCAAGATAATATCTCCATCGCGCTTCAAGTAGCTCGAGTCGGCTTTCGAATCAACTACGACACAGTCAGCATTGTCCACCTTAGACACGCAACTTGTAGAGCTTACCAGCTGGACCAGAGTCATTGATGGTCGACGTGCCTGGGGGAGCCGCCATATGAGGGTCATCAAGAATACCGAAGCCCATGTTGACTATCTGCGAATAACAACAGTTGCGTCGTAGCAAAATAGAAGAAGAAGAAAAAAGGCTGCCAGCAGCTTGTCCAAAAAAAAAGACGACTTGCGTCTAAGAGAAGTGAAATGAAAGATACACAATGAACGAGATGAACACCATGGACAACGAGACCAGCTCTGATATTCCATCTGGGCTCTCCCGCCTTATCACCTCAGGCCATACCAAGCACACACAATACTAAAGTGGTCAGGGCCGAACCCAGAGGCAACGAAACTAGGCTGAAGCACCCAAGGGGACGATCTCTCGTCAATCATGATCGTCCTTTAGCGATAGTCACTAGAAATTCAACTGCCGGTTACATGGGGTATGTTGGGGAGCCACCAGGAATGAGCCGTGTCCAACGCAATGTGTGTTTCAGGACGTCAGAACATTCTGCGGGAGCTGCTCCGATGGCACGGTTTAAGCCACGCACACGTAGGCTTACCTGTAAAACATAACTTCGGCAGTTGCTTGTAACGGGGAGTTGGCCAATGGATTGTTGGCGTTGGGAGTCAAGGCTTTGGGGTGTCGAATGAGAGTGTTGTTGATGCTACATTCCACCCCTGCTTTAAGCCGCATTCTGGGCAGCGGCAAGAAAAATTGGTTCCAATGTGCCACTGCTGAATTCAATCCTGCATATTTTTCAAATCTATGGGGTAAGTACTGTAGGATTGGGGTAGCGCCAAAGGTTGATGTTGATCTGGATGGGTGGCGTGTTAGTGGAGCAACTTCTTGATGCGAAACACATGGCAGATCTTGTATCTGCGAAGGTGTTCCAGAAGTCCATGGACCAAACCGGCGAATTAAGCATGGTAAGGCTTTCGTAATCATCGCAGGCTATATCTGTATCTTAACTAGCTGCCAAGATATAGAATACGGGGAGATAAAAATGCCCAAGAATTAATCATCGACAATAATTATGTCATTGACAGTAGAGGCATTACTGGAAACTGTGTGACTCTGGCACGAATGGTTTTTCCAGCCGTCTCAAACTGCATTGAGACACGAATCAAGGAGAATGTGGGTGCAAAAGGCGGCTATTTGTGCAGGTGGGAAGTGCACTAGGACTATGGACGTTGAGAGCCCGCGGACGCACGACTGTCACGTCTGCCGAATGCGGAATGGCTCCCGACGTCATACTTAGCCATCGTGGGGGAGCAAAAACATACCCCGCTACAAGTGCAATCGCGTTTTCAATTGGAAGAAAAGAATGCCATCATTGACCACAAATTACCATTTAGCCGCAGTACAGCCGTAGAAGTACGACCTTATAGACTGAATTGAGGCTCCCAATTCATCCCAAAGTGCTTTCTCATATTACTCCTTACCAGACTTAATACACATAATCGAACATGACAATTGGAATCGCAATCATCGGCAGCGGCATCTTCGCCAAAGAAGAACATCTCCCAGCCATCCAAGATGCCCCCATCTTGAGTCTAAAAGCAGTCTACTCGCGCTCCCTCAAATCCGCCCAATCCCTCTCCGAAAAGCTTTCAGGCGTAGATTTATACAGCGACGACCAAGACGGCAAAAGGTTCGACGATTTGCTAAAACGAGACGACATCAAAGGCGTAGTGATCGCGTGAGTACAATATACTCCAATACAAAACCCGTCCAATCTCCCAATTCCTAATTTACAACAGCCTCCCCATCCTCGCCCAACCAGACTACATAAAGAAAGCCCTGGCAGCCGGGAAATACGTCTTCGCCGAGAAACCCATAGCCAAGGACCTCACAGCCGCTTCCTCCCTCCTCTCCTGGACTTCCAACCCCGCAAACACATCCGTCACCTACACCGTCGCCGAGAACTTCCGCTTCATCGACTCGTACATCTGGGCCTCGCAGCAGCTCGCCTCTCTCGGCCGAGTGCTTAGTTTCCGTGTTCGCGTCATGTTTTTCGTCCCCGTGGGCAGCAAGTACTACGAGACAGCGTGGCGCAAGAAGCCCGAACACCAAGGCGGCTTCGTACTAGACGGCGGCGTGCATTTCGTGGCTGCTACACGCTTGCTGCTACAAGGTGCCGGGCAGAAAGTCAAAAGAGTGAGTGCGTTTACGGCGCAGTTGCAGGAGCATCTTCCGCCTGTGGACACGCTGAATGCGGTTTTACAACTCGAGAATGGGAGTTCGGGCACTCTGTCTATTTCTGTGGGAACTACGGACCAAGGGTCTGAGTATGTGGTTGCGTGTGAGAAGGGCGTGGTGACGGTTTCGCGTGGTAAAGTTGTGGTTAAGAGGCAAGGGGAGGAGGGTGAGACCAAGGAATTTCCAGATGAGGGGAATGGTGTCAAGCAGGAGATAAAGGCTTGGGCGAAGAGCTTGGAGGAGGGGAAGCGGAATGAGATGCAGAGTCCTGAGGAGGCGTTGAAGGATCTGGAGATTTTGGAGAGTTGCTTGAAGAGTGGAGAGCAGGGTGGAACACCGATTGATGTTGAGCAGTAGGGGACTTGGTGATTATTGTGGAAACGCCATGACAGAGCATACTTCGTGTGCATAGTCTGGCCATCAAATACGTATGCCAACCCCTTAATTCAATTCACTACTAAACAAGCAAATCTCCCAAAAAGCGTTATTTTATCCAACTCTAACACGCATATCCCTTCTGAACTTACCAGTATGAGTTATGAACACCCACTCTTCTATTCTCCCATATCTCCGCCTCAACTCATAAGCCCATGCACCTGCTCCCCACTCAACGTAGCCCTCGCAGCCGGCCGCTTCCCCGCCATCTTCTTCGACGTCGGCACACTCGTCCTCCTCCCACCACCATTTTCCCTCGCCATCTGCGCCTCAACCGCAGCCTCATGCTCAATCTTGCTCACCGCCCTCGTAATAGCCATACTATACCCTCCAATCCAATCGCTCCAGCTCTGCTTACCATTGCGATTATCCACCGCGACCTCAAGATTCGAACTCATACTGCGCTGGGGACGCGTCTTGGAGGCTGGCACCTTCGTTGTCGTTGACGCAGACGAGGGCTGGGTGTCTTGCGTTGCGCGAGCAGCAGCAGCGGCAGCACGACGCTGTTCGAGGAACGAACGAGCGACGTTTTGGGCGGCTGAGACGCCGGATTTGATTGTTTGGACGTCTTCGAGGTTGACCGAGGCGGGGATCGGGATGCGGTAGCTGCCGCTGAGAGTTACTTGACGCTCTGTGCCTCCGTTGCTGCTGCGTCGTGGGATTTCTTCGACGTACTCAGTCTCGTCGGACCTGGCACGCCGGGTTCTGGGGCGGTAGTGTTCGAGGTCTTGACGGGCGACTTCGAGTTCGCCTTCTAGACGGACGAGTTCTTCGTCTGCATCTTCTTCGTCGTTGTCGACGACTTCTTGGACTCTTGCATTGTTGACGCTTGCGTCACTTGCGTTGGTGTTGGTGCGAGTGAGTTGAATAGTGGATGAAGCCTTTCGTCCTTTGCCTCGTCGACGGGGTGAGCGGCCTGAGCGAGCGTCTGAAGTTGCACCGGTCTTGTACAAATCCTCCACCTTTGCCTCTAACTCCCTGACTCGTGCCTTCAGGGCTTCAAGCTCGGAGGAAGAAGGGCTCCCTTTCGATATATTGGTGCGGGTGGGAGACGGTGGGGTGTTGATAGGGGTTGAGGTGGGACTTTTGTTGAGTTTCCTGGGCTTTCTTCTTGGAGTCTTTACTTCGGCTGCAGTTGTATCAACTGAGGGCCGAATTGCTGCCGCTGCAATTTTCTTTGAAGGTGAAGTCGATGCTCTTGCTACTTTTCCTTTTGGCAAGACGACACCTCCCGCGGAGCCAGCCCTTCCTTGCTCAGCCTGGCTGGGCGGAGTGCCTTTCCGGGACCTCATCTGCTTTGCGGGTGCTGCTGGCTTTGCACTTGGCCCTGGTGATGCGGACTTGGAACCCATGATGTTTTTTGTCGTCTCTATCTTTCTGACGCAGTAGTAGTGTACATCAACACAAATAGACTTTCAACTCAGGGTTCAAACACAACACAAGCAGGGACCCTTGATGTTGTTGAGTTGAAAACACCACTCAAATGTTCACGATCCTGATACAAAGGGACTGGGTGATGAATTTCAGTTGTGGGGAATGTCAGGAAATGGAGTTAGTGATTCGGTTGCTATTAAAGCAGGATGTCAGAGTTGGAACACAGACTCAGCGCATCTGACGTATGGTGGCGGACAGACCAGGATCATGCATGATTGAACCCTGTCGGATAGCGGCGATCATCGTGCCTTAGTGCTACGACTCAACGTTACCTGCAAACCACCTCATTAAACCATTACAATTACATCTGTAGAGATTAGTGGGGCGTACCATTCTTTGGTATGGGGTTATCCGTGTCCAATTGCTTACCATGGCTGTCTCGATAGTCTGCAGACCTAAGGCAGCGTGCACGCAATGTTTCCAAACTTGAACACAAACAAGCTCGAAATGATGTGTCTGAGTGGAGTGGATGACCCTTTCATAATCTAGTCGCAGCTAAATACATGTTTGCACACTCTTCTCATGTCATACCGAACAAAGAGATCCATCGTAGGAAACCGACTAGTGAGCATAGCTCATCCATACCAATAGTCGAACTGCATGCAAGGGGAATATTGGGGGAAATATGGCATGTCCTGTGTTCTACCGGATCCGCAAGGTCCAAGAGGAAAGACCAATACTTTTGTAGACGAGAAGCGTCAAGGGGATAACGTCGTTATCGGGCGTAAAGGAAAGAAAGCTCATAATACGTCCCAGCGGTTGAGCAGCCACGGGGCGCCTTGCAAATCGCGCTTAGATGAACAAGGCCATCGAAGCATAAGGCAAAAGACCATGAAGTGCACGGATGCAACAATACCGAAGGACCGCCCAACAAATCATAGCTGCGGTAGACAGCACAGGCCTAGAAAGCAAAGGACTCCACCACGCCGTTTTAAATGCGCTGCGATCATCCGGATATAATATCAGGGCCAGACAGAATGCGGGGCCAGCCTTAGACAGTGGATACGCCTACCTAAGACGCAATTGCGCGAGCTGGCGCGCCTCCGCCGCGGCGGTTGTTCTTGACATTCTTAGTCGGCTTGGTGACGGTGCTCCAGCCATCCTCATCCATGGTCTCGGTGGTGGTAGTTGGCGTAGCAGGTGTGTTGGACTGTCTCCTCCATGAACCTGCCTCAGACTTTGGTGGGTCACGAACAACCTCTTGTGGCTTGACAGCCTTATCTTGAACAATCTCGCCCTGGGCGTCCTCGTCTTGACCGGCCGAGTTGCCCTCCTCAACACGCTGAAGAATCTCGAAGTTGGCCTTGGGCTTTTCCTCTGTGCTGTTCTCGTCCTTCCTGGTAGGGGTAGGCTGTGCTGAATCTTTGGGTGCAGCCTTCTCGGTAGCTTCCTTTGCCTTGCGCTCTTCACGAGCCTTTTCGTCAGCCTCCTTCTTCTGACGGATGGCCAATTGCCTCTTCTCTTCAACCTCCCTTTCGCGCGCAGCAGTGTCAATGGGACGGGCAGCACCGAAGGGGTTGGGCTTGTCTGAAGAGGTGGAGGATTCGGGGCCTGGCTGGGCCTCGGAGACTGTTCGCTTGGCCAAATTCAGGCGGGGTCGGCCGGCAGGGGCAGCAGGCGCAGGTGCTGGCGAAGATGGTGTGCTGACATCGGGTGTCGATGTAGGTGATTTGACTGGCGCATCGGGGCGCATACGGGACCGCCACTGGTTGTCGGCCTCTGCAGCAGTAGGCTGCCTCTCAACATGCGGCCTCTCCTGGAACTCACGACGGGGTCCGCGTGAGCCCTCGGTGCCTTGACCTTCACCCCAAGCTGGGGACTGTCTGCGTCCCTCACGGGGTGTTCCTTCGAAGCCTCGCGTGCGGCCGCTCTCACTGGGAGAAGGTGCAGCAGCTGGCGAGAGAGGGCCGCGGCGCTCCCAGTTACCGAAATCACGAGACTTACCGTCACTCTCGAATGGAGGTGGGCGGCGGCGTTCGCTGCGTTCGCCGCCAGCATCTGATCCTGCGTCGAAGCCACGGTCGCGACCCGCGCCGAAACCACCACGTCCGGAGTTGCTGCGCTGACCTGGAAGGTCGGGGAGTGGTCCCTTGCGAGTCCAGTCCGAGATGTCGCGGGCCTCTGGGCGGTCCTTGGCTATTATGATGTCAGCAAGTTTTCCAGATGGTGGAGTGGGTGTGCAGCGTACGAGGCTCAGCAACGCTGACGCGAATATTTCTGCCCTGGAATGATGTGCCAGAGAGATCAAGAGCCTTCTTCAGACCATCTACACTACCGAACTCAACATATCCAAAGCCCTTTGGCTTTCGGTCCAGCTTGTCCTCGACAATGCGTACGTTGGTGACTTCGCAGTCGGCGAAGAAGTCGGTTACGTCACCCTCGGTGGCGTCAAAGGAGAGGTTGCCCAAGTGAGCGGTGTACGGGGGCTTGGAGGGGAGAGGAAGAACCTCACGAGTTGCGAATCCGCGGTCAGCTGCAAGAGTTGTTAGCGCATGCAGGACAAAGTCTTGCAGACGTTTACCCACCGAAGCTACCACCGCGGTCACCACCGAAGCCACCTCCAGATCCGAATGTGGGCCTGTCGCCTCCATATCCGGAGCGACCGCCAGCACCTACGACAACGTTAGCATGCGGAATGAGGCATATTTGCGCCGCGAGTGTCGGCGGGGTATATTTTACCAGTGCCTGCAAAAGTTAGTACTCGGGGTTGCTGCGAAGTGCGACATGGCGAAACTCACCTGGCATTGGCGCATCCTCCATCTCATCAGCCCATGATCCCAGCGCTGCGTTCAGTCAGTCCTCTGTGGCGCCTGTGGCCAGTTGGTGAAGGGGGCGGGGGGCGTACTCTGATCTCCCAGGAAGTCTCCCAGGGACATCTTCTGCTGTTCCTTCTTCTTGGGCGCTGCAAAAAACCACCGTTAGCCATTTGCGTCTCCTCTGTCGTCGCAGTACAAAGCGGGGCAAAAAAAAGCCGGCTCGTGAGCGACGGCCGCACTTTGCGCAGCCCAAGGCAACTCACGCATGATTGCGGGTTAGCAGACTACGCGCGTAAGGATTTTTTCCGCGCGCTGTCTGGTTCGAGTGCTAAGAGCGTCTTCTACTCTGGGTCGGGGTTGTTCTTCTGGCTGCGGGGGTGTGTCCGTAGTTTCGTGTGTGGGGTGAGTTCTTCTTTCCCGAACGGAAATCTTAAGCTGTGCGTCCGTTGGGCCTCGCTTATGTCATCCCCAAAATCCATTTCACATCCATGCAACTGCGCATGCCGCTTCTAGATCCCTACTGTCTCGTCTTGCCCTGCATCGCCTCCTTGTGTGTCGCATCCATGCGAGAGTGATGACCAGCAAATATGACCCAGCCCAGGTCACACAGCCTCTCGAGGTTGCCAGACAGGCCGCCTTGGTGGGTGGAGCCTCAGGTACGTATTTGGTCGACTCATTCCTTGACGTAATCATCGACTGTTGTACGCTTGCCACTTTGCCATTGTGGCTGTCCTGTCAGACATTGACACACGAACTATTCCTTGAGATTTTCGCATTGTCATTTCCCTTACTCTATGCATGCACATTATCCCCGGATCGGGACAATGACACAAATATCATGTTTTGCTTTTCTTCTCTACCATTCAACTTAATTCCAGCCCAACTTTATTTAGGGAAATGCGCATACAACTAATCTAGTACAGCGATTCCCGGTACGGTAATCGGTGCTTTATACGGCACAGTCCGCACCCAGACACCCGTTTTGTTTTCCATCGCCTCAGGAGCCCAATGGTTCGCTCTTGGATCAACATTCTGGGGTTTCCGCACCTCACTCCTCAACCAGAATGGCCTCCTGAACTGGTGGAACCTTACTCGAGATGCCCCTATCTACCCTCGTTCTGACCTGAATCCATCTCCCTCGGACAAAGTCCGCGCCTCTACCATTGCCGGAGGATCGACCGGCTTCACTCTTGGTTTCTTATTTCGAGGTCCCCGCAACGTTATCCCCGGAACCCTAGTATTCAGTCTAGTAGGCTGGCTAGGACAGCACGGGTACAACTACCTGGATGCGAGAAACTCTGGTCAACTTCAGGAACTAGCCAAATTAAGAGCTAAGGGTGAAGAAAGGCCAAAAGAGACGCTAATGGACAAGATTGCGAAGAGCAGGTGGAGTCCAATGCAAGTCTTGAGCGATGAGGATTACGAGAAGGTGATGCAGGAGAAGCTGTTGAGGGTTGAAGCAGATATTGCTATGATCGATGATAAGATTGCTGCACTGAGGAAACAGGCGGTTGAGAAGGAGGCGCGACATCAAATCAAGCATGTGCATGAGCAGGACAAGATCTCAAAATGAAATACTTATCCTCCTCCGGGTCTTTGAATACCTAACTTGGCCCCATATTGTACGACAATCTGAAAACAGTACTTTTGCCACGACATCTACATTTCCTCATTTTCATTTCTCAGCACCACCCTCGTTAACCGACGGTACCGCTTCTCCTGCAGCAGCTTCCTGCATAGGATCTTGCGCCGCACTCTCTCTCTTCTCTTCTGCCGCAATATTCTGTGTCTCTTTTGGCGCACTTTCTTGCACCTTCACCACGCCACCATCACCACCCGAACAACCCCCTGCAAACTTCGCACCCCCACCTTTCCCCTCTCCCATTCCTGTCCCCTCACCTCCCCAGCCCTCGCCCCATACACCGCCCACCCCAGCATTCCTCCCGTCCTAACCTTCGGCTTTTTCTCCTTCCATATCGCAACCGTAGCACTCTTTCTTTCCCCACCTGCTAGCCACACCAGTGTCGGCGGCAAATTGTCTTGATCGCGGAGTGTATATGGGGAGCCACCGCCGCCTCTTAGACACGGTATGATGGTTGAAGGTGTAGATAGGGGATAGGTAGAATTGATAGGATAGTCTTGAGTGCGAGGTTGAGAGGAAGGGGGGAGGCACAGGGGATACAAGGCACGTTGCAGAGGAGAAGCCGTAGCTGTATGTACGTGGCTGCAAAAGTGGCTGTCTGGGATTAAGGTACTACATTGCCGTTGCTGGAGGAGCTTCTTGTCGTGCGTGATGTGGCAGTTGTGCGAGAAAGGTTCTTGGGGAGGCGCGCATTACCTTGTGCTCTACGCATTGTTCGGGCTATATAGGTTGGGTCTCGGATTCGGATTGGTGAATCTTCAGTGTCACTGCTGGAGTTGGAGTCGGGTCGGTGGCATGTGAGTAGTAGCTGTTTGAATAACAGGCTGCATCCATGACGTGCTTGGCTAGTTCCGGCGCCGCCTCTGAGCCTGGCGATGTTTTCGTCGTCAGAAGTGGGTTTGTGCATGGATCGTTCATTTTTGCGAGAGGTTTCATCAGTCGAATTTGTAGGCATAGTGCTGTGAATTTCATTCCTACTACATGACCTTGAGGTGCGTGATCTCGGTGCTTGCAGTGCTGTAGATTTTCGCGCATACACGTTGCTGTCATACAACTGCTCATCAATACTTCTTCGTTGCTGTGCTCTCGACGGTTTGGGAACGGCGTGCCCACCTACGACCAGCGTATGCTCTACGACAACATTGCCACACCTGCTCTGCTCTGGGAACAGCTTATGAACATCGCTTACTAGTGCCGGACTAGGACTGTTACCGTAGAAAACCGTCTCGGAGAAATCTGTATACCGATTTCGTTCCTTTTGCTGGTTCACAGTAAATGCAAATTCTGCCAAGTGGCTTGATACCCCAGCGTCTATAGCGGCAAGGTGGTCCTTCACTTCTTTTTTGTGAACATATGGGTATGCCTTTGAGTCGGGTAGGCCATGTAGATAATGCAATTTGGGACTGGTGGTTCTCACGTCATTGAGAGCGCTTCCGCTAGAAGAGATTGAGTCGTGTCCTGGTGGTCGGAATGCTGAGCGGGCAGAGGGCGGGTTGAGGATATTATTTATAGCGTCCGGGCGCGGTACGGGAAGCGCTGCTCTCCTGGGTGGGTTACTGATTCTCTTTGCTGCAATCTCAGGAGGCACGATGCGTGGCCCTTCATGAGACGAGGTACTAGATCCGAGGAAGAACTCTGGATTGGAATACCCTACGTCTTTGATACCGTCAGGTATCGATTTCTGTAGGAAACCCATTTTGATATGCGAAAAGGGGCTCTTGGACCGACAGTCCTTACAGGGCTCGTTGGAGCTGGGTCTGGATGATCGCATACCGCAAAAGGTGCATCGAGAACGCTCAATGCTTGAAAATGAGTGGTAATTGGTCCTGTCATACGGACATGATTGCTTGATCGGTCCTGGAGCTGGATCTTGCTTTGGGGTTGTCTTTCGCAACTGCAAGACTGACATGAAAGTGTCCAAGCCCGAAGAAATGTGCCTTCTCAAAGTAGCAGGTCGCTGAGGGACTGGATGCTGTAATGTAGGTGAGGTAGGCCGACTAGTAGGCTTAGGATTTACCATATCCAATCGTATCGTTAGCCAGGCAAGTCAACGCTGAGAATATGTGAACAAGTGTAACATCAAGTGTAGTTAGGATACTCTTTTTGAAATATAGCTGATTTCCAAAACTTTCTCGCCAAATATCTGTGAAATATAAATGTCTGGAATTAAGCCCTATACACATCTTGCTTACAACCACCGACCGATTGTGAATTCTGATGATACGCATGACGTGTAAAGTGACGAAGCGATTGACGAACGATGCGTGAAGAAAGGCCGTGACAAGTACGAATGAAAAGAAGCGCTACTAGTACAACAGTTTCGATGCTCAAACGGCGGTACTGTGCCATGGATTTATGTTCGAAGACGACGAGAAATGGGCATCATTCTGAGTTGCTGCATAGAGTGTAGTTGTTTCTAACCACCTCTGTGACAATGCAGATTGAACAATACAACTGGCTTTGGACAGTTCAGTACCTGGATAAATGCTCTTCTTCAGGCCAGTCACTGAATTCTTGCATGTGATTGCAGTCGGACATACGGTCTTTCATGTAGGTCCAGTCGTCCTCATCGTCGAAATACTGAGACTGGTGATCTCGCGGCATATCAGGAGAGCATGCAGTACACATGCCATGGCGACCGATCTGATCAGTTAGTCGCCGACACTGAGCGCAGAGTACGTGTACCCTATTACAAACTCTGAGATGCACACCCGGAGTATACAGCGCACTGTTTACCCCACATTTCAGACATAGTCTTGAACTCGCCAGCGTCCCACTGCGACACCATTTCCCCTTCCTCATACTGTCCTCAAAGCTAGCCCAGCTCCAGAAATTCAGGCAACCCTTACAAGCATATAGCTGACTCGACTTTGCCCATGCGCTGTCCTCAGCGACCAGAAGCTCGCTGTGGGTTGGCGCAGGAATAAGGAATCTGAAGTAGCGGGATGTGGAAGCCAGGTTGACTCTATCGCGGATGTCAAGGAGTTTGATGATTTCCGAATGAAGCTCTACTGGCAGGCGAAGGATGGGTGCTGTGAGCATAGTATGTACACCAACACCCGGGATCCTGCGGAATAAGCTACGGTCGTAGAAGTGTATTTTCTGAAGCCCGATACGTCAGTCGAGAGAGTTAAGCCACCCATTCATCTAGTAGCTTACTGCTAGAGTTTGTAGACTGTGGCGGTGTTGTCGACGCTTGGGTCGGCTCCCTTGTTACCCGATGTCCGATCCACGTGAACAGGAGCAATTCTGAGGCAAGGCACCGTACCTCCTTTCTACGTAATGGACTTTACGATTTTCAGCCGATGCGCGGAAAAGATGGATAGTCCGAGATATGGTACAGGATTAGGAAAGCTAAGAGCATATTTGAATTTGCACTTCTTGTGTAGCGGAGGACTGTCCCAGCAACACGGAACCATGAAGCCGCGCACCCGCGAGCGCGCCGGAGCGCACCAAGGGTGGAGCCTTCACCCGCGGCTTAAGTTCCGTGTTCCGACTTGCCTGTCTTGGTAGTGACACAAATTCAGGGCCTCTGATATTCTGCCTGGGCATTCGCTCCTTGTTTGTCGGCAACACTGCATGCACTGTCGCGTAACCAACGTATAGGATTAGTGGTCGAAAGTCAGCGCTCCATGCACACCCTGGTCAGTCAATCGACCGATTGTGTCGGACCACAGCTGTTATTATACTGATTCAAGTCTTTGTCTGATTTCTTGTGGCTGGCGGACATGGCTAAGACTAGCATTAGAGAGTCTTTTCGAGTTTCAGGTCGTTCAGCACCATGTAGCGTGATAGGGTGATCCAGCCCCAGCGGAACCAGCGCATTTGGCTCTCATGCGCAGTAGTCATGGCCTTCTGAGCCGTCCTGTAACCGATCGGTGAGCTGGCAAACAGGAGTGGAGTTGGGAACCCCCCCAGCTGCTTCTTTTGCAGCATTGCGCCAATGATGGTAGCAGGGGCGTCGAACAAGCCGAAGTATTTGCGGAAGATTGGAATGGTCGTAAGCGTGTACAGCTTGACGGGACACTCCCAGCCGCTATGTCGGTGCATGAGCGCCTTGAGGAAGCTGTGGGCTCCGGCATGGAGCGACTTGTGATTGGGGTGGCCGGAGATGCCGTGTGCGTCAAATGTGATGATGGCGTCGATGGCGGCCTGCGGTGCGTCCTTGGAAGAAACCGAAGACATGTCGGGGGCAAAGGCCGTGGTAAGCAGGTTGGAAATTAGACGAGGGTGCCATGTTACGGTCATGGAGTCGGGGAAGTTCCTGCATGACAATCAGTCAGGTGTAACGGTGCCAGCCCTTGCAGTGCATACTTGTCCTCGACGACAAGAATGTCATCTTCGCTCCGAATGCCTAATTGCAGCCCGCTCTTGACTAGCTCTTTCTTGCGCACGTGGCCCAGCCCATCGGCATCGCCTGTTACATGGCTGGCATTAGTGGCAGCCCTTTAAGAAGACGTGGGGAAAGGCGTCAACCATACCACTGCTCAAACACAAGATCTTGACATGATTTCCGTATTCAGGACGCGTCAATGCAAGCAGAGCCGGGGCAAAGAACATAGCCTCGTCATCTGGATGCGCTATGAGGAGCAGAATGCGTTTGTTGTGCAGGGTGGGGAAGGATGCGCTCAGCGTGCTGGTGTACATCCAGAAGGCGAAGATGAGGAGGGGCACCGATGCCCAGATGGTCCAATTCATAGCCAACCAATCTTTCAACAGTGCGCTAGGTAGAATATCAAATGATTTGAGAATGTTGCTGAGTTCATGGTTGGGGCAAGGTTGACTGTAGGAGGCCACTGGCGGTTCTGGCACGCGCTTTGACCCACGTCATCTTCCACATTGCGAGGAGCCGCACACGCGACCATTTCCCTTGCATCCCCAATTCATTTCACCCGCCTATTATTTTACCTTACCCACCATGTCAAACAGGAAAGAGAGACGCGCCAAGGGTACCGCATTCAATGCAAAAGCCACTGGAGGCGGACTGCAGCCTTCGACCGAGATTGACCAAGATGGAGTCGAGATGATTCTTCGGCATCCGGACTTCTCCAAACCCAAGGGCAAGACTCTTTTCGACCTGGCCGAAGAGAGACAGCGCGAGCTAGATGAATTAAATCCTGCCAGGAAGGCCGCTAGGGCAGCCGCTATGGCATCAAGACCCGTCGGCGACGATCAAGGGCCCCCCATCGGACCCTTCGGCGACTCGGTTCTCTACTCCGTCTCCATGGCAGCACTGCACCTCACCCTCGACGTCCTCGTATACAACCAGTACAGGGAGGACATCATATGGACTGAGATTGTCTCGAGAGCGGCTACGGCCTGGCCAATATTCGCCGTCCTGGTCTACCTTACCCATGTCGACATTTCCTACCGCTTTCCCAAGGTTCGAGATGTGGTCTTCTTCGCTGGCTCCATTGCTGCAGGCTGCTACTTGGTGTACTCAGGGAACCAACACGGATACTTTTACGTCATGAAGTCGGCTCCTCCAGTGGGCACTCTCTGGATTTGGAGCGTGGTGGAGATGAGCTTGCCTTTTGCGGCTACGAGTGCGCTCGCTGTCTTCGGATACATTTATTGGAACGGGTTTCAATTGTTCTGAGTGGTGGTTGAGATGAACACGAGATGGCACAATAGAAGCAGGGGCAAGATTTGGTACAACGTGCTCTGGATAATGAACAGGAGACGGGCGTCCTGCTCTTAAGCAGTAAGGTTCCCTCACGTAAGGGCCTACGCGCGTCCCAGTTGAGCTCATGAAGCCTTGGCTGCAACTTCGGCTGTGCAGTTAGATACCTAGTGTGCCAGGCCCTCCTACACAAACCACGGTGACACTCCGGCATACACACTGTTTATGATGTCTCACAGGAAAACAAGACACGGATTATCATCTTCTTAGATGCTCATGAGGTTAAATACACGCAAAATCTAGATCCAACATCCCTATACACCCTCATCTCCGCTTCCGCAGCAGCTCTCTTCTCAATCTCCTTCAAGCAGGGTGCCACAAATATATCACCGTATACCACATTCTTAACCGTACTTACCGCAACCAAGAGCCAAAGTAGCATCACACCCACAGCAAGTGCCGTCCCAAAAATTCTGAAGAAGGCCGACGGCATCTCCTGTCCCATTGTGATTGTAGACATGGTAAATACGCCAATTGGGAACGTAAAGCCCCACCATCCGAGATTGCATGGAAACTTGCTGCGACTGATGGATGCCACGGCGAAGAAAAGCCATATGAGCCCAAACCCCCAAAGGACCAACGCGGCAATCCATCCGAGCACATATAGAATATCACCAGCCATCGGGTGCAGTGTTTGCGTTCTTGGAAAGATTTTGGATGCTTGAATGCCAAGCTGCATTGCGGCGTAACCGCCCTGTCCCATGGGTCCCAAAGGCAAGAAGACGCTGACAATAACTTCCTTTGGTGGGAGGTGGTGAATCGTGAGCCGGTGGAAGTACATTGTCAGAATCATCAGCGCAAGGGAAAGGCCCATGCTCCAGAGTACATAACTGGCAATTATGGTGATGAGGGCGTGGTTATCGTTGGGCAGAACGGAAGCCACTAGACCACCAGATGCAGCGGCGACTATGCACGCGACAATTGGTAGAAGCCAAGCTGCTGTCATTTTCTCATGCTGGTTCCTGTGTTGTGTCATCCTATACAAATGTCAGTCGCGAGTTACAAAGTTGGGCAAAGAGGGCATCTACATCTGGAATGGGAGCCATAGACAACAAGCGACGCTGATGACGACGTCCAGCCACCACATACCCCATGCCACATATGGTGTTGAGCCACCCCACGCCGGTACGCAAATTGCGACAAACATGTTAATAATGGTGGCGAAGCCCATGGGCATAGTACCAAGGAAGAGCGACTGCACAGGATGCCGTAACATCAATGTCCATGTTGCTGGAAACAAGGTGTACCGCAATAGCGATATGACAAACATTACCGAGAAAATGCCAATGTTTAGGACGAAGAAAACGATGCTGAGATTTCTCAGCGAGTCATGATAACTCTGATAGAGATTTGATAGCGTGTGAAGCAGAACAGCCACAATGCCTGTGCCCATGGTGACTGCAAACTTTCCATCATGTTAGCTTTTTCTTCCATTTTTCTTTGGTGGTGATTTGCTCACCCATGAAGGCGTGAAGTTTTGTACTATCCGCCGCCAGCCACGTTGGTCTGAGGGTATGAGCCATCTTGGTAGTCCTTGCTTAGTTTCACACACAGCTATACCACTGTTACAGCCAAGTCGCGTATCATTTCTCGCTCTGTTTTCTTCACAGGCCCCAATATTCAGTTGGCAAGGTGTTGACATTATTTTGTTAGCGCGTCTGGAAATACGAAAGATGAAAATGGGAAAAAGTAGTTCAAAATTTATCAGTATACAGTGAGCATACCAAACCGATTACATGTACGTTTAAATTCATCGACTTGGATATTGACTCATCAAGTCTTTTACGTAGTCGTTTCTGATCTACGATTTTTTTTTCTTCGTCTTGAACAGTATTTAGTCATCAAGTACGGATTATGTTCTGGTTTGAGGTATTGCTCAGCATGCACAGGCAGTTTGGGTCGGACTGTCGGCGATGGCCCGAAGAAAATGTCAAAGCGTGATTGGGGATAGCCGACTAGCGGTAACGGACATGGCCGCCTTACAAAGCTTGCCGTTTCTGAAAATCTTCATCAAACATTCGATCCAGTACAAGGCAGTCAGACCACCAGAATGCATATCTTGCGACGCGCTACTCCCAACAGTAAAACGGCCGCCACGGTCTTACTTTGCCCAGTGTTCTCTGCACGTGCTTCGCTATTTCACTATGTCTAGTGTAGGCTAACGAAACATGGCGTTATTCGGACTACTACTCGGTGGTAAGGCAAGGCTAGACGGTGGGACTAGACCACGTGCATTACAATACTTCCCCTTCGCGTGGTCAAGCCTACTGAGCATTCTTACCGAGCTTCACCATCGTGAAATGACCGCCTTGGCGCCGTGCCCATGTGCCATATATCCGAGCGCTTGTGGATCATGGGCTTTGCGCCAACGATAACAGGTGATGGTGAAATACAGCTGCATGTCGAAGTCAGTGGCTATAGGTGGGACTTTGTAAAATCGGCATGACGCCACGGCGCAGTCATACTATACCCAGCAACCCCCGATATGTCTTACAGCAGTACAAATTGAAGCCAAGACCGATGCGAATCACATATGGACACACCAATCCTATCAGCATCAACAAACTCTAATGCAATCGGAACAATGCAAAATGCGCCAACCTCAGAAACTTCCCGAATTGGTGACGCCAAATCGCTGCGAGTGTTGTTTCGTTGTCATTCGCTACTCGCGTGGTGTTTATATTACTCGCTACCGGCATTTTATATGAGGTTTCCGGGGGAAATAGATTGCCCCAGTGGAAAAACCAGGTTTACACACTACAACCCCAGGCTCCAGCCACAGTGTAGGGGGGGATATAATATCGTTGTAATATCGACTTCTCCACTCAAAGTCACATTGCCTAGTGCCAAAATCCTTGGAAGGCGAGTAAACAGTGGCAGCCCCGAACTAGAGTGCTACAAGCTTTGTGTAGCTCTATGTAGACCATGCCGAACTACTGCTACTAGTCGGTCCCTACGGGCTTATAGTCATCTAAGAGCACTATGCACTTCTTGACTTACCAAGAACAGCCCGGGACGACACTCCGTGCTCTTCCTGGGACGACGTTGACCATTGAAACATCCTATTCAGGACTTTGTGTAATAAGAGAGAAGATCTATAAGAAGCAGTGGAAGTGCCGTGAAACCAAATCCACAGCCCGCGACAATCACTTCCAAGCATAGCAACAGCAACTTGACACTAAACGCAGATATGCACGCATCCACTCTCCTCCTCGGCGCTGCCGCCCTCCTTGTCGAGAATGTATCCGCCCACGGTTTCGTCAAGGCCGTCAACATCAAGGGCGTCTCAACCAAGGGCTCCGATCCCGTCTGGTTCTACCAAGGAAACAACCGCGTCGCAACCGCTGGCTGGGACTCTCTGAACCAGGATCTCGGCTTCGTCGAGCCCAACAGGGCCTCATCCGCTGACGTCAACTGCCACAAGAGCGCTACACCAGGCAAGCTGTACGCCAACGCTAACCCGGGCGATACCATCGAATTCGAGTGGAACACTTGGCCAGACAGCCACAGGGGTCCCATCATCCACTACATTGCTCCTTGCAACGGTACGCAGCCGCTCCTCCTTCTCCCTTAAGCCCGTCTCTATCCGAGAAGAAGAATTTGCAGCTAATTTGCTTGTTCCATAGGTGAATGCTCAAGCATGTCCCCCGGCGACCTCCGCTGGTCCAAGTTCGCCCAGGAGGCTATCGTCAGCCCCAACGTCTGGGTCACTGACAACCTCATCAAAAACGGCTTCAAGGCTTCTGTTAAGCTGCCGTCTAAGCTTGCTGCTGGCAACTATGTTGTTCGCCACGAGATTATTGCCCTGCACGGCGGATCGAGCCCTAACGGTGCTCAGCTGTACCCTCAGTGTAAGTTCATTCCCTCCCTCTATCTTTTGATTTGGATTCTAGTGCAGACGCTAACGTGAGGGTTTCAGGCATCAACGTCAAGGTTGGAGGCAGTGGCACTGTTAGGCCCTCTAACGGTGTCCCAGGTACCAGCCTGTACACCCCCACCACCCCTGGTATCTTGTTCAACATCTACACTAACCCTACTTCTTACCCCTTCCCTGGCCCTGCTCTGTGGACTGCTGCCAACTAGATGGGTCAATGTGGGTTTGAGATGAGATGAGGGAGGTTCTCGAGATGGCCAAGGTTCTCGCCTGTTGGAATAGGCTGCTCTTCTACTCTGTATATACTTCACTCTTTCTTGAGGGGTTCATGGTCACGTTGGACATGTCCCCAATGTAAATGGATGCTATTACGACATGACCTTGTCTACTTTGTAGTAGACAGGTCGCATTATATACATGACTTGCAAATCATCTTTGTTGGAATTACTGATCGGTAATTCTGCTGTGCATCGTCAATCATGAACAGACCGCCTTTTTCGCACTTTCAACCTTACAGTGAATTCAGAACCCAAGTCTACTCCTTTATACTTACGTCCTCATTACAGTTATCTTCACAGCCCCTGCGATGCACTTTGTTTCCCTCCTTCCTGGGCTAGGTACGCACCTCAAATACTGCAGTAACAGTAACCTTAAAAAATGCACATGTTGAAAACTTAGCAACGCTTTCAAGGAGACTGCTTCCAAAGAGAACTTCCAACAAAACCACTCAAAAACCACCCTCTGTCTGCCTTACCATGCATCAAACTACTCAAACTGATTCCTACTCGGATCAGGCGCACAATACCCCCTCCCAAACAAAAGGCTCTGTAACCTATCCTCCATCCTGGCAAACTAGTCTCAACGTCAGCTTCCATTCATGACTTTCCAAACTCCCTACACATATCACAGTAGAACAAGGAAAAGAAAAACTTACAAATCCCCTCCCCTGCACCCCATCCCTAACCCAAACCCCATATCCCCCCATCAAATTCGCCATCATAACATCCGTACTCAACCGATCACCCACCACCGCAACGTGCTCGGGCCGCGTAACTCCCGTCTCAGGATGCGCCGCAAAATACGCCATGACATCGTCTTTGCACCCGGGCTTCTTGGTCGAGTGGCGTAGCACGACGACGCCCGTGTTGCGTTCTAGCAGCGTTGCCTGTGTGCCGTGAGGATCCGAGGATGTACCTGCTGTGTTTGAGACGATGAGAAGTTTGCGGCCGGGGTAGGCAGCGCGGAGGCGGGTGAAGTGGTCCTTTGGTCATGTGAGTTTTATCTTCACTTGTTAAAAAAATAATGTGGGACATGATAGTAGTCGTGGGTTTTTGTTTGAGATGAAACTTACTTGGTAGGGTTCGTATATCTCATCTGTGTGAGGAACGGCGAAGCAGTTGTCTTTGTCTAGGATTACGGCGCGGATGTCGACTTCTTTCTCGCCTTGTTTGCGTGGAAAGGCTTTGCTGAGGGGGACGGGGAGCTGGTTGAATGTTGGGATTGTGTGTTGGGGGAGGCAGAGAGTGGGGTCTCGCAAGAGGCGGAAGATGTTTAATGTGCCGGAGATATTCATGGTGGGTTTTAGGGCGTGTATAGGATGCGGTGATGTGACGTATTTTAAGTAAGACACGAGTTCGTGAGCAGCGAGAGATGCGCGTTCCGAGCGTTCCGAATAATTCCGAGCAGTAAGAAATTTGACTGTTCTCTTGGGAATTAGGAGAGGAAGAGGGTTGAGACGAATGTAGGCTTGTTCAACAGTACATTTCACTTGGCATGTATTAATCATGATTACCGGATTGAATTCAATATTGATACATGCAGGTCACCAGGTTTTGACTTCTCGCTTGACTGATCAATAGAGTTGAATTGAATTTATCCACAAGAAAGATACAACAGAACTCCGAGCCTTTCATAGAAACACAGTCAATCATCTCTCCTATTACCCCCCTCTTGTCAAACTTTCTGCCTCACTTCCTCACTCAAGCCTCCGAAGTTGAAAACATGTCTAAGCAGCGCCGTCATAAATGTCGATACAAGGTCGGAAATGGATCTAACATGACTAGCGATTGGTGATCCATCCGCAGGTATCTCAGATGGCGAAACTTATTCTTAGTAGTTGTAGCACCTCATGGACGCGAAACCTTTAACGGTCCAGTTGGAGGCACAGTCGCTGTTGTTGCCTTCTACTGTCGCCCTAGTTCCCCTGCAGTCGCTAAATTTGTAGAAGAAGCAACCGCATCCTCGGGATCCTTGGGCGCTATCGCAAGCAACTACGCTGACGCTGTGACTGTTGTCGTACTCGTTGTTGTAGCAGCGTCCATTGCCTGGTGTATCGGATTCGACGATGGAGTGCCAACAACGACCATCATCGTGGTATCGGACTTTGACGGCGGATGTCATTGTGGCGATAGTCGCAAGGACAGAGAGAGCTGTAGCGAAATGCATTTAAACGATTCAAAGGTGAAAAGGATTGAATATTTAGAAATACGTTTGTTGTGATCGAGGTGCTATTCTGATTTTGTTTTAAAGCAGCGCAGGCTGTCTTATATAGTCTGTCACCATAGTTTGTTGTGCTGCTGTCTCATCGCAACCGTAGTTCGCTGTTCTGCTGCCTTCGTCGCAACCATAACCGATTTGGTTGTACCCAATAGAGTTGTGCCTAATAAGCATATACCTATCGAGAGGTGTACATATTGTTGTTAGTATTACCAACCAATTTTCAGGGTTCGAAAGCAGGGTCTCGCTGACGTAAATGTCTAAGCCGAAGCTTTGAGGCTTTTATACAGGCTTATTATTTGAATCCTTTTACTTTGACTGCAAAGTTATTTTTTCTTAATACCCGATTCCAGTAGGTTAGAGTGTGGCCTGCCATTCTTTTCTCAGATAATCAATCTGATACGCTACACAGCAAACAGATGAAGACAAGTCAAGTCGTACATGGGACTATAATCACGTTGAGGGAGGAAAGTTAGATTCGAGATCAGTTTGCAGCGTGCTTTATGCTTGTATGATCGGCGATATCTTATTTTAAAGACCGAAGCAAGTCGTTGAGATGAGCTTTGATCTTTAGCTCGTTGACGTGGAGAGCAGAGAAAGGAAGAATGGGTTTAGAGGGCCAAATCCGCGTGCACGTGATGACTAAGTAAATGGTCCAAGCTCAACCTTCAACTTTCTGTAGACAGCGATATTGATACGCGCAGCAGGCCTGCACCAAAACTATCCACAACCTCCCACTGCGGTGCCTCTGAAAGTATCACTGAAACTGACGAGTGCGTTACTCGGCGAATATCTTGGCGACACAACGAGCGCATTTACCTCGATTATCCCATTCAGTACCTTTCGCGGACCTTCACCGAACGTCTTCTTCGCAACCTCCAGCACGCGCATAACTAGCTACAAGCCTACAATCTCAGCCTAAACCCCAGTTCTCAAAGATGACGAGCACTATTGGTATTCCAATCAAGCTCCTCAATGAGGCAGCAGTATGCGCAACACGGTTCTCAAATTCTCCCATGTCAGTACTGACTTTTAACAGGGCCACATTGTCACGCTCGAAATCACATCTGGCGAAGTCTACCGCGGCAAGCTGATTGAAGGTCCGGCTTCTATCCTATCTATAACACTTAAACCCTGCTAATGGGTTCGCAGCTGAGGACAACATGAACGTGCAGCTAAAGGACATTACTGTGACTGCTCGTGACGGTCGTGTCTCACATCTTGAGCAAGTCTACATCCGGGGAAGCCATGTACGATACTTCATTGTACCAGACATGTTGAGGTAGGCTCGTCAAGGGAACCTTCACTGAACAAGGCACTAACTACGGATAGGAACGCGCCCATGTTCCGATCGAGAGGTACGAGGGGTCGCGGTGTTGGTCTTGCGCGTGGTAGGGCCACAGTGAACAGGGCGAGGGCTAGCACTCGAGGTGGTGGACGTTGAACCATGTGAGGAATTCCGGCAAAGACACAACTTGAATGGCAGTAGCAAGCAAGCAATCCCAGGCGCAGCAGCTGTGAGGATGCGCTTGATGCGATTGATAAATGGCAAGGGGGATACACCGACAGGTATGATACCAGGTCACTTTTGCTGGGGCATACGCTGAAAACGGGATAGCAAATTTGATGATACCTTGGAACACGAATGAATGTTCATTCTCAAAAGAATGCGAAACTATTGCGTGACACGTGATGGTCCGAAGACCTGTATGTCTCTGCTACATTTAACGTGTAGTCTAGGCGCAGTCGCTATTGCTTTTGATCATCGCAGCCTGTTGCCCCACAATGAAAGATCGAGGGCTCACTCCCGAGAACTCCGCAACCCACAACTTTTTCCAGCACAACGCCACAATATGGACAGCATGGAGGGTATGGATAGCATGGATATCAAGAATTCACGACGCCTTTTAATTGTTGGGGCGCCAGATGCTGGTGTACTACCACTTCTCAAAGGCATGTTTCAACCTGGTTGCTCGTACGCCATTCGCTAATTGTCCTGCAGAGCTCACAGGCTCCGCTCCAGAACCCACATCCAATACCACCGCCGGCCTTACGCATGAGTTGCGCATTGAAACCAAGTACTACACCGCCACTGTGCCCATCTGGATCGACGAATTACCCAACGTTGCTGAATGGCGCACCGAATTCACCAAACCAGAAGCCCGCGAAGTTGTTACAGCGCTCGGCGCATGGGTATATTGTTTCAAGAGACCAGTCGAAGAAAAAGATGTAGATAAAGTCAAAGAAACGATGCAGGCCATCTCGGATGTAATTGAACGTGCGTGTGGCTATGGCGGCGATATTGCATGTCTAGCGGTGGCGATGCCGCAATCCGTTACGCCATACCTGGACAAAAGCCACGAGGAGTGGGAAGAGTTGGCCATGGACTATGGTTTCGAATACATTGACTCGGAGAAGAAGGGCAAAAACGAGTTTGGCGAAGCTACGGGAGTGCAGCGGGTGCGGGAAGCGCTCGAGGCAGCAGAGTGGGAGAGCAGTGCAGCCTTGGATTTTGGGGAAGATGAAGAAGGGTTCGAGAATAGCTTTGAGGCCGAAGAGGCAGAAATGAACATGGAGCTGTTTGGCATGAAGAATGCGCTTGCGGGGTATGATGGCGACGAAGAGGGAGAGACAGACGACAAAGACGTCGAAGACCTCGAAGTCATGATGCGAAAAGTGGTTGCTATCAAAGAAATGGGCGAGGGCATGGAAGAGGGCGAACGCAAACGCTTCGCCGCCAAAGCCGTCAACGACCTGATGAAAGATTTCTGAACCTTTTATACTCTCCCCCTTCAACTCTACCTGCATTGCATTCCTTTCAACTCTTAACACCAAAGCAAATCAAAAACGGAAAATCCATCTCCCTCGCCGGCTTCCCGTCTTCGGCCTCTACTTCCTTCCTCAACACAAACGCCTCCTCAACCCTCACCTCGTTGAACCCCGTCCCTAGCAACATCTCCTCGATTTCTTTCTTCTTGATTCCGTGCCGCTCCACCCCAGGCCGCTTACTCACAGGATGAAACGGTACAGCCTCCGGCCCAAAATCCTCATAATCCGTCAGCGCCACCACGCCCCCATGCCGCAGACACTTATGCATCGTCTGCAGGATATCCGGCATCGAGGGTATATGATGCAGCGTTAGATGCGACACCACAAGATCAAAGCGGTACTCGTACGGCGGCTTCGGTTCCTCTCCTCTATGCGTCGCTAAGAGTGCTGCTGCACTCTGCAGTTCGTGCGCGTCGGGGTTGGTGAGGAAGTGGTTCACAGAGCAGAGGTTTGGGTGTTCAGTGGGTAGATTGGCGAGTTTGATGTTGAAGGCGGAGATCATGCCATCTGCGGTGTCGACGCCGATTAGGCTGCGGACGTGGGGGGCGAGCATGAAGGAGAGGAGGCCGGTGCCGCAGCCGATTTCTAGGACGTCAAGGTCTAGAAGCGTTGTAGTACTTGATTAGAAACTTGAGGTTGACTGTTCAATTTTGATTTTTTTTGGAGATTGTTTTAATGGCTTCTTTTTTGTATTGTAAAATGGATTAGAATTGAGGAGTTGATGTTTACTTACTTTTGTTTCTACCCTCTTTGAAAGCGGGTACGTAGCGTTTTATTGCTTCGAGGGCGTTGGCGGTGGATTCCACGTGCTTCTTATTGGAATCCCATTCTAGGGCTTCGGCGCTGAAGCGCGCGTTGTTGATTTCTTGGTTAGACATGGTATATGTTCTGTTGAGGGGAAAGAGTGAATTGTTGCGTCTCTGTACGAAGAGGGAGGTTGCTCAACTGGCTTGTATACAGGATGCGGTGATGGCGGGGTTGCGGGGTTCTAAACGGGCGCGCCTGGTCACATACAGCTGAGGGGAAGTCTGGAGCATACGAGGACAATCGTCATTAAGGTGCGTTCATGATGAGCTACTATTTGCTCTAATGCTAGTGATATTTTGAGGTTGGATGTAGCTTAAGTGCATGATGGTACTTGTAGATAGGTGATTTTGACATGCAGACTTAATATGACAATATAAGGTTGAGGACAGATTTGAACATATTGATATTTCATATCTTAACCGATGGCGTACCTTTGAAAATAGTCTTGGAATAATTGCTTGACAGCATTTGCAGAGTCTCATCCACAGGGTGTTAGCTACAGTAGTAATACCATACCTAGAAAGCTGCTTATGAAGCTTGGTATAGTATTTTTAGTTATCCCATTATTGGAAGAATTCCATTGGCAAAAGATTTCTAATAGGCATTGATATCTCGATATTGGATAACTACATCAAGTTAGTCCTGTGAATATTCTCTTCACTCTGCGTTGTTTGGAATCCTCGCAGAGACACGTGCTTTGAACTGCAAGCTTCAATTCAATTACCAGGATCATCGTAGTAATGCAGTAAGACAGCGGGCTGCCAGATATCAGGCGGTGGAACGACGTAGTATGCGTGATCATGTTCGGTGGCACAGCTTCGGCCACAGCGGTGGCTGTGCAGTGGCAGTGAAACGGAGCTTGACCCGCCATTGGAGTGGGTAAAAGGGTCTATGAGCTACAAATGTATTCTTCGTGAAATGATTGACCGATCGATGTAGTATGCATGCACAATCTGTCCAAGTGGCTGGTAGAGTAGGACCATCTACTCGCCTGAGAATGCCCCGCTCGTTCGTAAGCGCCCCTTGTACAAACGTGGCGGCTTCGCTGGGTTGGTGACAGCTCAGCCTCAATATGTCCCACATTTCGTCATGTATACACGCCCAAAGCCCAACGCGGTCGGCCAATGGCCAATGACGAGACCCGTCAGGCGGGTGCAATGGGCGCCTGCTGGGGCGGAGCTGACCAACATGTTGCGCTGACCTGGGCATCAGCGCCATCCTTCGCACAAACAGCGTGCCAGACACCCACGCTCCTTCACCCGCCATTTCTTCCTTCATAACCTGCAGAGCTCCACCTAGAAAATCAGCCTTGTCAAGCCTTTTCTCAACTCCTCCAACACCGTGAGAAGCTCCGAAGCAACACACACACACGCACAACAATGGGTGTATGTTATCCTGTGGTTCCTTGGCTGCCCCTCCATCCCCCATGACCCCGCCTGCGTCATCGAGGTGTGTATATACACAGGTAGATTAAGCTGACCTGATGTAGCTCGCAAGCAAGATGGCTGCAGCAAATGCAGCAGCAGGCATGCCTCCAGGCGGCCAGTCTGGCTATGTAAGTGCAATGCTCGGGTTGCATTCAAAGCGCTCACTAACGCATATACGTAGCCTGGACAGCAACAGTACCAAGCGTATCCAGGTGCCCCAGCCCCAGGTGCCGGCGCTGCCGGGGTAAGTCAAAGCTCTTTCTTTTGCTGCTAGTTCCCGCTCTTCCTGCATCATCATCGCCCTCTGCCCTGCTGTACCCGCCACCCAAGACTAGGCATTTGCAAGCCGTGACGAGTCCCCACTCCACTTTTGACTCCCAATAAACCACCCCCCCGCCCTCTTGGACCGCCCGCCTCTGGACTCTATCCGCCACAATCTGCTCTTGGGCCCTAGCCACACATGCCTCTCTCAAGCAAAATGGCTTCCAGCTACAGCGCTTACCAGCCGCCCCCGCCACCGGGACAAGCACCAAACCCATATGCACAACAACAACCTGGCCCTCCAATGCCCCCGCGCCCTGGTTCAAATGCACCACCACCACAGTCTCCCTATTCACAGCCGCCCGCCCCAAGTTCCTATGGCACATCATCATCACCCTATCCTCAAGGACAGTCTGGCTACAACAGGCCTCCCCCGCCGCCTCCAGGTCAACAGCCTCAGTCTCCATATGCCCAATCTCCATATCCTGGCCAGGCACAGCCCGCCCCATGGAGTCCACCACCAACCCCTCAATCATATGGGCAGCAGCCTTACGGACAGCAGCCCTATGGACAGCAACCCTACGGACAGCCGCCTCAGCAGGGACAGTGGGGGCAACCACAGCAACCAGCCTATGGACAGCCGCTCCAGCAGTATAACCAACCTCTTTCACCGTCTTACCCGCCAAATGTTCGTATTGATCCGCTTTCTCCCCTATTTATCCTTGACGGATATGATCCTGGATCTCCATTGTGAAAATCTTCGTCACTTGAGCCCTATACATTTTCTTTTCTGTGACTTATTTTACATTTTTTATAACTCATTTTGCTCAAACCAGAAAGCTGTCTGAATAATCACTAACATATGGATCAGGGTCCACCAGGACAGGGTCAATACGGTGCTCCTCCGCCTCAAGGAGGATACCCAGGCGGCCCGCCTCCCCAGCAACTATCCCAGAGCAGCCCTGCTGAAGTAGAAGGCTACAAGCAACTTCTCAATGCCTGTATCCAGGAGAAGAACCTCCAGGGCTTCTACCCGCCAAATGACCCAAGGATTGCCCAGATCGCTCAACAAGCAGGCCCCAAGGTCAACCAGGTCATTCAGCGCTGGCGTGTCGCAAAGGAAATCGCAAATGATATTGTCAAGCTTGCCTTGTACGACATTGTACTCTATATCGGTAGGTTACGCAATTCAGCTTATGGAGCGCAGCTGACATGTAGAAGACGACAGTGGTTCCATGCAGTTTGAAGAGGAGGGAAGCCGCATCAAGGACTTGCGCCTTATTCTGGAGCGGGTCTCGTTTGCTGCCACGCTCTTTGACCATGATGGTATTTCTCTTCGCTTCATGAACACTGATCTTTCCAACGCACGCGACCAGCAGGGCCGTCCTCTCCAGGATGGTGTGGCCTCTGAAGCTCAGATTGAGCAAATTATGCGTGGCGTACAGTTCAAGGGTCTTACACCTATGGGAACTGCTATGAGACAAAAGGTCATTGATGGCATCGTTCTCCAAAAGGCGAGGAACGGTCAGCTGAACAAGCCGATACTGGTCATTGCCATCACCGATGGTCAGCCAGCTGGAGAGCCCCAGAACGCCATCTTCGATACCATTCAGTATGCTTTTGACACTCTTAAGGGTTTCCCACAGTATGGCCGCGGCGCTGTTGCATTTGAGTTCGCTCAGGTTGGAAATGATGAAGCTGCTAGGAAGTTCCTCGGTAAACTTGATGAGCACCCCGTAATCGGACCAGAGGTTGACTGCACCTCGAGTAAGTTTGATCAATCTGCATGTAGGATATCGCTAACATTGTACTAGACTTCGAGAACGAGCAAGAAGAGATGATGCGCGCCAATCCTCCTGTGGATCTCACACCTGATCTGTGGATCATCAAGCTTCTTCTTGGCGCCATTGACCGTAGTTACGACTCCAAGGACGAGAAGACCAACCACCAAGCATCTGGTGGATATGGCGCACCTCCAGGCCAGTACGGTGCTCCGCCAGGCCAATACGGCGGCCCACCGCCGGGTCAGTACGGAGGTCCCCCACCAGGACAGGGCCAGTATGGCGCGCCACCCCCACAAGGCCAATATGGCGCCCCTCCTCCAGGCCAATACGGAGCTCCACCACCAGGTCAATATGGTCAGCGACCGCCGCAGGGTGGTCCTGGTGGATACCCAGGTCAGCAGCAGTACGGCCAGCCACCGCCAGGTGGCAAGTACTAGTACTGAACTCCTAGCCAAGGCGTTAGCAACCGAAGTTTGGTCTCAGGCTAGAATCGAAAATAGGAAGCAGGAATGTGTCAAGGAACAGTGATGGATATCCTTTAATTAGCCTATGTTTTCCGAGAATATGTTCTATTAGAGAACTATGGCTCTGACTCTGCGTGTCTGGGACGGCTTGAATTGTTTGCAAAATTGCTATGAATGATATTCCCCCCTCAGTGCATGTCTAGCTTGCATGCTTTCAGTAGTGTTTTAGAATCCATTTCAATCAACCATGTATAGACCAATGTCGGCCCCAGTTCCATCTTCAAGAGTAGGTCTTATCAAGTATAAGGCCTCGCTTATCTAGGCCAGGCGGATGTCACTAAGAAATACCTAAGGCGTTCATATACTCCCTACAGCATAGGGTAGTAGTACAACCAACGCAGTAGAGAAAAGGAAGTAACAAAGGGAAAGGGGCTTCAAATGGTTTTTTTTTTGTAATTAGGGTTATGCTGAGTGCGATAATTAGTCCACCCTCATGAATGCCATTGAATCTGGTTGAGTCCGGTGTTAGGTAGTAGGTTGCTTAAATTTGGAGTGTAGGGGTGGATTAGGAAAGAATTGAAGTGTCTCTGAGACTTGATCAACAAGCTGAGACTCCAGAGGATTTAGAGTATTCTCTTCTTGATTTGTGATGTTGCATATCATATTGTGCTCCAAGTTAGTGTATATACTTTTGAACAGAGCTGAAAGACCAATGCATGAAGAGAAACAGAAGCTACAGCGAGCTGAGTAAGTTTAGCCCTAACACCCTCCCTACAGCTTATGTAACTATAGATAACACATGTGCGGAGGGCTTAGTGCTACGAAATATTGTCTACTTACCACAGCGGAAATAAATGCAAATAGCGGAATAGTGCCGCGCTATTGTATTATTACCTCACCACGGCAGAAATGAAAGTAGGGAGCGGAACAGTGCCGCGCGAAAAAAAAAGACTTAAAAAGGCGCCGCAGAGCGACCGTCAGGGGCAACGCCCAGAGCAAAGAAGAGAGATTTGGGTGAGTAGCTCGTAGGGGGAGTCACCTATGTAGTAAGTATATATATATATGTACATAGGTACATAGATACGTAGACAAATAGATAAGAGTTGTAGTTTAGGTATGCATTATCCAGGGTCCAGGATCGATCACATGCAAAGTTTACAAATAGTACTAGTTGGCTATCTGCACATGGTCCTGCACGTGCCCGCTGATGACGCGCCATGGCCTGTTCCGAGCAAACCTCGGCCAGCATGCTCAGGTAATGCATGACCTCTTGCTACTTGACCCAATTTCCAACAACATCATGTCTCAATAACATTCGTCTCACTTAGTTTTTGATCGTGTTCTGCGGGAGCTGCATACTATCGCCATGACGGAAGACCTGCATCCTGCGACAAGCACGTCTTCCTCGGAACCCGCCGGAGCGCCTTCTCCGTCGCCTGGTGCGGCGCCAGAACCACCCGCGCGCCCATCTTTGATACGCAAGTTACGCCTTTTGCTCCTGAAATACATTACCAAAGCCGCCTCTGGCACAGACCGCACAATTTTCCGCCTCGCAAAACTACTGTCGACTCCTGACGGCACTGATGCCCTTCTATGCACAACATGCTACACACTTACCCTGGTCCACGCCCTCCTATCCCGCCTTCTCGAGAAAAGGTTAGCCAGCATCGCGACTGAAATCGCCGGGAAAGCAGATGGGGTATTGTTTCCTGGCGAAACGCTCATAGCGACCCTACCAGCACCTACCAGCACCAAACTTATAGCCCAGACAATAGGAAGTGCAAAGGCAGTGGCTGACCTCATATCCGACTATCGAATCTTCGTGCGTTTGTGGAGTTTGGTGGGTATATACACTTGGGGGAGAACGACGTACCAGGACCCTTTACCTGAGAATGCTGGCGCAAAGGAAAAGACGCTGCGCGCCTTGACATGGGCGTCTATCACGTCGTGCGTAGTCTGTCAGGTTCTCGAGGGTGGTGCATATCTTAGCTCAAAGGGAGCCTTGACATCAGCTAGGTGGACCGGCGACGCGGGAAAGGCACGGGAGAATGAATGGTGGATCTGGAGTGCGCGGTTCTGGGCTGCGTATGTTGGTATTGAGGTTGTTCGTCTCGGTGTCATGCGATGTAACCGCTCGCCATCTTCCTTGGCGCCTGTAGTCAACGGAGATGGGGAAAAAGAGGACAAGATTAGATTGGCAGAGAGTATAAGAGCGGAAAAGGAAGAGAACTGGGTTTGGTGGAAAGATCTGGTATCGAATCTTGCATACGCCCCAATGACACTGCATTGGTCGCTGGAGCAGGGGCTCCTCGGCGATGCGGGCATAGGCATTTGCGGCATGGTTGCAGGCGGATCTATGCTGATTGATGCATGGAGCAAGACTGCATAGACGCCTCCGGATATCTCTCATCCTATCGTAAGGCCCACGTGAGGATGACAAGAAGCTATTAAAAATGCCCGCTTCTGCATGTACCATTGCCGCCGGCGATACGGCAGTAGAGTACGCCCAGGGGTGAAGAAAGATACACGGATATACCCTTTCCTACACTTGGTCAATAAACTCAATCGAACAAAAAAAGCAAACCTTGACTTGCCCTCAACGCATATACCGTTGACCCAACTAAGCATAACCTCCATCATCTGCCCCCTCATCTGCCCCCTCATCTCCATCCCGATCTCAGATCAACCACCACACCAGGCAATCCCGCTGCAATCCCACCCCTCCATGCACCAACAAAACTCCCGAAACCCTCACTCAACCTTTTGCCCAAATCGCTAGCTAGCTAGCCCACCTTCCGCATCTGGCACTAGTCCCCGCGTCGATAGGTAGTAACCCGCCGATCCCGCACGTCCAACCAGCCTATCGAACGCGCACATGTGCGTCTGTTAGCTCGTGGTCGGCCAACCCGGTTGCTTGATTACCATGTAAGCTAAGTAGCGAATAAGGCCCACGGAGTAAGTGGAAGCGCCGCCGAATGAGATGGATAAGGTGAAACATGTGGGTGGGATTTGGGGATTGTTGTGGGTGGGGCTGCGGTAGGTCAGATGGAGATGTGTAGCGCTTAGGATGGCGGGAAATTGGGGAATGAGGGTACTAGGTGAGATTATGGAGGGGGTGTATGTAAGATGAAAGGGTGAGTATGCATGCCGAATGAAGGGGGGGGGGGGGGGGGGAATTGAAGAGGTAACTGAAGATGAGCATTTCGAATGTATTGCTTATGGTGTTTTGAAACAGGTGACAGGCAAGGATAACAACCAATCCAATTATCTATCTTGCCTCCAGGAAACAAAGCACGAGTAAAGTCAAAACGTGGAATGGAGACCGGGCAAGATACGTTAGATTTGCCTCTTTTCTCCGTTCGGATCATACGGGACTACTTTCTGCGTGACTTGATGTTCCCTTGGTGTGTTTCCGGGGGCTTGGAGGGTGTGGCCTTCCAGAGTAGGTCTAAACCCGGAGGTCGACTACGCAGTTTGGTTATGATTTTCGTTTTTGCACATAACTCAACCAAGCCCCCCCCAGGGCATGCAAAGCCACCAGAACTAAGCAAGTAAGAAAGGAGTGGTAGCCTTTTTTTGCGAGCATGGCAGTTTGGCGGCGTATCCGTTGGGTCGCACAAAAAAGTAAGCTGTTAATTGCTTTGACTTTGAAGTATATAAAGGGCTGTAGGTATCCCCCCAAATTCATATTTGAAAGTGTCGAGAAACACCACCGGTTTCCGTTGCACCCCCACCCTCGTTGTCGTCCACTGTCTTTCCCATTCGCTTTTAAGCAGACAAACCGTTCACTATGCAGCTCTCCACTCTCCTCCTGTCTCTCCTCCCCGCTCTTACCCTCGCTCTCCCCACAACCGACTCCGTGGAATCATCTGATGTCCTCGCTGCCGTCGAGTCCAGACAGTCGTGCTACGTGAAGTGCGGATCGACATGCTACACCTCGGCGCAGGTCACCACTGCCCGCAATGCAGGATACAACTACTACCAGAACAACGACCAGGCTGGTAGCTCGAACTATCCTCATACGTATAACAACTACGAGGGCTTTTCGTTCTTGGTGTCCGGACCGTACCAGGAGTTTCCGCTTAGGACATCGGGGGCTTACACCGGTGGTGAGTGACTCTTGTTCTCAATTTGGATTTAGACTTTTCTCTTTGCTCTTCTTGTTTACTAATGTGTATTTTGCAGGCTCGCCTGGTGCCGATCGTGTCATTTTCAACACTCGGGGTCAACGCGCGGGAGAGATTACGCACACTGGTGCCAGTGGTAACGCCTTTGTTGCTTGCTCGGGTTGGTAAATTCTATTTTTCTTCAGAATGTGGGGGTATGAAAGCAGTGGCACTCGGAAAGAGAGTGTGTGAGATGGTCAAAACTGTGGCTGGCGTTCGCTACGGTCAGTGATTAAGACGTAACGAGGGATTGCTATATCCTACTATCAGGGAGCCAGTGTTTTGGCATCACAGAGATTTAACGAAAGGATACGAACTTTGTATATATGAATGAAATAACTGAAATAAGGATCTGGCATGTTACGACAAGATTACACTTAAAAATGCGCCCCAAAATACATCAGACGTAAACATAAAGAATTTATTTACTCAAGAGCAGACTATATTCATCCCATGTCGCTCACGAACACATTAATCGATTACGAATATTTCGTACCCCAATATTGATTTATGGAATTTGGATATTCGAGTACGGGCAAGATTAGGGTTAGATAAGCGATATCCTGGATTGTTAACTAATCCTATCTACTCAGACTTGTAAGGCTATCGCGCGTCATTAGGCGGGATGTGCAGGGCAAGCTAGCCTAGTCTTAAACTTTGCATGTGATCGATGCTGGACCCTGGACACCACACACTCAAACGCATTGGCGATCTACACACGTCCTAACTTCGGCGCTTCTGTCGCATGTCTCGGCTGCCAACTTTAATGCATAGAAGGCGGGGGCCACATACCAATACAAGATGTAACAGCGTTTGACATGCATGCTACTGCCAGCAAAACGCATGACATCAACACGCATCTAACAAGCTTTTGAGGGCCTTGTATTTGGCATCCTTGTCGACTCGATATCTTGCCATATCTTCCCACAACTCCCCACTTCACACCGCCACGTCTATAAGGCGGGCGGGCTGGTTTCATTGCGGGGAAAAACGAAGAGCACGGGTTGCGAACGACCCTTTAATCCTGCTTGCTGGAAAACATCACCATTCCTGCTTTTTCTCAGCGGCCACACTCGCTCGTTTTGTTGTGCCCTTGACGCCCTGCAAACACGACAACATCAACAATGTTGACGACGCCCGACGTCCCTACGCGTCGCCCGACGTACCCCCTCGCCCATGCCTTTCGCCGCAAACCCCGCCGTATCCCACTTGTGCTGCGCTTCTCCAAGGGCGCGGTGCACGATATCATTCTCTTGCCCGTGATCCTGCACTCGCTCTTTACCGTCCTCATCGTGTACATCGACACCCGCTATGTCGACTCAATCAGCATCCCGTCGACCATCATCCCCTCGCTCTCCATAGTCGTGGGTCTGATGCTCGTGTTCCGCAACAGCACAAGCTACGACCGCTTCTGGACGGGACGAAACTGTCTGACGACCATCAACACCGCCGTACGCAACCTCGCAAGAATCTCCTTAGTCAACTCGCGCGACAAGGACGGCTACGCCACTGAAGAGCAGCGTCGAGACACCGAACGCATCGTCCGCGTCCTCATCGCCGTCTTATACTCAATCAAACACAACCTCCGCGCCGAATTCAACATCCCCCCCGCCAGCCTCGCCGCCTTCCCTGCCCAACCTACCTCCTACTCCCAGCGCTCCCGCCCCGTCTCCCGGCGCCCCAGCTACATCGACCGCACCGCCTCCTCCAGCGCCGCCCAAAGCACCTCCACCACACCCCTCCTCGGCCAATCCACCCTCATCCTCGAAACCGGCGACGCCGGCATCGTACACACCAAGAAGGACGAATACGTCTCTCTCCTCCCGGACGGCCTCATGGGCTACGAAGACCAAGGCCTCGGTCTCCCGCTTCAACTCACCATCCTAATCGAAGGCTACATCCGCCGCGGCGCCGACCGCGGCTGGTTCAACGCGCCGCTCTCCTCTCAAATGAGCGTGCAGATTAACTCGTTGGTTGATGCCTACGGCCGCATGGAAACGATCCGCTCGACCCCGATCCCCGTCGCGCATCTCATTCACCAAAAGCAAGTCCTCGCTCTATACGCGTGCGTGCTGCCATTTGCAATCGTCGACGATTACAGGTGGTGGAGCGTCCTTGTTGTCGCCATTGTCACGTTTACGCTCTATGGCATTGAGGGCATCGGCGTGCAGTTGGAGGACCCGTTTGGGTATGATAAGAATGATATCAAGATGGATGGCATTATTGAGGATACGAGACAAGAGATTATGGTGCTGCTGGATGAGTGGAAGGCGAGTCATGAGGGGAGGGCTATGGGCGGCATGTTTGAGAATGATGCGTATTACTAGGGGGTGATTGTGAGATTTGCGGGGAATGTGGGCTAATGACGGATATATGCGGGGGGTGGGTTGGTGAGGGGATGAGTAATGATTTTTATTTCTTGGATAACGTTGACGAATGGATAGGATTATGAAAACGATAATAGTAAAATGGTTTCCGAGTTTTGTGTCATAGAATACCATTTGTTATTTTCGACTTCCCAGTATTGAACATCCGCTGAAACGTTTTGCGAGTGTTTGTAACTACTTGTTGTGATGACACCATTTATCGTTTTTGACTTCCTAGTCTTAACAATCTGCAGAATTGTTTTCCAAGCATTGTTTTATGAAATACCACATAGTTATTCCTAGTTTTCGTCTTCTCGTTTTCGACCCCCCCAGTATTAAGCAATCCGCTAGAATGCTTTTCGAGTATCATATGATGGAATAACTACCATTTATCGTTTCTAACTTTTAATTATTCAACTTTCGCTAAAATAATCTCTAGGTGTTGTATTGTGGAATACCATTTTTCGTTTTCGACTCTTGATTGTCAAACATTCGCGTCCACAATCACGTTTACAAGTAACGACAAAATGGAAATCCTCATATATTCCATAACATACATTAACATGCCCTTCCCCCTTCTCTCATAATCATGCGTATATATATATATACCACCCCTCTTCTGCATACGTCTTTCCCCCATCTTCCCCGGGATCTACATTAGATAGCAATAGTCGGCTTTGCATCGTAGCCAAAGTTCCCCTGCAAGCCCCAACAAGCCAACTACTCCATCACTCCATTCACCTCTCGCGCCAGAAAGAATACCAAGAAGAAAAAAAAGGGCCGAAACGGATTCAAGAGAGATTTCAATTCAATCAAACAAATCATAACAACATGTTCGCTTAGTGTGAGTGAGAGGGAGAGCCATTGAGAAGATATCAAACGAGCAAAAATAAAAGAGGGGACAAGAACAACATCGACGCCCTAGAGACATGCTGAACAAGTGAGTGCCGAGCAATGAAGAGATGATGAGAAAAAAGAAGATCCTATGGCGATGAGTCAACAGGGAGAATGTCGATGGATACTGTATATGGGACCAAAAGATGATATCCGAAAAAGACCAAAAATGCCGCCCCTATTTCATATCTCTTTTACTAGTCAAAGCGCACAGGTGGGAGACTGGGTGCTTCGCTCGGACGTCGTCCATTTCCATTCGTGTCAGAGTCGGACGAGGACGACTCAACTTGGTGCAGGCGATTTCCAGCAGCCCTGCCGGCGCTACCGTCTAGGACAAACGGGCCGATGTTGTTGCGAGGCGTCATTGGACCCTCGTGTACGCGGTCGGGTGCTAGGCCATTGCTCGTTGTGTGATGTAGTGGAGTCAGACCTGCGTACTGGTTTGCTCCAGACACGTTGATGCTGACGGGCGCCGTGGCGGACGACACAGGTGGCGTGATTTGACGATCTGGTGTCTCGGGCGAGGACTGATGTGTGTTTCCGTTGGCTGACTCGGTACCGTTGATATCTATGTTTGTGATTTGCTGTCGGAGGTCGCTGAGGTCAAAGTTTGAGCTGCTCGAGTTCATGGGTGCAACAGAAGCACGAGGAGTGACATGGCGGTCGGCTTGCTCTGTGTTTGCATGGGTGGTTGTGTCGCCGTTGGCTACTTCCTCGTCTCCCTCCCAGTCTTCAAACTCGCCCATGTCTTCCACATCCTCTTCCAAGTCGGCGACCGCCCTGCAGTTGGGACAGAGAAAGTTTGGCCATGTGGGCCCATTGAGGATGGGACGAATACACTTGTAGTGCCAGACATGTGAACATGGTGCTACAAACAGCGATTGACAAGGCTGCAATGTGATTAGTAGGGCCCGGTTGTATCAAGGCATGGAAACATACTGCTATGGACATTAAACAAATGGCACACTCGGAGGTGTGTGTAGAGGCGGCATCGCCCGTGACTTCCTTCTTGTTCTTGGCGAGGGCCCGCAATCTTTGGTGGGTTTGTTTACTAGACGAGTTAGCAAAGGCGCTCTTGACAGGAATATGCAAACATACTTGAATGTATTCAGACCCTGCTGCCAGCCGCGGTTGCATTCAACGCGGATTTTAACACAGCGGAAAATCATCTCTTCGCCCCCGCGGAAATCGATGCCTAGCTGAATAATATCGCCATCCTTTATGCGAAAAGGCTTTGATTCGACGTTGGGCTGACTGAGGCGAATGTGATTCAAAAAGGTGCCCGACGAGCTCTTGACATCTTTAATATACCAGCTTCCATCCTTGCACCACAGTTCGCAGTGCTTTCTGCTGACCACTTTGGACTTGAATCCAATCGCTGCAGCGGATGGGGTGTTTGAAGAGATTTCTGGCGCATTATCACGCTCCGAATAGCGGCCGACACGAAGCACGGCCGACTCGTCGGGCAGCGTTCGCGTGATGGTGGGAAATATCAGAGAAGGTCTGCCGGCTCGAGGGTCTTGATGTGGGATGAAGCGAATTGAGGGGAGGTGCTTGACAGCGCCTCCGCTGTCGGTGGAGCTGTCTGATGGCTGGGTGGAGGTAGTGGTGGTGGTGGAGGCAGAAGTGGTTGCTGGCGTGGGCCCAGTGTTGTTGCGCACTTGCAGCTGGGGCTGGGCCGTCTCTGAGCGAGTACGGGTCATGATCTCGTGGGGAGAGGCAGGCGGTGAGTCTGCTGGGGGGCTCTGAGGCTGGGCGTCGGTCGTCTGGCGTCGCGACAAAGGGAGCAGACGCGGCAGAGGGGGGTGTTGGGAGGAGGGAGAGGCAAGGGCTGGCGAGGCTGGCGAGGCCGGCGGCGTGTGTGTTGAGGCGCGTGGGCGGGCCCGTTGGCGGGAGGAGTCCTCACGTGTCTGGTCTGGTGGGCTGGCCGAGTGCAGGTGCAGATTTCTGAAGAAGCTGATTCCTCGATGGACGCCCGTCGGTCGCTGAGCTGACGAGTCGGACGACAATCCGGTTGAGACAGCAGTTGGGGGAGCTGGGGCCGCCGTTGTAGTGAACATCACCTCCCCTGGTCTTGGGCGCGAGATCAGAGGTAGTAGTAGTACAGGAATAAGCTCTGGGCTGAGGCTGGGCGGGGACGGCAGGCTGATTGCGCGAGTTTCGAGGGCGTTTGACGGACGACACAAGTGGCCCAGGTTAATGGGGCATGGGTACAGGCGCGGGCGAGTCTGAGGCAAAGGGCAGAGGAGTAAATGCAAATGCAGACGCGAGTGCGGACGCAGCCAGCGGAGCGAGAGCGAGCCAACAGGGTCGGGGCTGGTTTATGCGGCGCAGCCAGGGCGGCCAGGGCGGCCAGGGCGACCAGGGCAACGAGTGTACAAGTAAATGGGTAATGAGCCAATTCTAGAGCCCGGGCGGGCTATTCTGGGCTTCGATGGGCTGTAGAACGGCCTATGAAGGGCTCTGGGCTCTGGGGGCAACCGACAATGGCCAGCACAAGACACTACTGCACGCCCTCTCACGTGCCCGCATCCACCACCGCCCACACCCACACATTGCACATGTGCACACACGGCAAACGGAGCGCCCGCCCTCGGTCCCAGTCCTGGCCACCAGCATGAACATGCGGGCTGCCCTCGCCGCTCGCCGTTCGCCGCCCGCCGCCCTGGTGCAATGCCGTCACGAAACCATACCACACACTGCTATCCTTACGCCTAGTACTGGACCCGGATCCGGACCCAGACCATCTCCTCCGCTGTACTTAATTATCTACCTACTACTACTATGGTCTGAGGCATTTCATCCGCCCAGCCGCCTGAGACATGGCCTGCCGGTGGCGGCGTTTTACTGCCCGCCGCTCCCTGGGGCGCGCATGCCATCATATTCTCCTCCACCATCGCCATAGGGCCAACAAAGTTTCGTCTCATCACGTCACATGGCAGATTTCCCCAGTCTCGCATGTCGCCCGCCACGCTCAAGGCGCTGATCGTAAATGCTGCCGTGTGGGGCCGCCTGTCTGCTCCGCCATGCTGGGTACCTTGCGCCTTGGCATATGCACGTGACATCATGTCATGCCCGCCCGCCCGCTGCTTGGGAATTTTTCCCCGTGCGCGCCATCAAGGCTTCCATTCACGTCCGCCATGTTAAGACCGCGCAGCTGCCGACCGCTATCCCAGGGGCTGTCCAGGCCATATTCGTCTCTCAGAGCACCGCCCGCATGTGCTGGTAGGAGGTCTCTGGCCACGGCCGTCGCCCAAGAAAGGGTTAGCATCCGCCATCCGCCCAATGTCGGTGCATCTGAAGCCATTCTAAACCACCATTCTAGGACCCCGCCGAACTCGATCACATCACCACCCTGCCCAATGGCATCCGCGTCGCTACAGAGGCCCTGCCCGGCCACTTCTCTGGCATTGGCGTCTACGTCGATGCCGGCTCGCGCTACGAAAACGATGCGCTGCGAGGTGTGAGCCACATCATCGACCGCCTAGCATTCAAGTCTACGCGCTCCACCACGGGCGACCAGATGATGGAGAAGATTGAGACCCTCGGCGGCAACATCCAATGCGCCTCGAGCAGAGAGTCGCTCATGTACCAATCCGCTACCTTCAACTCGGCCGTACCCACCACCGTCGGTGTCCTCGCAGAGACAATACGCGATCCCTTGATCACAGAGGACGAGGTTCAGCAGCAGCTCGAGACGGCCGACTACGAAATTGGCGAGATCTGGAGCAAGCCTGAGCTGATCCTGCCGGAGCTTGTTCACATGGCAGCATACAAAGACAACACTCTGGGCAACCCGCTGCTCTGCCCCAAAGAGCGGCTGCCCTTGATCAACCGCGCCGTCGTTGAAGCATACCGGAAAGAATTCTTCAAGCCTGAGAGGATAGTAGTTGCTTTTGCCGGTGTTAACCACAATGAGGCCGTTCGGTTGACTGAAGAATATTTCGGCGACATGGAAAAAGGCACAGGCCCGGCACTCCCCAGTGTAGGCTCAGACGGTGCGGCAGCATCGCAGGCAAACTTCACGGCAGACCATCCCATGCCCAAAGGTGCACTACCCGGAAGCTCCAATCTCATCTCCAAGATTCCCTTCCTCAAGAACTTGTCCACATCGGCTTCATCCACCGCCAACCTAACCACAGCACCCGACCTCAACTTCCCACCGATAGACACCTCGATACCTTCGCAGTACACTGGCGGTTTCCTCACACTCCCTCCGATCCCTCCACCAGCGAATCCCATGCTCCCCCGCCTATCCCACATCCACCTCGCCTTCGAAGCCCTCCCAATTTCCTCGCCGGACATTTACGCTCTCGCAACCCTTCAGACACTGCTTGGTGGCGGCGGTTCCTTTAGCGCTGGTGGGCCCGGCAAGGGCATGTACTCGCGCCTTTACACAAACGTCCTCAACCAACACGGCTGGGTCGAATCCTGCGTCGCCTTCAACCACAGCTACACGGACAGTGGTTTGTTTGGCATCGCCGCCTCGTGCGCGCCATCCTACACCGCCCACATGCTCGAAGTCATGTGCCGCGAACTCAAGTCCCTCAGCGACGAAACGGGCTTTGCAGCCCTCAAGGACGGCGAGGTGCAGCGCGCAAAGAACCAGCTCCGCTCTTCCCTCCTCATGAACCTCGAGTCGCGTATGGTCGAGCTGGAGGATCTGGGCCGTCAGGTTCAGGTCCACGGCCGCAAAGTAGGCGTCAAGGAAATGTGTAGCAAGATTGAGGCCGTCACGGTCAAGGACCTCCGCCGTGTGGCTAAGCAAGTGTTTGGTGGTGACGTGCATAATGCAGGTAAGGGCTCTGGTGCCCCGACCGTGGTACTGCAAGAGGGGGAAATGGAGGGACTCAAGCGTAAGGATTTGACATGGGACGATATCCAGTCGCGAATCGCGAAATGGAAACTGGGTCGTCGATGAATATAGTTTCTTCGCAACCCCAACCCCCCCTTTTTTCCTTTTCTTCTTCTTCTCTCTCTTCTCCTCACAGCATGCATCAGTTGGGTCAGGCGTTTTTTTGATCCACTGGCCATCCCATGACGAGAAAATATGAATCCCAACCCAAAGTAAAATGATGATTGTAGAAAAAGATTCGTGTATGATATAGATCATTCCATGAGGAGGTCAGTAGGTGAATACAGTAATGAATATATACTTCATAAGGTGATGTTCCTAAGTTGGAGAGACACCCTGATGTCGCAAGACAGGCTTCCTTATTGAAACTTGACAAGGGGATTGACGAAACCCGAAGATTCTCTCTAATTACTACTTATCTCTTAAGTCGGTCACATTTCTGATAAGGATTAGTATAGTGTTCAACTTGGCTATTGATTTTTTTGTCGTACCGAGCAAGAAAGATATTTAAAACGAACGAGTGGTAGCGGGATAGTATATTTGTGTAAGTTGACGTCAACTACTACTAATGTGTGCGTCCGTGCACGTACCAACACGCCCTAGAGACATCCTGATATAGTTCTACAGTAAACAACAGCCTAAGATAGCGTTTTCTGCATGATTAGATCACACTTTTCGTGCAAGAACTGTTTCTCGCTTTGTAGTGCGGTGGCTGTCACGTGGTCGTGCGGTTTCAGCCTTGCATGACCAGTCTCGCGGCACTGCGCAGGTGGGCTGCGCCTTCTGCTCTAGGCGTTAGAGATGCAGCCTGGCCCAACATCCAGCTCGCGGCATTGCAGCCTTCTGACACCAACCCTCCTCACCTTTAACTCAGCAAACTATCACTTGAATTTCGCAACAAATCGAACAGCTACGATCTTTCTACTCTGCGCGAGTGAACCCCTGATCACCTTCGATTCCTGAAGCCTCAACACTTGCCTCTACCACTTGCACACACCGACACATACAGCCTGATGCGGCTGCTATACACTACGAGTGATGGAGGGATTGGATGGACTGCCGACTTAATCGGGGACAAGATCCCCTCTTATGCGATCCTATCGCACACCTGGAAAGAAGGACAGGAAGTAACATTTGCTGACCTGAAAGATCTGGACAATGCAGCAGGTGTTGAAACACGAAGAAAGGAGGGGTATCAGAAGCTTCTCTTCTGCGCGCAACAGGCCAAGCAGGACGGTCTGAAGTACTTCTGGGTGGACACCTGTTGTATTGATAAGACGAACAACACAGAGCTTTCGGAAGCGATCAACTCCATGTTTCGTTGGTACCAGAACGCAATCAAGTGCTACGTCTTCCTTTCCGACGTCGAGGACAGGTCTTTAGATGGGGATGGAGAGTCATGTCGAAGATGGAAGGCAGTTTTTGGGAAGAGCAGATGGTTTAGCCGGGGCTGGACGCTTCAGGAACTAGTAGCACCTTGTTCCGTCGAGTTCTTTTCTGAAAATGGATCGCGGCTAGGAAACAAGGAGTCTCTTAGCCACACTATACACGAGATTACTGGAATACCGATTAAAGCTCTGTCAGGAAGCGACTTGTCCGAATTCGACGTTGCTGAACGGTTCTCTTGGGCAGCAAATCGCCAGACGACACGCGAAGAAGACGGTGCATACTGCCTGCTGGGCATCTTTGGTATCTATATGTCACCAATATATAGTGAAGGCAAAGATCATGCTATGAAACGGCTACAGAAAAAAGTAGAAGAAGCTTCCGAGGACACCCTAGGTCAAGAAGAGAAACTTGGTAAAATCTGCAGATGGCTTTCGGCTCCTGACCCGTCCACAAACTACCATAAAGCGCACAAGCAGCGGCAGGCTGATACTGGACTCTGGGTGCTAGACAGCGAAAGCTTCACCAAATGGAAAGCAAGTCCAGCGTCGCGACTGTGGCTGTATGGGATCCCGGGATGTGGCAAGACCATCCTAAGCTCTACAGTTATCGAACACCTGCTGCAGCACTGCTACGGTAATACTAGTATGGTGATAGCATACTTTTACTTCGACTTCAACGATACGCAGAAACAGGACCCAGAGCTAATGTTCTACTCGTTGTTCTGCCAGTTTCTGCAGCGCTTAGTTACAATACCTGAGGGCGTCAATGCATTGTTGTTAGCATGTAAAAATGGGCACCGGCGGCCATCATTACATGCGCTTCTAGAGCTAATACCACAGGTGATACAACAATTCACGCATGTCTATGTTGTCCTAGATGCGCTCGATGAATGTACACAGCGCCAAGAACTAATGCATATGCTTGAGATAGTAGTTAGATGGCAGCTCGACAACCTACATCTGCTTATGACCAGCCGGAAAGAGCGGGATATTGAGAGCTCTTTGGAGAGTTACATTAAAGAAGAAGATACAATCTGTCTTCAAAAAGACGTTGTAGATAGCGACATACAACGATACGTTCAACAAAGGTTGTCTGACGATAAGAATCTAGCAAAATGGAATAAAGATGCTGCTATCAGACAAGAGATTGAGGCTGCACTAATACACGGAGCTCGTGGGATGTATGTGTGAGCACTTAGCGACCTACGGAGCTAAAGCTGACGAGAGCGTAGGTTCCGATGGGCTGTATGTCAGCTTGACACTCTAGCGCAGTGTCGCAATCGAGCGATGCTGCGCAAGTCATTAACTACCTTGCCGAAAACGCTGGATCAGACATACGACCGCATTCTCGCTGCTATAAATGAACAAGATCGCGACTTCGCGATGCGCATCCTGCGGTGGCTGACGTTCTCTGAGCGGCCGATGTCGGTCGAAGAGATTGCTGAGGTCGTCGCTATCGACGTAGCGCGCGAGCTAGCGTTCGACCGCGATGAAGTGCTAGAAGACCCGCTAGAGGTGCTGAACATCTGTTCTAGTCTTGTCACTATCACGACGAAAGAGCAGGACGGAACGGAAAGAATAGAATCTGCTCAGCGTATCATCACTCTAGCGCATTATTCCGTCCAGGAGTATCTTGTATCAGAGAGGATCAAGCAAGGACAATCGAAGCAGTACAGTATGCAAGCGGCTGAATGCCACAATTCGATAACAGAGGATTGTTTAAAATATCTATTGCAGTTCCAGCAACCAATTTCAACGCACACTCTTGAGAAGTTTGCGCTCGCAAGGTATGCAGCAGAGTTCTGGAGTAGCCATTTTCGGAAAATAGGGGATGAGACAAGCAGAGTGAGCCGAGTGGCGATGAGCTTAATGTCAACAGAGCAACCCGCATATCTCGCATGGATCCAGTTGTATGACGCGGATGAACCATGGCAAGGATCAGACTTTGAAAAAAGTTTCGAAATCATACCTATGCCGCTTTACTATGCCGCATTGTTAGGTTTGTGCACGATTACGGAAAAGCTCCTGGATGAAGGTGCTGAGGTTAATGCCCAGGGTGGAGAGTACGACAACGCATTATGGGCAGCTTCATCAAGAGGCCACGAGCAGATAGTTAAGATGTTACTAGACGCGGGCGCCGACGTCAACGCTCAGAATCAACGCGGCACCGCGCTGGACATAGCTTCATCAAGAGGCCACGAGCAGGTAGTTAAGATGCTACTAGACGCTGGCGCCGACGTCAACGCCCAGAGTAAGTACGACAACGCATTACGGGCAGCTTCATCAAGAGGCTACGAGCAGGTAGTTAAGATACTACTAGACGCGGGCGCCGACGTCAACGCCCAAAGTAAGTACGACAATGCATTGTGGGCAGCTTCATCAAGAGGCCACGAGCAGATAGTTAAGATGCTACTAGACGCGGGCGCCGACATCAACGCCCAGAATCAACGCGGCACCGCGCTGGACATAGCTTCATCAAAAGACCTCGAGCAAGTGGTCAAGCTCCTAGTTGATGCAGGTGCTGTTTACCCTAGCCGTCCTGGCAGCGTTACTTGGACAGACAGCATGATGGATGTTGTAAACAGCTCAGTCGGACATCTTGGCTAGTGCGAAAAAAAGGCATCAACTCATCAAATACCCCTGTCTATAAACAGCAAGCTTTTATGATTCTTTCTCCACCGTGAAAGTTGCCCAAGATCTAAATCATCAAATCTGTATCTTGGGACAATGGCATGTGACTTCGTCACTTAGGCACGGCATTTCACCCAAAGAGAAACAAAAAAACGGTAAACCATGAGCCCCGAATCCTTAGTTTACCACGTACGCCCTTTTTGCATGAGGAAAGTAAAAAAATAAAACAAAAAGAGTTGCATGAATCGTTACTCAGCTTTCTAACCACTGCTACCCAAAGTCTCCCTCCATTGCCCAGTAGTCACCAGGATACAAATGCTCATACTCAGAATGATTCAATTCACCCAATCATGCCCCTTTACCAACTCCCTCAAAAAAAGTCCCAAACCAACGTCTTCTCTCAAACTTGCGTCATAACACTCTGCACCCCTCTCCTCTGCCCCTGCACCTCACCAGTAACCTCCCTCGTCCTGACCACAGCCCCCGACTTTGCCAATCGCGACGCTGGATCCGTGAGCGTAATCGTAGCTACATCTGGTATGTGCATTCGCGCCGTGTGCGTCCTTCCCGTCGATGTGACGCGGGTATGTGCTTCTTTCTCCAGGGGGTAGAGTTTAAAGGCTGAGTTTGTGCTTATGGCGCTGTCTGCTGACGATGATGATGTGGGCGGGATTTGAGGGTGATTGTGATGCTTATTTTCTCGGCGGGGGCGGCGCACGCGGGTTGTCTTACAGGAGGAGGTTGAAGTGGAGGTGGAGTTTGCGGTGTCCCAGGTGGTGGATGTGCTGGTGGAACTGGGGTCGCGGTTGTAGCGGAACATGCCTTGGATTGTTGTCTTGAAGCCTTGGGGGAGGAGGGGGGATGAGCGGGAGGATGCCAGGTTGTTTGATGGAAGACGACCGATTTTGTAAAAGTTGAGGCGGGGACGGCGTCGGGTTGCAATTTCGTCGAGGTCGGTTTGCGATGTCTGGAATGTGGTGGCACTGGAGTCGGTTGTGTTTGAGGATGGCGAGTGGCGGAGGTTAGTTGACGTGGCGGGGGAATTGAAGGTCGCCCTTGTGGATGGTGTGGCATTGGACGTTCTGGACGATGGTAGTGGTCGACGTCTCATACCGATGTTGTGCATAGTTGCAGCGGGCCTGACGGGCAACTTTGCAATGTCTGCTCGTGTCAAAGGTGAAAATTCGCCTGCCACGACGGCTCCAAAAGAAATGTAGACGCGGTCCAAGTAATAGGGGCGGCACCCATGACATGCTTTGAAGTTACATCCTGAAGGTTCCTGGGCGTCTGTTAGGAACATCTGACTTTATCACTGCAACTATCTTGGATGTGATCATCCAGCACATGCTCACTTACCGTATCTGCAGGGAGTAGACTACTCATGGCACCATCAGTGCCACAAGGTGCCATTGCCATGTCCATAAGCCTGGATATGGCATCGTTGGCCTGATCAGCCTGTTGCACATCGATGATGGTATGTTGCAATTCGCGCTTCATTTGCTTCAGTTTCTGCAATTGCTGATTGGTGTAGTGTCCGCTCTCTGCGGCAATAATAATACTTTCGCTTAACCCAGCTCTCTCCAGCTCTTTCCGTAACCTCGATTTGACTGGCATGATGTTTGATGTGTTTCGCGATATCAGATCGCTGAGGTGCTCAGTTTCATTGTCCTGTTTGCATTGATAGAGGAAGCCGATGGAGGATGAGCAGCCACAAACGGAGCACTGTTGGTCATGCCCATAGACACGGTCCATGTCTACATGAGTGCAGTTTGTCGTTTGTGAGCGTTTTCCCATGGCCAAGAATGGTGGGGTTGGCGAGTGGGCGGGCGGGCGAGGAGATGAGGTGTCGGTCCCAGATGGAGGTGTCGGGTGGTCAGAAGGCGAGAATGTAGCAAGTTGGAGGTAATAAGAGGAGTCTTTGAGGAAGGTAGAGTGGTCACGAGGGTAGTTGTAAACGTGAAAGAAGGAGCAAGGGGAAAGAAGGAACATTCGGGTCTCGAAGCCTGGATTGTTCCAGAGTCATGTCAAACGCCAAAGAAAAGACCGGAAAAGGGAATCATGACGCGCCCGGACAGTGCCTTCGCAGGGCGGCTATCCAGGGGACTTTTGTGTTTTGACATTGTGTTTAATGCTGCTTGCCGTGCTACAGACGGTTGACGGTCCCTGCGTTCATCTCAACTGTTTGCCGTGGTAGCGACATACAAACCACGCAACCAGTGGCGGTGCACCCAGCGTCTGCTTTAATCCAACGGAAAGACGATCAACAGGAGCAGATGAGAGGGGGGGGAGATGAGGGTTGCAGCCGCGGACGAGAAAGAGATGGACATAACGGTGTGTATGCAACACGTGGTTGGAGAGGCGTTGGAGTCTCGTCCAGCATGGTGAGGTGGCAGTGGGGGGTGGTACTAGTGAGTCTGGGAGATGCAGTCAGGTAAACACAGGCGCATGCGCACGCGTATTCGAGTCTCCAGCCATGCGGCTGACGTAGAGCATGGCGATGGAAGAATGCCATGGAGTGGGCGGCACATGTTTGATGCGAGATGGACCCATTGTATCGGCAGCTGGGCAATCTACGACGCTTCCATCGGCAGGCAAAGGAAAAGCAAGGGTGAACAGATGGCCGCTGTGCCTAAGCTTCTTAGGTCGCTTCGCTGCAAAAGGAGCTAGGCCGTTTGCCACGGCGTTGGAGGCGAGGCTGTTATCTATCCAAGCAGCATACACGGCGTGCTCCTAGACGTATCCCATGTACTTCCGGTAGGGCTGATAGGCGAGAGCCGAGGTCGTAGTGCACTGTCAGATCACGACACCTCCGCCTCGACGGCCTCTGCATCCTCGTCGGGCGACGGCGCTAGCACGGACTGGGATCCGAGGCTGTTTACATTCATCCCCCAGCCATCCGCACGTCAGCTCAACAGCTCCAGCCCTCCCCCACAACAACCTTCCCCGGCCGCCGCATTCACCTTCTCTACGCGCCCATCTGCCTTCCGCTGCCGTCGCATCCCATTGAGCCGCCATGTCGGTCAAGTTCGACAAGGAAACCTTCCATTCGACGGCCGCCGCCGTCGACGCGGCCTCCAAGGGCAACGACGACCTGATGCACGAAATCGGTCAGGCCATCACCAAAGGCGGCGGTCCCAATGGCTACCTTGCTGTGAGTTTGACCCGTCCAGACACGCTGCATCGACTTCTCCAACTGACTGTCCGCGCCCTAGGCCTACCTCAAGCAGCTGCAGAGCAACCCATTGCGCACCAAGATGCTCACCTCGGGTACCCTCTCCGGCCTGCAGGAGTTCCTCGCCTCATGGATTGCCCATGACCGGAGCAAGTCGGGCCACTACTTCACCTCGCGTGTCCCCAAAATGGCCATCTATGGTGCTCTGATCAGTGCGCCCTTGGGCCACGTCCTGATCAGCGCGCTCCAGAAAGTTTTCCAGGGCCGCAAGAGTCTGAAGGCGAAGGTCCTGCAGATTCTTGCTAGCAACTTGATCGTGAGTACAAGTCCGCTCCCACATTACATGACATGGCATGCTAACCCGTGCCCGTCCAGGTCGCGCCTATTCAAAACAGCGTCTACCTGATCTGCATGGCCCTCATCGCCGGCGCGCGCACTTTCCATCAAGTCAAGGCTACCGTCAAGGCTGGTTTCTGGCCCGTCATGAAGGTCAGCTGGGTCGTCTCGCCCCTATCTCTGGCCTTTGCCCAGCAGTTCCTCCCGGAGACCACCTGGGTACCCTTCTTCAACATTATTGGTTTCATCATCGGCACATACATCAACGCCCACACCAAGAAGAAGCGATTAGCCGCTCTCAGGCGAAAGCACTACGGCGAGGGTGGCGGAAGGACCTCTCGTCCCGGCTCGCGCCCCGGCTCAGTCAGTGGAAGGGCTGTTGACGAATACGGTCGTCCCGATGACCGCCCACGTTATTAATAATCAGGGCTAGTGGTGGCGGCGCAAACATGTCCGGAGTCCTGTTCGCTGTTCTACCCGCATCGATAGTGGCAAGCGCCTATGTATCGAGACAAGCCTATTACCCGTTTTTGTTTATGTGTTACGACATCCTCGGGAGGAAGGAGATTCGGCTAATAGTCAGGCGCTTCAGCATTTCGTGCGCATCCATTCTCACTCCTCTTATGTGCTTTGTATATCCCATCTGTTGTTTTTTGTTCTATGATTGGAGCCGCATCTGGTGTTGCTGCAGGCTTCGTTAGCTACACACTATACCATCCTTACCTCTTATCCGCCCGCTTCTGTGTCTTTCAGATTTCATCATTCTACTAATGTGCACAATTGCCAGGGTTGCTTCAAAATGGGCAAAAGAAACGCCCTTTTGCCAACGTCTCTATAGATCCAGCAATTGGTCTTGTGTAGCTTGAGATGTGTTGGTTAGCTCGGTGTGACAATGCTGGCGTTGTCGCTCTGCTTTCGTGGCATGCTTGAGCGTTCTGGAATTCATTGAGAACTGACACAAATGTCATACTGACATGGAATCAGCTCGATTGTTTGATAAAGGTGCCAATGAGATGAACAACGATTTCCTTTCGACCGTTCAAAGGCCCCATCTTCCATAATGCCTACGGCAAACGGTCTGCCAAAACACTTGTATCACCTCATCCTTAAAGCTAGTAACCATTGGATACCAAGGGAATCCGGTATGAGGAGCCTTGCCATGGAAAAGCAATGTCAAGCATTGCATATGCAACGGCCAAACACCATCATCATCGACTCGATTTGACTATATAAGCGTAGGTGCGGTCCCTCGCCTACACGCACTAACGTTCTGGCCAATTCTTGGATGCACTGACTTACCTCGCCATTTCCACTTGAATTCATGTCGTTGAGCTCTACTGACCTTCTGACGCTATTTCCGTTCGACGGTAGCTTCGTCGACGAAGAAGCGTTCTCCCGCTCCCAGTCTCCCTTGTCTGATTTACAATCGGACGTGCATCTACCTTCTGATTCCTACGACTATGGCCATCCGTTACTGAATACCGCATTGCAACTGCAAGACCCCTATTTGCGGTGCGACAGGGACCTGAAATAGAGCATTGATTGGGCTGTGGCTTTCCTCGTCGACCAATTGGAACAAAGCTGGATAGATGCAGCTGCATCACTTATGGACATTCGCAGACGAGCCGTGACACTCCACCAGAACGGGTTGAGCGAAGAAATCCCTTTTCGAATCTTCAACAAACTCGACCAAGCTCTGTTTGCTGTATACTTGAACAACGCTGTCTCTCTTGGTATAAGCAGATTAAACCCTGGTATTTCTGGTTCTACCTACACGCGCCGATGGAGACCCGATCCGGAAGTCAAGCGCATCTCCATTATCCTCAATCAAAATGTAATCTGACATGGCCAGGTAAGGGACATTGTCGCTACGCTAATCCACCACATGATCCATGCATACTCTCTTGTGGCGTGCGGCGAGCAAAAGGAGAACGAGATGGACTCTGGGCGTCTGAAACACGGTTTACATTTCGACAGGATCATGCTCGCCATCCGGAGGCTTTCAGCTGCCCACGGTAGAGAGCTTATAACCCAGGATTATGGGCATCGCTTGCCCAGCAGACGCTTTTATGTTGACGGCTATTACCGCCCGCGGAGAAGAGACGAAATCGAGCTCGAGGATAAGAACGAGTGGTGTTGTAGCCATTGTCACAGTGACATACACGGACCATCCGATAACGAGGTGGAAAAGTGGTATAAAGAGATTTGCCAGCCAATGCTTGACCTACCACCAAGTATTCGAGCTCTCGAGGTTGAGGTATACAATGTTCGACGACACGAGCTCGAAAAGAGACGTCGGGCGCACCTCGGTTCTTCTTCAAAGTCTGTCGAGTTTATTTTCAAAGATCGACCGGTCCTTGTTGGCACAGATAAGATTAACCAGTTTCCGAGTGTCATATGAGCTTTTGATAAGGCTAGCAGTCGCTTTCTCAGAGTACCTAAGGAGGTCTCAGAAGACACGTTCATGGGCCTTCTCGAATTCCTCCATACTGGCTCTTATCCTCCTGATCCGCATGTCTTTGCTGGTGCTGCAGTCACTCGAGATGCCCGATGCAAAGCCCCTCCTATCATCAAGTCCCAGAATGTATCTGTCGAAGCAATTGTGGTCTTAGCCGACATACGACTTGCCAAGCTCGGCTTATATATGGGCTTCGAAGATTGCAAAACCTACGCCTTGGATCGCATGAACACATACGGTGTCCTGTACGAGGACCCTGTGGCTGTTCTCAAAGAGATTTACCGAGGCTGCGAATTGGACCCTGATCTCAAAGTCTGGGCACGCATGTTTCTCACACGTTGCCTTAATACATCGAGTCCTGGTCATTACCACGGCGACTTACTGGGGCACAGTACCATAGAGCCACCCAACCTGCTGAAACTTGAAAGTCAGCAAGGTGCTTACCAGTCACGCTTTTGCAATGCTATTGAAATCAGTGGAGCACTAGAGAACGATGTTAATAAAGCTTGCGCCGAGCTCAAAACTGCAGGCTGGTATACATCCTTCATGCACACAGCCGATCAGCCAGCGCATAATTCGAATAATCATCCTCATACTCGCCCGCACTTTTTTCCTGACTCGTCCTCGCCTTCATCATCATCATCATCTGGCTCATGGTACAAGGTCCGAGACCTCACTAGCCAGCTATCCTCTCTTAGTGTGAACCGCGCTCCCGGAATAGAGCGAGGTAAGGTGCGGGATGGCGACTACATCGGACCGAATCGCACCTATAAGAAAATGAAATATAGCATGAATGACCGCGAAGAACATCTGAGAGATGTCGAAGTTGAATTGGATAAAGCAAGGGAAAACGTGAGAAGATTAGAAAGGGAAAAGGGGGATCTCAGGGAGAAAGAAACTCAGAAACAGATGAGGATCCAGGCTGTGGTACTGGTGGAAGAGCTTTTAGAGGAGAACTTGGGACAGAGAAGGGGCGTTGACGAATATTAAGTTTGTGTGACGTTGTGGTACATGTAGAAAGTGGCGTGAGACGAAACCTCCTGGACAGGTTGAATATATTTCTTTTCTAAAAATATCGGCCCACGGGTATAGCTAAACATGGTCGTGTACAAATATGCAAGGCATACAATTATTCCGTGCCAATAAGGGACTGTAGGGCGCCTCAGCCCCAGTCCTTCCTAACGAGGTTAGCCCAATAGTGCTGCATGTAATCAAGAAATCCTCCCTGTGGCCCTTTTCAGCTCTGCACGCAACCTCAATCCGTAAATAATTTCTATCAAAATCCTGCCTTGACACTGTCATTGTATCAGAAAGAAACATTACGTCAAGATGGCGCTCCAAGTGCGTATACCCCCAATTATTCCAACCGGAACGATTCGGTGCCCAACTACTACTACGTACCATGGACATAAGTTGGGCCAGCTAACCACACCAAAAGCACCCAAAGCATCCCCCAAACGGCACAACACCACCATGGACGCAATCCCACAACCGCGACGAAACTGCAATCGGCTTCCTCGACCTCCCGCGTGAACTCCGCGACCTAGTCTACGACTTCGCCTTCCGCATCCAAGGCGCCCTCCTCATCTACACACGTGACCCGACAGCCGCGCGGCTCGTCGCCCGGGCAATGAACATCCAGCACGCCGGCCGCGGCCCCAGCGCCCCGCAACCCCTTGTCAACGGCGCGCTCCCCGTCGCCCTACTACGCACGTGCCGCCAGCTCAATGCCGAAAGCAGTCCTATCTTGTACTCTGCCAATGTTTTTTCCTCGTGGAACGCCCGCTTGCTGGAACTTAGTCTTGCGCACAGGAATTTACTCGTCCGCCATATCGTCATGGAGGCGAGTCCGAGGGGCATTTTTGATAAGAGTCTTGAACATGTCGAGTATTGTTGGAAAAATAGGTTTTGGCCTGAGATTCTGAAGAGTGGGAAGGCGTTGCTGGATTACTTTCCGAATCTTGAATCTTTGACTTTTTCGCTGAAGCCGCCGAGGGGGGATGAGCTTTGGCGGCCTGGGTTCTTTGCTGTAGGGGGCAATAAGACGAGGGAGCAGCGGGTCGGGATTGTGGCGCTGTGGATGAGTCTGGGGTGCTGTTGGGCCGATGCCGATCAGGGATTGAAGGCATGTTTGCATTTGGAGATGGGGAGGCAGCCTGCGAGGATTGGGAGGGACGAGTTTGTGGGATCGAAGTTTGCGCCTGAAGAGGAGGAGGATGATGGGGTATGGGATTATACTGAGTTTGCGGATGCGTTTGATAGGATGAAGGGGTTTTGATTCAGTGGAAGGTTAGGAAGGGGTTGGATTTTTTGGTATCTAAAAGTTATAATCTTTGAGGTTGTACTAGTTTTTGGTATTTCTTTCCAGTGTGTATTGGTACAGCAAGGGGTTTTTTTGGAATTTCAATAGCTCTCCAGTAGAAAGTTCAAGCAAGTTCGCTTCGTATTGAATCTTGAGAGCTCATGGCTGCGAAATAATGAGATCTGGAATGATTTTGTTTTCTTTCAGAGAAAGGATCCGAGAAGTTTTAGCTTCTCGCTTGTACTATCATAAGGGGGAGGAGAGTATTTAAGATCTTTGTTTTTCTGGGTTTCTCCTTATAACCTGTTCTGAGAATGAAATCAATGGTTTCATCAAGCGATGAGCGATGAACTTTGCTCGTGCTGCAAGTAGGTTTGGCTCTACTATAAAATTTGTATCATCTCCTGCAGGCTCCTTCGAACTATTGGATTCAGCATATTTGCATTCAGTTCTGAGCACTGTAGTGAAACTCATGAGCGGAATACGTACTTTTGACAATGGGTTTTATTCTGCCAGTGCTGAGATGCAATGCCAATGTTCAATTTATGCACCATCGCTGTTATTATGCTTCAAATCGAAATCCGACACCTCCAACCCCTCCAACCCATCAACCAAGGTACTGAGATATCTGCACCTCTCGCATTAGCCTGGCTTCGCGGGCCAATTGCACATCTCTAACCTCTCTAGCCTCTCGAACCTCCAGTGCCTCTCGCATCCGTGATCTCATACCCTCTGCCTCTTCGGGTCTTCCTTGCATCTCCAGTACATTCCCCAGCCCTTCCATGACATCTGGCATGGTTACATCGATGAATCTGGAAGGCTGTTCGTATATCTTAAGTGCTTCTCTGAAGATAAATTCCGCCTTTTCAAGCTTTTTCTGGTGTACCAGTGCAACGCCCAATTCTCGCAATAGCGGCAGTGATTGTCGGGATTCAATCCCGAAATACTTTTCACATGCTATCAGAGCTTTTCTACAGACATGCTCCGCCTTCTCGTACTTTTCCTGAGTGATCAACCTCTGGGCTTCTTCACGATCTCCCAACAGCTTTCCCATATACAGCTGTGACAAATATCCATGATAGAAATCTGCATCATCAACCCTTTCTTTGTAGGTAAGAGCATCTGCTAGAGTTTCTAACACCGAGATTGCGTCTTCAGTTTGATGCCAGCCCTTCTCTTTATATATTGACAGTAATTCTCTACACAACGACTCCGCCTCTTCATACTTCCCTAAACTACTTAGAAATGACGCTAGGCTGTGTCCAAATGAAAGCAATGATTTATCATCATTTCCGGAAGTACGCTTATACCCCTTTAGTACATCTTTGTAGATAGTTTCTGCCTCTATGAGTTTCCCCAGCTTTGCAAGCATAAGCGCCAATCTATGCGCGACTGGAAGCGTTGATGGATCATGATATCCATACATCTTCTTTCGTAACTCTAGAAATATTTTGTACAAATTTTCTGCCTCTTCCCACTTTCCTAGTTCCTCTCACATGTGCTAAGTCCATCATCTCTAAAATCGTTTGTATGTCTTCATACCCCAGCATTTTTTCGTATGCCGTCAGTGCCTGTCTGCACAATACTTCTGCTTCGGCACACCTCTCCTGTTCAGATAGTATTGTCGCTACCTTGTTGAGATTGAATACAATGACCCAAAACTCTGGCGCGGGCGTTCTCTCACTTACTCCTGGCGCTTGCAAACGCGTTTCTTCAGTTGCGGCGAATTGGGTATAGCGCTGATAGGCTGTCTTTTGTTGAATCTTGCGTCTCATTGTGTTGGAGTGTTCTAATCCGAAAATCTTATTGCTAGTCTCTACCACGTGCGCATACAGAGCATGCGCGTCTTTCCAGGTTCCTGAGCGGCTTAGGTCCTCCGCTAGGGCAGTCAAGGAGGCCAATCTATCTGACTGTTCGGTTTTCTCCCACATTCCTTCCACAGGGATACGAGAGGATACAGAAGGTTGGTACTTAATCCCAACACTAGTCTCGCTTGCGGAAGGCTGGATATCAGTGTGAAGAAGGCCTGCGGACCCATGTACTTCTGACTCTGATGTTGATTTTTCTAAATCACCACGATTGCTTGAAAATGTCAAAGCCGAGATTTTTGACGCGTCTGTCCGCTTACTCTTTGCCTCCTCTATGGCAGCATTCGAGTCATTGTTGGCATCAGTCGAAGCGCCAATAGGGATGGCAAAAAGTGCAAGTTGCTCGAGATGGCCTGTGAGGTGACGTTTAAAGGTTGTTGGGGTAACAGCCAGAATCCCTGTAGGTGCTGATCCGCTCGTTTGAATGACTCGCTCTTTCAAACGAACAGACCAATCAGAGCAGCAAGGACAACCGGTTGCTGGAATCTGGGCCAGTGGCTTTTGAGAGAGATCTCTTGCTGTTTGTTCCCCACCATCATCCAAAGTCTCATCATGCTCCCGTTTTAGATGGAGAGTATATTTTCCCCTCTTGATTGAAATCTTTTGCACACAGCAAGCACTTGTAATTCACAAGATGAAATGTCATTTCATGTTGAAACCATTTGTTGATGTCACCAAAATATGGTGCATCACAGTCTGGGAACGTGCAGACGTATGAACGAAGATCTGAGAAGACGTGCTTTTTCCACACACGCTCGCTCTTGAAATTTTTGATGCGAAAGCAGAATGGGCATTCGAACTCTTTCCTATGATCAGTGCGTAAAGAATCAAGCTCTGGGATGCGAACATTGGTGGATGACTCTCGATCGTCATCGATCGAGCGGGATATTGTTGTGTAAGAACGAGCATCACCTGGATCTGATTCACCGGCAACATCCAGTTGATGCGCGAGCTTTTCGGCGACGACAATGGTGGCTTTAGTGAAGAAGGAAGGTAGACTCTCCCTATCTAGCGTTGGCTTCGAATCCAGTGACTGCTTGACATTAGGAATCTGAGGTCTGTAGGCCGAACCACCCGATTTTTCGTGGCGATTGAGTGGGTCTGCCAGTTTCTCACGGTGGTCCTGTATATAGCTGAGGTAGTGCCTTCTTTGCGTAATAGCTCTCCCAAGCCGTTGACGAAGTCAGGCTGAGTCCTTTGTGGCAAGCTTCGGATGTTTCTCTCCAATATGGGAAATGTCGAATTGGTCATTGAAGTGATATCTATTACGGTTGGGAGCTTTCGCAAGAATATCTGTGGGTGCTGCGTGTTGGATGAAAGTTGAAATCCTGAAGAGCCGGGTGACAGTCCCACTGATCTCTTCCTGAAGCTCGTTCACCTCACTGATCTCTCCTCCACATTCATCATCAGTCTCGTCAGCAACCGAGGCCATTCCTTCTCTTTTACCAGAGACAATATCTAGGAGCTCTCCAATAACTTCTTTCAAGTCGTCTAAGAGACCCACAATGTGAGTAAGCACATCATGGGCTCCTTGCAATCGTGACTCGATGGACATGGGTGACTCGATGGACATGGGTGACTCGGGTTGATGGGGAGCTCCAATGTTTCCAACAAAAAGACTGAACCTGTCCAGTTCCTCCCCCATTCGAAGATTTCTGGCATTTTTGCCGTTGCGATCTAGCTGGGGCGGGGCCGAAATGACTTCCTGGAGAATAGCGATGCAGGAGCGGCATTGGTCTGATACTGACAGCGTCATATCTCATAATCCAGTGATCAAGAATCCAGTTCAACAAAAAAGGCGGTCATGTGCTCAGATCTCGCAAAAATGTTCCGGAAATAACATTAGAAAGGTGATAATAGGAATGTCCTAATGATCGTGGTACCATGGAGGGTTCGCAAGAAGGCAGAAGTTACCTGTGGGGCTAAAAACGCGAAGAAGGAACGCCACCCTCACCGTTGAGCCTTCCAACTCCTCGTACCCAACTGTCCTATCTACATGAATCATTTTAACGGAACCTTATAGACGTCAGTATAAGTGGTCTGGAAGTAGCGGGCCTTGTTCTTGGTGCCTTTCCGTTACTCATAAGCGGCATCGAGCACTGGCGTGATGTTGCGAAGGTCGGCGGCTTTTACTGGCGGATACGTAAGGAATACACCAAATTCCAGCGCGATATCCAATTCCATGAAATCGTATATAAGAAGAATCTGAAAGAGCTCTTGTTGCTACTCCTTCACGATGTCGATGAAGTTGCGAAGCTCATCGCAAATCCGGGGGGTCTAAAGTGGAGTGATAAGGCGCTACAAAGACAACTAGAACGCAGGTTGAAAGAGTCATACCAACTGTATTTGGACACTATGACTGAAATGAATGAGATCGCCGAAGAGCTAAAGAAAGAGTTATATTTTGGCGAGAAGAATGTACAAGATAAGCTCTTACCACCAGAAACAAAACGACGGAGTGCCAATCGATCGCCAAGCCTTCAACAGGGCGCAAGACCTTCGAAGATTTCCACTGCAAAGGGCAGAATGGATTACGAATTCTTCAGAATGAAGTTTAGCGTTGGGGAAATGATCAGAGATGAGCTATTTGGTTAGCTGAAAGAATGCAATGAGCGCCTGGAGAAGCTATTGAACTCTAGCGATAGAGTCACTGCACTCCAAGATGTCGCACCTGGACCTACCAAAAAAGCTTCTGAGCTGGAGTCAGCTTTCAAGAGGACTTCCAAGAAATCAAATCTGCTGTTTCAGGCGCTGCAGAATACGTGGCAGTGCTCATGTCAGCAGTACCACTTCGCGAACTTGAGACTTGAGCATCGAACATTTACTGAAGTATGTTTCGAGATCGTCTTCATGCTCATCGCCCCGTCGGAACACGGAGTTACGCCTTGGAGCCAGAAACAGATTCGCGGCGGTCATATTCCTGGCTGTTCTTCGTCTCAGAAGAGACTGGAAACTACCAAGTCTTTGGTGCTCCAACACTAGCCGGATCCTTTGCCCACGCGAGCTGGCGTGAAACCGCCCTTGACTACTCATTGCAAGAGAGTGGGTTTCTCACCACCTATACCCACTATACCAAAGATCCAGTTAGACATGTTTGTGGATCACAACGTGCAGTTATGCCGGCGACTAGGCGACAAAGAATGTGAAGTATGCATGGGCGTCGTCAGTCATGATGACGAAGCTTTTCACCTTCATCCGGTCAACCAGAAAAGGAATCAACCCGGAAGCGGTCCCACAACACTTGACCACATCCTCTGTCGTGACTTTGAAGATCCCTTTTCGCGGCGCCAGCGCTACCAGATCGCTCTCTTTATTGCTTCATCAGTAGCACAACTTAATCTTCGCCTCCGCATTTTCCCTGCCATCGAAAGCTTTTTCGTTGGATGAGACTTCTAGCACCATTGAGAGAAAGCGCCACCGTAGTAGCAGCAATCACAGGTCAAGCCACCGGGAGCATCGCCATATCCAGCGGAGCACTCAGCGCACTTCAAGCTCGACAATGACTGGCCAGGCTGTCGGACCGGGGGGGAGAAGGCGTTCCGTTGGGCCAAAACAGCTTAACAACAGATCTGCTTTTCTGCTCGTACATCGCCTTTTCGTCCGCGGTGAGCGGGTGGGCATTGACAATGGAGATGGCGCCAAGAAGGGCGATGAGTTTGGGAGTGACTGCAAGATAGTTGTGTAAATAGAGAGCTTAGATTGATTTTCCTCGTACGATCGGGACTTACACTGCATTTTGATAATGGTGAAGAGAATCGATTGAGCAGAGTCCAGTCAAGCTGAATATTGTTTTGATTGTGACGGTTGGTTGAAATTGTTGTTGTGAGTGATATAAAGAAGATTTAGAGGATGAATGATGGCTATTTATCTTATTTCTTCAATGAATGAATGGTCCATCATATAATGGTAATACGAAATCAGTATCCGTGTCAAACGTAAAAAGGTCAACTCTAGCGAATTTCCACTAAGTCCTACATCCAAGATAGAACATTAAATCGAGCGAATCTTCGGCCGGGAACGTGTAGCTCACAGATATTTTAGTCACCCTACGCATGGTTGGTCATGCTGGTGGTATTTTAGAAACAGGTTAAGGTCATGTGTCCACCGTACTTGCAAACTGGCCAGCCTCTTGAAATGAATAATTCTTCTTCAAACTAGACAGCATTACTCGAGCTCAATGTAGGGTCTTCCCTAATATTTAAATGTGTTACTCAACAAGATTTCCCACTTTTGTGGTAGACAATCTTGCTCACTTTGTACCTGCAATAGACTCAGGACATGGCTCTTATCCTCCACAACGATACACTATCAACGACAGTGGCGCTGGGCCTTGTTTTGACCATCCAATTGAGTTCAAGCTAGATAGATAAACATTTTGGGATCCTATAGTAAAGGCAGGTGAACATCAATGTGCAACTCGACCGAAGTCCATGCAGGTGACGATGATGAAATTCATTTAGCCTAATCTAGCCCAATGCGGCATATGTTAGCTTGATCAGGACCGGAGTCTATGATTAGGTCACACGGCTATCTTGTTCCGTTAGCTCAGCAGAGTGAATTTCGTACCAGTATGAAGTCTCACGCTTACCTACGAAATCCGACCGAAGTCTACTGGCAGATCGTGCTTCCTTTGATTTAGCAAAAAAGCAGGCTATACAAATTGCGACAGATATTTTAATCCTAGATTATACCGAAGTCTATATACGTAGCATAACCGCGCTGACCTGGTTACTCCAGCTGATCTGTTTGCCCACTCATCTAGCCAGGACTTACAGGTAACTTGACAGCTGGCTCACAGTGCCGCTCGCGATCTGCCATACATGTATGTACCTTGATGGAGATCGATTCTACTCGGGCTGCCAGTAGTACATTCGTCACCGTAGATAGAGACGTACAGAATAGAGGGTTCGTGTGTTCATTTATGATGATATGCTTGGTCTAACTCTTCTAACAATAATTCCGCTACAAGGGTTATTTGTATCTTCGCTATTATCAGGTAGCATAGATAGTGCTGTTAGGCTTTAGCTTTGGCCGGATTGCGGCCCGTTGGAAGACCGTGGCTCAAGCACCAGACTAGGAGGAGTTGAAAACGTTAAGTGAGACGCATACACTCGCCAGCAATAGAACCTTGATAAAGAAAGTTGTTGTCCTGCTTGAAAAATTGTCGTATAGTGCTATATTTTCAACTTTCTTCATCCTCGCATTATTATAGAAAAGGATATCGCGCAAATCAGAGCAGAGGCTCTTCGAAATAGATAGCACTATCACTTGAAAACAGAACAAGAGTATGGAAGAGGTGTTTCCAGGTTGGACGCTCAACCTGTACCTTGATTTTACCGAGTTACTACAATCATGCCTTGAATCCTACGCAAAAACCCATCCAAGTCAGCCACTGACAGCAATACGAACTACCCCACATTAGCTCCCAATCCGAACAATTATACACGGCACGCCTTGCATACACGATGCACAAAACCTCTCATCCGTTACCGGCGCACACGTCCCCACCAACTCAACACCACAGCCCCTCCTTGGCATCGTAGCTCAAAAAAACTCACGATCCTTGGCGCCAACACATCAAAAAAGCGCCACCAGCGCCCCAACCATCCTACTAAGCAAGCCTCAAGAAAAAAATCTTCAAAACAGCCGCCCTCTACCTCTGACACAAGGCTATTCAGAAAGCGCCCCAGGCTCCACAGGTACCCGTACACTTACCGCATTCCAGCATGTTCTTACTTAACGAAATTCCACCACACGAACAAGCGCACACCCAACCCGGCCCTCTCCCATCCCCACACCCCGAGATTTCCCCATTCGCTTCTCCCCTTGCATGCAAGACAGCCGCCCGCCATAAGCAAAATAGGAAAAAAACTAGCAACAGAACCCCCATCCATCCCTCACACAACCACCAAAGTCCTCTCTCTCTCTCTCCACAAAATTCTAGACCTCGCCCCCGTGCCCCACCCCCTCCAAAAGAAAAAAACAATGAAAAGCGGGTAAACAACTTCCTTCCCCTGGCGGCAAGTAGTACCAAACTTTAGCATTAGCGCCTCCCTCCCCAGAATTTTTTCAAACAAGGCGAAACCCGCGATTGCCCGCGCTCAACATACTCTAATAAGTACATTCCGCACTGCGGAAAAAAAGCACATAGTAAGGGAAAAACGAGATGCGCGACTATGATCTATGACTAGTGCATTTTTTGGCCGGAAAAGAGAAGCGGGATAGGGAAGGACTTTCCTATTCGGGATATACAAGGGTGTGTGGTTGCGGCTCTGTGGGACTTGGCGTGGGCGTGGTAGGGATGCCAGTACCTTAGTAAGATGGGTTTGGCGGGAGTGATATTCGGGTGGTAAGAGTGTAGTAGTAAGTGCGATGGGGTGCGGCGGGTGCCGACTAGGAGATGGGGTGAGCTGGCCGTGATGTGACGGGGATTGATTGGTGAGGTGGTGTGATGATGGGGGTTGGGGGGTGAGGCAGGTGTAAGCGGCTCGGAGGGATGGGCGGTACGGCGCGAGATGTGAGATGTGAGATGCGAGATGTGAGATGGTGATTACATTGATTGTTCATGATATTGTGTTGTTGCAGAGATGTTACCGAGTTCGTGGTGGTAGTGGTGTAATGAGCCTATATTGATCACGTGCACTAGTGTCGCATGATGTTCTTTGCATCGCAATAATTTCTATTACGACTAAATCGAATATCTTGTAGAACAAAGCTTCATCATCATGAAACTAAGTCACTTTTCACTGTATGTAGCTCTCTAGAGTTGAAAGAGTGGAACTTTATTCCTGTATTATATACTAATAGTAGGACTTATATGAACAATAGAATCGTCCTATGGAGTGGAAACTTTTCTTGGTGACAAACACAAAAACGCCTAGCTGAACGTCTATCTCAATATTCGAGGAGCTTGCTGCGCGCTCAACTCGAGCAATCTATAAACGGACCGAAACGCCGACAACAAATGAGAGAGGCGAGCATACAGCAAAGCAACGCCTAAAAACCAGGTACAAACGGGGGTATATCCTACGTAGTCCAAAAGTGATGATTGCAAGTAAAAATCAGACAATGGCCAAGTAAGGAAATTCGTGAATCGTCCGCTTGAGCGTGACGAGTGGGGTATAAATAACGCAAGGAGAGAGGATTCCAAAACTACCGCTCCAGGCTGAAGCTACCAGACCGAGAGCTCATGTTTGAAAAAGGGTACTCGCATTCTTCGACGTAGGTGGGTGGGCTGACGGGAACATCTTCGTAGAGCGGAGGTTGCTCCTCATCCCAAGCAATACCCATGCCCGATCGCTCGGTAAGGACCAGGTGGAATTGAGTACGGAGAACACGGGCGGCGCCGGTGGGGGTAGCTTGGCTGAGCTTCTTGAGTGGCGCCCATTCCTCAGCGACAACCATTTCGATGATCAAGTTGTGCTTGACGCTCATGCCGTTTGAGCTTTCCAGGTCGCAAAGAGGCTTCATGGCCATATTGCAGGCTGCCTGGAATTCAACATCGATCTCGCCCTTTTCAAAGTCGGTCTTCCAACCCATCTTGACCTCTTCGTTGGCAATGGCACGGACATCCTCGTGGAGAACGCCCTTGCCCTCACCACCAACCTTTGAAATGTGCTTGGCGCAAGCTGGGGAGATGAATTTTTGCGTCTCTTCAATGCGCCAGTTGAGTTTGCGCAGTCTCCATCGCGTTTGCGAGTCTGCCTTGTTTTGAACAATCCCGGAAAGGCGCATTTCGATGGGAAAATCGCCGATAGGGTGGATTACTGGCGGCAGCTTGACGGAAGCCGTAAGATTGGTCGGCGGGAAGATGCGAATAGAATGCTTCTCCGCACCAGGGAAAATAGCGCGCTTAATGTCCAGATTGCGCTTGTAAGTAATCTTGCCCGAAGAGGTGGTAGCAACGGCGGACAGGTAATAGTCAACCGTGGCAAGGCTACCATGTGTGGTAGCCGGCAGATGACCTGGCAGTAGGTGACTGAAGGGAAAGTTGTGGGGACCGTGACGCAGCGAGACGGGATGGGTCAGAAACTCCCACTTGTGGATTTCAGTGGTCTGAGTGGTGCAGTCTGGGCAATGTGGGGCCACGGGCTTCTTGGTGGTCACAATGGCCAGCATGCGCATTTCAAACTTGTCGACGGTGATGAAGGGGTCGTGTACGTTGATGACGAGCTGCCCTGAAAAAATGGCGCCAGTCGATGTCTGGGGTGTGTTGTAGAAGACGATTGGTGGAGACTCTACGCTCATGTTCATGGAAGCTGCGCCCTGTGCCTCGAGCTTTGGCGTCTTCTTGGCATCTTCTTTCTCTTTGGCATGCTTGTCATGCTTGTGGCGGTTGAAGATGTCCATGACCAGAGATTCCTCCGACTTTGACTTTGCCTTGACGCGTGGGGCGTCGTAAGAATAGACTGGGGGCAGCAGGCCTTCGGCGTGTGGCTTAGTGGTGTCCGATTTAGGAAGTGGTGTAGGAGCGACCCTCGCAAGGGTACTGAGCAGGCGGCCTGGCATTCTCTGCTGGAGAATCTGGGGTAGGGCTGCGAGTAAGCGACGTGAGTGGACGGCTGGCAGCGTAGATAGCAGAGATGAGTTGCGGAGATGTGTGGGAAAGATAAGGAATTGTCCAATGGGGGTAAGGGCGTGGGCCGACAAGCGATATGCAGGCGGAAAGCGTGGAGTGCAGCTGTGGTGTGCTTAGGAGTTGACTTTGTGTGAGTTGAGGTGGTTAATGAGATATTGAGGCAGGAACATTGCAGGCTATCAAAAATGACCAGAAACTGGAGGCCGGGGAAGGATGAGGTCTTATTTAAGAGAGTTGATGACTGGCTTTACATGAGAGAAATTCCCTGACTGGATTGCCTCTTGGAAGCTTTGCATGATTTCATCGATAGTGGCACGAGCAGGGATTTTTCTCGTACTCGGGCTAGACGCTTGCGGCAAGCGCATCCCTGCATCTGAGTGTAATTTTTGGGTCAGGAGGCAGGTGCGCACGGCCTGCCGCTCACGAGATCGCCGGCGAACCCAGCGAGCGAGCGTGCCTGTCCTGCCTGTCCTGCCTATCCTGCCTGGCGTGCCTGCCGGCCCAAAAGACGTCAATAAACAAGCGAGGGTAAGAGCGAGCAAACTCCGGCTGGGTCCCGTGACCATGATGACCTCTACTGCCTACACCCGGCAACTTGCCCATTTCCCATTAATCAATTGCACACACGCCCTGCGCTGCTGACATGCCGTCCTCGTCCCTATGCTCATCTTGCCGCTTACCTCAGTTTTACCGACAGGTCGCGGCCTCGGGCCCCAGCTACGCCCCAGCTCGCTGCCAGCGGATGCACCGTCTGCACCGTCGTGGCTCGACGTCGGGGAACCTCATGTGGCTCGCCGGCGGCCATCCATTCCACCCACGCATCGCCAGCCTGGTCCAAGAGCACCACTTACGTCTCCACCCGTTAAACTCTGGGGTGTTCATCATGCCAAAACGACGGCACACTGCCCGCCCTCTTGACATTATTCGCTGACGCACATGTGATGTCCTCTTCCCCGCAACCCAAGTCTTGTGCTTGTCGCCAAAAAACCTTTGTACTATGCGATCTGGGGACGAGCAATTGAGCATCTCCTCGGCCATGGCATCATCGCAACCGCCCTTGCCTACCACCTTTCCCATACATACTCGTAGCCTGCAGCTGCTCTCAGCACATCACCCACACCTGCATTATCCCTCACACCCACATGACACGTTGTATGCGCCCATGGTGGCTCTATGCGAATTGTGCATCGTCTTCACCGTCGTCGCTGTCATGTTGACCATCCATGGTGCCCATGCCAAGACGCGGCGTTAGGTAACACAGCGAATTTTTCCCTCGCACCGTGGGCCAACCACAGCTGCTGACTGGCCTCCCCACTCCACCCACATCTTTTACAGTCTCTTTACACATTTTGGCGGCTCCGGCCCGATGCTGGCTGAGACTCAGGCTGCCTCGTGTCAAAAAAGCACCCACTTGTTGAGAGACCAGACTGTTCTACATTACTCGATGGAACCCTCCACGGCCACGCACTAGCGCCAATCACGCAACTTGTTCCGCATCACAGCAGTCCGCCAGCCATCACGCGGGCCGCGTACAAGACGTCTTTCGAGCAATTCCTTGCGAATCTTGTAACGTCTCGCTTAATATGTAGCCCTGCCGCTTGAATGGCTGCCGCACTGTCAATGTCCGCAAATGTCCGCACTACCAATGTCCATCTGCCAAGGTCGCTGGCTTGCCATGACCAGATCGGGAAATTCATCAGCATGCGCTGCATGCCCCTGGCCTGTCCCGACCACCGGAGCCCGTGAGTCCCACATATGGTTCCCTCACCTGCTCCAAGGCGAATTCCGAGTACCGTACCTCGTTCCCGTCGGATATCCATCACGGGTTTGCTCACCATGCGACACGCAACGTGGGAGTCATCATGTCGTATAATTACGCCATCTAAATCACCGCAAACGTGCCATGGCACCATGATGGTCAAAATCACTCACGTCTCACCGCCAATCTGCTCCACTATACAGAGGTTGTAAATGTATGTACAGGTACCTCGTCGTGTCTAGAACGTGGCTGGACGTTTTCCATCACCCTGCGTCGCGGCTCTGAAGAGCCGCTTCTGGGCGCTGCGTCCACGACCCGCAACGGGCCGACTAGAAATAACCTTCTCGAACCATCCCATTGTGGCACATCCCGATTTATGCCAATCACATGGCGAATGACCCCTGTGGCGCTCCTCAGGTCGGGATCTTCACCGGCAGTCTAGTAGTACTACTAGTAGTAAACATGTGGCTGCACACCTTGATGAGTATTCGAGAACTTGTGAGTTTCATCGGTCGCACATCCGGTGAAAGTTACAGCATCCCAACAGCACAAACTCTACCTTGCGGGCCTCCTTTCTCCTATCCCCGACACATCATAAGATATTTCAAGGTGGGTATGCCGGCATGACGCGTGGCACTCAAAGTGCGTTGTCTCGATATACTTTTGCATGCTGACGCCTTGTGACATGTGGATCTTTACCACGCGGACAAATCACTGTCTACACACTAACATGCCCGGAACAAGTCACTAGTGCCCGCATTCAAGCAGTAGCACCAAGATCGTTGCCGTCGATCTACTGGGCAGAAAAAAAAGCGTGCTGCAACCCATTCCTCCTGCCCGCTGTACAGTTTCAGCCACAAGCTGTTTTTGAACAACAAGTAGGCCAGCAAAGCAGCCCCTATACCGCTCATCGCAGTAACATTGCTTCACCGGTGGGCGAATAGTTTCTCTTTCTCTCGAGATCCAGAATTTCCATCTTTTTTCCGTTCACCATCATGTGTAAATTGCGGGCCTCTTACGACAACTAACATATATAACGAGATATATTAAGCTTCTATTCGCATGATGATTGGTCGATTGCAAAATATCGTTCGAGTAAAAGAATCAAAGGACGTGTTTCACATCATCTCACTCCACCATCACCACCCATCTGTTTGTCATAAGTATGTAAAAGCGACCCAGAGGGACGTTACACAACCTCCAGACCCGTTGAGCTGAGACGGTGAGCCTTTCCCCACATGCAAGGAAGAATGGAACAATCCTTCATGCAAGCTTTCTTCTCTTTCTTGGAAAAAACCTTGTTGTTAATCTATGGGGTGTTAGCTTGTGATGCACGTTACATCTTTATTTTTTTTTCTCCTCGCTCGTTTCCCCTGTCTTGCTTGTTAGCTCTGCCGCGGAAGATCGTGCGTACTGCCGTTGAGCATCATGTGGAGTACAAAATGCAAGGGGGTCCGCTCTGAGCGTTGCACTAGTAGGTGCTGATTTTCAGACAGTTCTCACAATGTTGTCCCTTTTTGGCTTTTTTTCTTTTTTTTTCTCGTAGCGCTAGGATCCACCTCCTACACTTCGCCTGGAAATAAAGAATTCACCCTCAGGGCCAATCGCGCAATTCTCGAGAGAAATAAACAAGACAAAACATCATCACAAATGGGGCACTTCATAGCACCGGAAAATATTCATTGTTTTGGCACATGCATCAATTCATTCGATTGTGCTATACGCCATGTAAGCTTTTCGGCCCTTCCCTTATTTTCCAAACACTAGACTTCATATAATGCAAGCCGAGGTGGTATCTTTAAGTGGAAATGTACATCTACTCGTCGTCCTCGTCGGCCTCGTCGTTGACAACGTTGAAGAAGCGGAGCTCGTAGACACCCTTGGAGGTGGAAACAACACGGAGCCAGTCACGGAGCTGCTGCTTCTTGAGGAACTTCTTGGTACTATTGTTTGCCATCATGTCAGCTCGCAAATCGCAATTATATATATAAGCCGAGAGAGAAAAGAACGTACAGGTACTTGAGGTAACGACCAGAAAACTCCTGGTGGGCAATGACCTCGATCTTTACCTCGCCTTGCTGGCTGATCTGGATGTTATCACCGAGGTTACCGGTGCGGCCCTCGACCTTGATGCGGTCGTTGAGGAACTTCTCGAAAGCCTGGATGTCGAAGATCTTGTCGTTGACGGGCTGCGAGCAGTTGATGATGAACTTCTTCGTCACCTTCTGGTTCTTCTTGGCGGCGGCGCTGCGCTTCTATATTCATGCGTACTTAGCCTACTGTTCTGGAACACACGTGCGCGAGAAAGACACACTCAGACTCCGGAGAAGGTGTCTGGTGCTCTCGCGCCGGAGGACAGCAAAGCGGTTGTACGTACGGTGGTAGACATCTTGATGAGATTTGGGGGGTGAGCGCAAAGAGATGGATATCCTGCGTCTTCTTTGAGGTGTTTGGAGGGGTGGAAGAGGGGAGCTGTCGTGAGGCGCGCCGGTCGTTGTTCGCTGTGGGATTGCAAAATGCGATAGTGGGATACTAGGCTCAATACGGACTGGCGTGCCAAGTGTTCGACCGAGGACTTATTGATCCGCCGACATACATTGACGCGAACAGCTGACACTGATAATCGGTCTGAATGTTAGGTTCCTATAGATTGAATTTGTTTAGAAATCTCGAGTCGATGCTTTTGCTTGATTGTGTTATCATTCAGGACTACCACAACACATCCACACATACAAATACACTATCGCAACATGTTGCTTGCCTTTGCGCTTCTTTCATTGTCCTAAACATCATAACTTCAGTCGATTGTACGCCCAGTAAGCTTTCATCGGCAGTTTCCAGTCAACATTCCTCAAAGATGGGTCGAAGATGTCGAAATCAACTCCTTGCAACTTATCCAGCCATGCCTGCGTCGCAACGCTGGGCATGAAAACCCCAAACGCTTTTTCTACTTCTGCCAGTTGTACCTCCTGTCCAGTGTTCATCTGCTGTACACTATATTCATGGTCCGCCTCGTGCTGGTGCTCAAAGTCATGACCAAGGGTCCCTTCTGATCGCAACTTATTAAGCATTTCTCGAGCTGTGATGAGATGGTCATTTGCACGTGTGGCCACCGTGAAGACAGCGTCGCGGAGACCAGGGGCGGACCCGCCTTGTCGGAATACATCTTCCTCGCGAACAGAAGCTTCAGCCATGACATCGAGCGGGAGGAGAACAGCGCCTTGGGTCGGTCCTGATTGGCCTGTAATGGAGTTGCTAGTACCGAGTGCCTGTTGTTGTGGGAATGCGATGAAAGGAATGCCTCGTAGCACTGCCGCGATGCCCATTGCCTTTCCAATGTGTGATGCAATGTGGTCGGTTGTTAGAGATGCTTGCGGCAGCGCGGAAAGGGTCAGGTATAGCATAGTGGAGTATGTGTTCTCAGCATAGCTCTCCAACGCGCTCAGGGTTGGATACGGTGGATTCCCTAGATACTGTTCTCGTGTGTTGATGATGCGATGGAACCAGTTCTTGCTCAACCGTGCTTTCCCGTCAGACCGTTCATGCAAATCTTCTGCCGCTTGTGCCAACAGAATGGCTACTGGCTCTTTTGGCGGAGTTCCTGCTAGTGCTTTGGTTATAGTATCCCGCCAAAATTGCATGCGCATCATGCCAATAGTGGGGGTACTAGTCGTATCGGCGACGCGGGCAACGTCGACATTAAAGGCGCGGATGGCAAGGTAAGCATCGCGGGAAGATTTTGGTATGAAAGTTTGCAGGATATGTGAGGGTGTGTCATACGTTCTGCAAGTGGTCAACGAAAGGCCGGTTGTTAGTAGGAAAGGTATAGTCACCTGACTAAATTTGCGCAGTATGCGCGGGCACTTGCAACTTCATCTTTTGAAGGCTTCGCTGTACTATTGAGACGCGAAGAAACATAGAGAAACCTGCGCTTGGGCCCTAAGAAGCTTTGTATGCGCCTCCAGGGACCTGTGCGGAATCTCGGTGGTAGCATTGAAACTTTTTTTTGCGGCAATCAAAAATTATAGTACAATGCCAACAGCCATTGCGCAATGCAAACAGCGATAACGAAGAGAAGACACCTGTGATGCAGGCAAAGAAGAAGTTCAAAAAAAATACAGAGTAGTATGAATCGTTTTGGTGTAAGGCACAAAGAGTCGAAGGCGACTGGTTGGTATGTATGACGCTATAATGTCGATCACCCGCACGTTAGGCCATGTGGGTTCGTGAAAGCGCGTCGACGCGTCTAACCACTTTCCAAAGCGGCGAAAGTACCAGCGACCAGCGACCGTCACCAACACCATGCAATCTCCACACCCAGACGAGCGACCCCTCAAAAAGCGCCGTTTCTTTACAGAAGATTCATCGCCGGTACAGGTACGCTCAAAACCCGCTGACCTCCCTCCATCGTCGCCGCCACCGCCGCCGCCGCTACAACAGCCTCAGGACAGCGAACCGCCACCAATCGAGGGGACTAGCAATGGAGCGCAACAAGATTTTGATGGTTTCGATGTCGAAACTCTTCAGGCTATCGTTGGAGAACTTTCAATCTCCACGCTGCAGAAGTTGAAGGATGTCAGCGCAAGCAATGTGGAGCGAGGTATGCATGTACTCGGAAGATATTAGAGCCTACTCTAACATATACAAGCCATCAATTTATATTTGGATGGATCTTGGAGCACAATGCCTTCAAGATCCCCGGTACCAACCCTCCAGTCTCGTCCACAATCAGTCCAGATGACAATAGCGAGTTCGCTCAAGCGCACCGAATCCGACGTTTCGAATGCCCCCACACCCGCTTCAGGTTCTTCCACACCCAAGGTGATACGCGATATGCCTAGCAAGCGGTACATTGGATCGTTCGGGGCCGCTGCATGGGCGACTAAGAGCGGGAGTGGCCTTCTCAAGCACAATGAGAAGGTTCGGATCGAGCGTGTGAAGCCGCAGCCTAAATTGAACAAGGCTAAGAAGGTCATTCAACTTAAAAAGCCAGATATTGTAGTGCGATTCATAAACGAAAAAGGAGAAGAAGTTGGAAGGCTGGACCAAGATACAGCATCATGGGTGTCTGTTCTCGTAGATCAGAATCTGTGTTCGTTTGAAGGTTCCGTTGTGTACACCCCGGATAAGCTGAGGACTGGAGACACCATTTATCTGCAACTACGAGGTTATTTTCTCCGAGGGGCATTTGACAGCCAGAAGTTTATGAAGCCTGATAATAATCGGGAGATCAACCTATTCGAAGAAAAGGAATCTTCTGAGGAACGAGACCTCCGGTTACGACAGGTCGGCCTCGTTAAGCTATTTGAGGCCATCAATCTCCATCCTACACATGAGAACGAGACGACTGCGAGGCACCGGCGCCAGGGACTGTTACAGGCAGCAGAGGGTGATGAAAAGAAGGGCGACAAGCCCAAGCCAAAAACCAGTACACCGGCAACACCTTTGACTCCTGCAGATCCTACATCCTCGCCGCCAACAGATGAGGTCGAGGAAGGAGAGGAGCTCGAACAGAGTCAATTGGACTCCCTGTACAGGAAGGCGCAATCTTTTGATTTCAACACACCAACCATGGACCCAGCTAGCACTTTCCGTTTGGATCTGCGAAAATATCAAAAGCAAGCCTTGTTCTGGATGGTCAGCAAGGAGAGGGACGAATCAATAGAAGACAGAGAAACATCAATGCACCCGCTATGGGAAGAGTATCAATGGCCAACACAGGATGCAGACAATCAGCCCGTGCCAGCTGTTACAGATCAAGCCATGTTCTATGTCAACCCCTACTCGGGCGAGCTGTCACTGGAGTTTCCAAAGCAAGAGCAGAATTGCCTGGGTGGTGTCCTTGCTGATGAGATGGGTCTGGGCAAGACTATCGAGATGCTCAGTCTGATCCACACGCACAGAACGGAGGTAAATAATGCTGAGACGCTGGCTACCCCAAGATCTCTGCCAAAACTCCACAAGGCTAGTGCTGCCGTTGAACCTGCTCCATATACCACTCTCGTCATCGCGCCAATGTCTCTACTGGCGCAATGGCATAGTGAAGCCGAGAAGGCATCAAAGGAAGGTACTTTGAAAGCAATGGTGTACTATGGCTCTGAAAAGGCGGTCAATCTGCAAAAGCTGTGTTGCGCCTCCAACGCCGCCAACGCACCAAACGTCATTATTACGAGCTACGGTACTGTGCTTTCCGAATACAATCAAGTCCTTACACAAGATGGGAATCGGGGGTCACATGGTGGTATCTTCTCACTGGAATACTTTAGGGTTATTCTCGATGAAGCACACTATATCAAGAACCGGCAGTCGAAAACAGCGAAGGCTTGTTATGAGCTCAGCGCAAAACATCGCTGGGTACTGACAGGAACTCCAATTGTCAATCGCCTCGAAGATCTATTCAGTCTGGTGCGGTTCCTGAAGGTTGAGCCGTGGGCAAACTTTTCGTTCTGGAAAACATTCATTACTGTTCCATTCGAGTCTGGCGATTTTGTGCGTGCCTTGAACGTTGTACAAACAGTGCTTGAGCCGCTAGTACTTCGTCGAACCAAGGATATGAAGACACCGGATGGCAAAGCTCTGGTACCATTGCCACCACGGACAATCGAAGTTGAGAAGATTGTACTGTCCCAAGATGAGCGAGATGTGTACGACCATATATACATGCGCGCGAAGAGTGTGTTCAGTGCAAATGCAGAGGCTGGAACATTAATGAAGTCGTATACCACCATCTTCGCTCAGATTCTCCGGCTACGACAGTCGTGCTGCCACCCTGTTCTCACTCGCAAAGCCAATATTGTCGCTGACGAGGAGGATGCTTCGTTAGCCTCTGACCTTGCAAACGGCTTAGCAGACGACATGGATCTCTCCAATCTTATTGAGCGCTTCGAGACTGAAGGCGACCAAGACGTGAGCAGGTTTGGTGCCAACGTCTTGAAGCAGATACAAGATGAAAACGAGGCCGAGTGTCCCATCTGCTGTGAAGAGCCCATGAACGAGCAAGCTGTCACTGGGTGTTGGCACTCTGCGTGCAAAGAGTGCTTGCTCAACTACATTGCCCATCAGCGCGACAAAAATGAGATACCGCGGTGTTTCAACTGCCGCGAGCCGATCAACGCCCGAGACGTTTTTGAAGTAATCAGGCACGATCACATCGCCGAGGACAACGAGCCCAATCATGCTTTCCGCCCTTCAGACGCACCACAACCGACGTCCACACAGACACCACGCATCAGCCTCCGCCGTGTTGGTCTTACCGGCTCCGCCAAAACTCAAGCACTCATAGGCCACCTCAAGAGAACCCGCAAAGAAGAAAAGAACACTAAAACAGTAGTCTTTTCGCAGTTTACGTCTTTCCTCGACCTTATCGAGCCCGCTTTAGCACGTGACCACATACCCTTTCTGCGCTTTGATGGCTCTATCACCCAGAAAGCGCGCGCCCAAATCCTCGCAGAGTTCACCACATCTCCGAAGCCGTACGTCTTGCTGTTGAGTCTTCGCGCAGGCGGTGTAGGCCTCAATCTCACCTGTGCAAGTAAGGTATTTATGATGGATCCATGGTGGAGTTTTGCTGTTGAGGCTCAAGCAATCGATCGTGTACATCGTATGGGACAGGAGCGGGAAGTAAAAGTCATAAGATTTTGTGTCGAGGGAAGTATCGAAGAGAAGATGTTGAGGATTCAGGAGAGGAAAAAGTTCATGTAAGTTGTTGCTAAACCCCTTCCCCTTTCATGTCCTCAAGTTTTGTTTTTGGGGATAGCTAACATTCTCTGCAGTGCGAGTTCACTGGGCATGATGTCTGATGAGGAGAAGCGCGTGCAGCGTATAGAAGACATCAAGGAACTATTGAGTTAAGCGTCGATGGATAGAACATTCGATGCTCCAACACGACATAGATTTTGTACACGAAGTATGAATACCCATACACATGCCCTACCAATAAACTTTCGTATACCTTTGTTTTTGGTCTTCTCGCGTGGCGTGTATGTCACGTGCTTATAGCACTCCCAGAGTCGACACATTCGTGACTCCATAATCACACATCCAGTAGGACCGATGGCGAACTCTCTATTCCCCATCATTCTAGCTACTCATTGACAGTAAACTTTGCCTCACACACCTACTCTCCATCTTCCCCCCCCCTTAGATACCCAAGATACCATATCACTTCAACGTACTACACCTTTTCGCATTCACCAAGTTACATGTGTTCATTACGTTCCTACATTACCATCACCCCCATTACACCTCGCACACGAATATCCTTGTATACCCACCCTCCACATTACTCTGCCAAGCCCTTCAAACAAAACCAAAAAGAAAAACAACCCCCTTGTATTCCCCACTTAACTGGAACCTCAAAACAATCCCAAGCCCACCCCCGCCGCTCCAATTAGAAACCCCGCAATCCGCCCCGTAGGCACCACAGCACCGCCCGTGAACCCAGGAAGCAAACTAGAAGATTGCACAGAAAACGATGGCCCGTCTTCGGTAGACGTAGTCGTCGTGCTTGAGCGTGTAGAAGGCGGGGTGGATATGATGCCGGGGGGAATGGAGGAAGAAAAAGGTTCTTCTTCGGGGGTGAGGAGGCTTGTTGATTCTGTAGATGAGGGTGGGGGTGGGGGACCTTGAGATGAGGTGTCAGCGGTGCTGAGTGATGGGGGTGAGGTATTTGTTGATGGAGAACCACTGGAGATTGGGGTAGAAGAGCGAGGTGGTGCGGGAGATGAAGATGGAGATGGAACAGGCGTACGTAAGCTAGATGACGGAGGAGGTGGCGGCGGCGGCAAGTTAGTGGGAGATGCAGTAGATGTCGGTGCAGCGGTTGTACTAGCTGGAGCCGCAGATGTCTCTGTCACCACAGCGCTTTCGGCTGTCGGTAGACGCCGGATTATAGTTGTTGCAGCGGGGACGCGGGATAGATACGTGGTCGAGCCGCGTGTTGAAGTGTCTGGGTCCGCAGTGCTTCCTACGATAGGATCGCAAGCACTGGATCCGATGGGCTGGCCAAGCTGTTGGATGACGGTGGGGAGAGTATTCAGATAATTGACTACTGTAGGCGGTACTGATGATTTTGGCTCTGGGATCTCGCTTTCTATAACGATAAGGGGTGGCCAGACTGTAGGTACTGGCAATGCTAGAGTTGATGTTTCGCTCACACATGCTGAGCCGATTGGCTCAACTTCGATGCGGCTGAATGTCGCATAGGCAGCGTACACGGTGGGCCATGTCAGAGGTACGCCAGAGTAGTCCCAGGTGATGGTCTGACTTGGTGGTGGGAGCTCGTTTGTGTAGAGCGTGGAGCTTACGTCTTCTTTAGCGGCGTTGGTGTAGATGTCGAGAGTCACAACAGGTAGCGATGTAGTCGAAACGACGACGGTTCCTGGGTAGCCCAATCGCTGCGCCGTTACATCAATCTGGCATGCGCTGGAGCAAGACATAGATACTGAAGAGGCTGATGGGAGGGAGGGAGTCAGCGTCTCGGTGACAGTAGTTGGTTGAGTTAGAATAGTGACAAATGTTTGCGTGACCAAGATGATAGAGACAGTCGTCTCAGCTGGCAATGTCAAAGTTGACACTAAACTCGAGCCGGGAAGCGATACAGTACTTGTTATAACAGAGGCCGGCAAAGTTGCAGTCGAGAGCACGGTGCTTGTGGTCACACTTCCGGGGAGCTCGCTCACCACTGTCGACGTCATAGCTGGTTGAGTTGTTGTAGAGATAATTGTGCTTGGCGGCAATTGCATAGTAACCACCGAAGTTACTCCAGGGAGTTGGATGACTGATGTAACAACTTCAGGTGGCAGGGTAAGCGTAGAGACGACAGTACTCGCGGGTAACTGCGTAGTCACAACTGAAGTAGTTCCAGGGAGCTGGATAGTAGAAGTTATGACTTGCCCTGGTAAAGTGATAGTAGAAAGCTGCGTAGTCGCAGGAAGTTGTGTAGTGACGGTCAAGAGGCTCCCTGTAAGCGTAAGAGTTGATGTAGTAATCTGCCCTGGTTGCGTGTACGTGTCTGTGATAGTTGTTGGGGGAGAGACCGACACCGAAGTGACGGTAGTTGGTGGCAATGTCAGAGTTGAGACAGTCGTGGAAATTGTAGTACTTGGTGGAAGTTCGGTCGTTACCATAGACGTGACGCCAGGAAGCGTTGTCGTAGTAACAATAACTTGAGGTGGCAATGTCAAGGTGCTAAGCTGAGTTGAAACTTGTGTCAGGGTCTCGACAACTGTCTCTGTTCGCTCCACTGTCTGAGTTGGGCCTGGTACGATAACTTCTTGGGTTGGTCCTGGGATCTCCACTATGAATGTGGATGTAACCAAGATTTCAGAGACAATGGTTTGGGTACTTATGCTAGTTGTACCAGGAACTGCATTGTGTTAGGTTTCTCTAAGTTTTCGTTTGATCCAGAAGTACTTACGAGATATAGTTGTGGGAACAAACTCAGTTGTCGTCAACTTCGAAACGGACGTAGATATACTAGTGGCCCAGGAAGTCTCCGTCGTACTAGTGGTTTCTGTTGTTGTAGTTGGTTCGAGGCTAATAACAGTTTCGGTTGGTCCAGGCACTGAGACGGTTTGGACTGAGGTCTCTGTAGGGCCTGGTACTGATAATGTTGGCCCTGGTACGGTCTCGATCATAGAAATCAGCTCAGTCAGTGTAAGTGTTGCGGTGGTTTGCGAGACTACTGTTGTAGTGGTGATCGAAGTTGTTCCAGGTACTATTTGCTGTTAGTTTTCTGGTGAATGATCTCGGAAAAAGCAAAAAAATGCTCAATATAACCATGAATTAGACAATGACTAGATGTTTAAACTCACATGTTAAGGTTATTGTGTCAAAGAGAGTTGTGGAGAAAGTCGTGAGCTAGAGAGACATACTGCGTTAGCACCCTTAGAGGTTAGTGAGAGCTAGCCAAGTTAACTTACAGAAGTGTATATGGATGTCGAAACGCTCGTGGTTGTAGATACGAGTGTTTTAGTCGTGGTATCAAGATCAGTCGTCTTTATTGGTATAGTCGTATATTCAGTCGTCGGGGTGTAGCTGATCTCAGTCGTTGGAAGAAGCTATAAGCTTGTCAGCCAAATTCAAGAAACAGCAATTCAAAATCCAATGAATGAAACGAAACTCTTTTGCAAAATAGGAGCTAGTAAATATGCACCATTGATAAAATTCCAAGGGCATATGTTCGTAGAATGAGGTGTGAATAACATACCGTCACAAACGTCGAAATGAGTGTCTACTTGCGTTAGTTGCTATTTCTTTTTTTTGAAAGGGGTATACAAACTCACTGTAGTCGTCCGTTCCGTCAAAGTGTTGTTGACCGTTATCGTTGGGCCAGTAATATGTTCTGTAAACGTGTACGTCGAAGTCTTTTATATTTTGTTAGGCATTTCATCAACTAGGCTGCCTTATGGAAATGAATACCTCAGTAAGATTGAGACCTGGCTTTGTGATGGTTTCTTTTTCAGTCTTTACAGGTCAGCGAGCACCTCGAAATGAGAGAGTTATGAGATGTACTTTTGTTGTTGTAGAATTTTTGGTCTCTGTGATAGTTACCGGAAAGCGAGTGGAGCAGGATTGAATGGAAGTAATTGTAACAGTCTTCGCAGGTGGACCATATCCACCGCCGTTGGTCACACTTGTTGTCTTCGTAACGGTAACTGTGATAGGCGAGGGAAGAACTTCGTAGCCTCTGGAAGGGGTGATGGTGTTTGTTACAGTCCTAATCGACGTACTGGGACTTGGACAGGTCATGGGTGCAGTGACTGTGATTCGTATTGTAGATATAGAAGGCCGCCCATAATCGTACACCGTGGTAGTGGTCTTGCATGTAGCCGGTTTCTGTCCATAATCTTGCGCGTTGATTCCTTCTTCGAAAGGTTTGGTGGACGGCGATACAGCCTCTGATGGTTTCTGAGCAGCTGGCACTGTGTTGCTATTCTGTGTACGAGCTATACCGGCTAATACCAGAAACAGCGGCCAGTAGTTGCGCATCCTGAAGCGAAAGACTATTGATTTGGATGAACGAATGACGAACAAATCAATCCTAGATATTCGCGTGAGAAAGTTAGTGTAAACTGCTTGGATAAGACGATCGTGGGTGTAGCTAGAAATGGCACAAAGCTCTAGCCTTCTGACGCGAGCGCAAGGCTGGGAGATAGTATGATGTATTGGAACCTCAGAAGACACAAGATATCGAATACAGAAGAGGCAGCTGTAGAGGAAAAGAAGAATCTAGACCGATTAGAGCATGGCGTACCTTGTTACAGAGTCTGAACTGGAAGGTCGGAGAGGAAAGAAATTACCGGCTAAGAATGATACAGGACGATGACGAAGCTAACAGAATTCCTACATATTAGGAGATCATACGCCTGCACCTAGGCGGCTGAGAATACATGAGTTTGGCTCGTGTGCCTGTATACCAGGATACGTAAATGTGACACCGGAAATAGCATATCCAAACGACAGGTGGGTATCTCCCTCATGGCCTACTACTCAGAAGAGTACAGGGCGCGGCACTGAACTGATGCTAAACCGGTGAATCATTCCACGAACACTGTCAGCATCATCATCATCATCTTCCGGTGAAAGGCCACCACTCCAGCCATGGGTGCAGATTAAAATCACGATAGCAGTGGCTGCCATTTCTGAACGCCATAACACATCTTACCCACACCACAAATATCAAGAAACAGGACACTTGCTGCGAGGGATCTAGAGCCAAGTCGTGGGTGCAACCCACGGTGAACGCTGACATGGACTATATTGAGGCCGCATCTAGTTAGCCATCGACCGTAACTGGAATAGTGATATGCAGCTGTTCATCAAAAGAAATGCGGCTTGACGCCAGGCAAGACTGAGATGAAGGAGGTGCGGGCCAGCCTGGCAGAGGGCTAGAAGCCATGATTGAGAATATAGTAACACAAGGGCGGCCCTTACAGCTTGGCTGATGCTTCCGCTGGACGCCATACTACTCAGGTTCATTAGCCAGGAACACTTGACAGGAGCATGATGATGCATGCTTGTTGCTACAGCTTCGGATGGATGGATGAAGCCATAGTATATAGCCGCAGCAAAGCCGTCATGAGGAGGGCATGGTGCAAGGCATACAATGTCAGGCGAGGTGCATGCACGTAAGAAGCTCAGTCTGTGCGCGACGGGAGAGTGGGGTGGCACCTAGTAGCGCGATTGCGGCCTTAGCTGCCGTTGTAAAGGAATATAGTGATAGGACGACTTGAACATGCTCGTCCAGTCAATCTTCAACGCCTCCTACGCGCCATCCATCTATTTACATCCCTCACTCAAGATCTGCTTGCGCAGCCATCTCAAAACGTTGCCCCCTCATGGCCATGGCCCACACCAACCTGTTTCTAGGCTCGCGATCTCTTCGTTGTTGCTTCTCCCCCAATGAGAACCCTGTAATTAGTCGCCACCCAACCCATACCCTTTGTTCGGTGCCGCCACGTCGAGCGGTATTTTGATGTCTTTAAATGCGCTAGGCAAGCATATCATGTCCTTCTGGCGCTGTGCCTCGACCCCGCGTCAAGCACAGACACCAGCCTGGCTGCAGGAGCAGATGGGCTTGATGTGCCTGCAACAGTCAGACGAATCCATGATTAACCGACGCAAGCAACAGTCATTTGGAATCAGATACTAATCCTTGTTGAGGACTCATAGCCGTCAATCAGCAGTTTCCTATGTCATCGCCAACCACTAAGCCGTGTATGAGGCTTTTCATGGCTGGGTTAGACGGCTGACACTTTGTTAGCATGCCTTGCCTATGCTGCCTTTTCTTGGTTGAGAGCCTTCGTTATTTGTTCCCTATACCCACTCTGGATATGATATTACAATGCGACCCTCAGCAATGCATTCCAAAAAACGCGACGAGCCGCTCCAACTGCCACCAGTCCCATACGTTCTAAGCGATAGTGGAGTATTCGACGGCAACGACGGAAAATGGTCATCATTCCTTCTCAATATTGGAGATGATGGCTCTGGAAGAGGCCAGAACTTCAGGGTTCTCATTTCTACTTCATCTCCAGTCGTCCTGGTTCCTGGACAAACTGAATGGTGTGATGACGATGAGTGCGCTAAGAAGCGTGGACTTGAGCTTTACGACGGAAAGCAGCCTCTCGGACTACAAGACTCGGCGCAATGGCAAGCCTCTGAGATTTACAACGTACCTCAGCCGTATTGGTGGAGTGATTCCTACAGAATTGATCAGAGCGACTTGAATGGCCTATGGGGAGTCGATAACGTGGCTTTGGGGGCAAGCTCGCCAAAAAGTTTCATACTAGCCGAACAGTATGTGGTCAGGACCTTGGTGAAGGATTTCTTCATGGGCTCTTTTGGACTCGCTGTGGGAGCTGTTGGTCCACCTGGTGGAGACAAACCAAATTTCCTGGACAATTTCGAAGCTGCGAATAAGATCGCAAGTCGTTCATATGGATACACCGCTGGTGCATACTATCGTGAGTGATACATTCTTCCATCTTCAGTCACAATAGGATATTGCTTCGCGTTTACTTTGACTACACATCATATGCGGCTTGGTGACTGACGCGTCGAGATGGGCTAAAGAAGTATAGGAAACAACAACAACGGAGTCCCAGGAAGCCTGGTCTTAGGCGGGTACGACGAATCACGATTCAAACCGAAAGGTACATCCATACGCATGCCGAATGACAAGAACAACGCGCTTGTTGTTGGAGTACAGTCTATTCTTTATGCAATGGATCAAGACGTTGAGACAAATACAGTGAGATTGACACCAAGTGGAGGATTCTCTGCTACGATAGATTCCACACTACCCTATCTCATCTTACCAGACGAAGTTTGCGACGAGTTTGTATCCAAATTTCGTCTGGAGTTCGATGAAGATAGTCAGTTGTTTCTTGTCAACTCTACTTCTCACCAAGCCAACCAGCGTGAGAATGCTACCGTTTCCTTCAAAATCGGGGCAAGCCCTTCCGACAGCGACATCTTCACTTCGATTGTCTTACCATATGTAGCGTTCGACCAACAGGCCAGCTTTCCTCTGCCCGTTCCTAATGAAAGCAACCAGTACTTTCCGATCAAGAGATCCGAGAACGGTGTGTTTGTGCTGGGTCGCACATTTTTACAAGAAGCATACATTATCGTCGATTACGAAAGGACCAATTTTACAGTCGCGCCAGCATTATTTGCTGATCCTATGCCTACCCAGAGTCTTGTCACCATATTCAACGAGTCATACACTAGACTACCTTCTGTCGCAAACGATGATTCCGAAGGGGGACTACCTACTGGTGCAATTGCGAGAATCGTTGTGGGAATTGTTATAGTTTTCGCTCTCGCTGCTATTGGTGTCTTCATTTGGTGGAAACGCCGTAATCCAAAGAAAGATGGGATTGAAAGTGAAAGGCCCCTGGAGATAGACACAACCCATGCTGGCACGGAGGTCAAGTACCGACGCGTTTCAGAGCTTACCGGATCTGAAGGTCCGCAATCACCAAGAGGCTCGTCGCTGGGTTACTACGGTCCAGATCACAAGTCGATACCCCCAATTTGCGAGATGTCACCAGACAGTCCCCCCTCCGAGCTTTACAGTCCTCCACCTGAAGGCCATGACGGTGTCGATTATTTTGCTTCTGCCGAGGCAAGACGGCAGGGGGCAATGCGAGATCGCCGCTCTCCAGGCATGAGCACAACGCAAACGCCTACTATTGCTGAACTCCCCGGAGAAGGCATTACATACGAGACTTCTGCGGATGAATCGAAGCCGACACAAAGACCTCGACATAGCCGTAGCCCGAGTGACAGTTCACTTGGTACCAACATTGATGCAGTGTTAGCGAACGAGCGAATGGCCCGTCCGAGGAATGGATCGGATGTTAATGACGCGGCGGTGGAGCCTTATTCACCAAATACTGTTGAGGAAGAAGCAGGTGTGAAAACAGTGGGACCAGACGAAGATCATGGCCCTGCTGAGCAGTCAGCTGTCGAACGGCGACCATCGCATTCGAGAGGGCTGAGTGACACTACAATCCAAAGCGAAAGCACAGCAGTGTCGCAGCCCACACAAGAAGAGCTGGATCGCTGGGCGAGGACCGGAGAGGTCGTACAGCGACCAATGTCTCCGTAATGTACAACCATCTCAAGACCACTTCGGTGCACTCTTAGAATATTGCAAACAGCCTTTTGTTTTCGTATCTTCTTCGCTCGAAACACTTGTGTAAATCAAGGTACCCACTTGTATATTCTTTACATCCGTAACCTACTTCTCTATTTCCTTCACGGATGCAGTGCTGCATTACTATTTCGCATTATATTTATGTAAACATGATTCTCTCTAGTTAACTCGTCCGACACAGTAAGCAAACTTTCACACACATGTTACGCGTCTGACTTCCCCGTAAGCCAGCCCCAGCTCCAGAAGTCACAACTTTACTGCATCCCTCCCGCCACCTCAGTCCTTGAAAACCCCCTTCTCTCCCCTCCTCATACCATACCGCACGCACCATACCCGCCCTCCCCAATGTACACCGCCACAACCAACCGCTGACCACCCTTTCCCTCTCCCAACATTCCAGCAACCAGCACAAAAAGCTACATACAGCCTAGTCTCCTTACAGTCTCTTCCGCATTCCATTAGCATTCCCTTGTTCGCACCCCATTCTTTGTTTACCGGTTCGGCAATAAGCCAGAACCAAGGTTTGGCATTGGACTGGGCTGAGGATATTTAGCCTTGCCAGGTTTTCTGGCCCCATACACGTTGGATTTCTTGAATCAGGGCTGGTTGCATACATGTACACAACTTGTGCACAACAGTGTCAGCCTGGTTATGTCGATTTGGTGTGAGCAATGGGATCGTAGCAGACAGGTAAGCCAGGGAAGTTTTTTTCTTTTCTTCCAATAGAGATGATGATTCAAACGCACAATAACGCAGCACAGGTTGCTATGCTGACTTGCCTGAAACAAAGCCCGAGGCATATACGACCGCGTTCATGCGTTAGATGCTCCACGGCGCAAATCATCGGTATAGGCTTTGAACACGTCATTCAGTCTTGCATGCACGAAGGTAAGAATTGGGGGCGGTTGTGCGGCGTACCGGGTAAGGCGAAAGTGGGGCGAGTTGACAATACTCCGAGGAGGCGAGGCGATCCCAGTCTAGACGACACGAACTTTGTAAGCGGGTATGAAGATCAAGCTTCCTCTAGATAACGTGTGCGTATTTACTTGATAAGAAAAAAAACAATAATGCACGATCATAGTTTCAGACAAGCCAAGTGTGGAGGTGTTGTTGTTCCAAGGGGAAATAAGATTGGTATTTTGCGGGCTGGATATCACGCCACAATGACATCTGGTCGTAGCATTTGATTATTGCTCTGTATTCAGCCTGATTAATGGATTAACCGGTGTACATAAACATGCACACTCGAGGAAGACAACCGCTAGAATACCGAGGAATGCCGCGAAGCTTTGGTGCCGTTGAAGGGTCGCTGCGGGACCATGGCACAGTTTTGCGCATGTAATGGTTTTGTGCCAGGCACTCATTCGATACAGCTCAATTACAGGGTTTCTGGCTCGACATGGCGGGTCTGGCTATAGATAGCGTGATTTTACAGTGGCATATCGTATGCACACTCAATCCTCGTGGTCTACAGTATTACTACCCATATTTACCTTGGGTGTCTTGTCTTGCTCCGCTGATGTCACCATAAACTTGTGTCCAGGAGATGAATGGTCCGACATCTCATTGGGCACAGATTGCCCAGGGTGTGTTTGTCGATAAGCCACATCAGGTGCGCGCCGCTGCGGATAAAGTACCCCTCCTGGTGTTGCAGCACTATTTTGACGCCGCATCAGATTTGTGAAGAGGTCGAATGTCGAGTTCGAGTTGAGAAATGATAGTGGCCATTGGATTGCAGGAAGCCAGCTTTGATCAATGGATTCGTGGCATGCTTTTAGTACTCGCTGACCCCAGTTTTTCATGAACCAGTATCGTGGTTCCGCGGCTAGGAGAACAGTGGCATAGTGCATGAGAATGACTAGCGCACCTGGCCGTCGTTGCTGCAAAAGGCTCATGAACTCCACATTGATATGTAATGGCCAGATGAACAAGAAGCGTAGCTCTCGGTTGTCAACCTTGGGAGGCAGCGAGATACTTAAAGCAGGATCGAAGTGTGCCACCGTGGTCAAGTAAGTCGCCCTTTCACTCTCAGGGAGATCATGCTTGTCCCGGATGAAACTGACTAGTGCAGGGGTTTGTTGTAATAGCTCCATCAATAGTGGTTGGGAAGGTGTCACCTCGGTTGGGTCACTGACCAAGGGCCGAAGAAACGAGTCAACAATGGTGGCTTGTGTAAGTGACAGGATATTACCCATACCCTGCATGAGATAAAAGCAGTTGAGGAGACCTTCAATGACACACGGCGGTGTAGCACTCATATTGTGCTCAGCCTCGAGGCCTAATGAGGCAAATACACTCAGGGTGAGTAAGGTTGATGTGGCTACCATAGCTGCAGCTTCTTGAGGGGTGGTTGCGGCAATGTTTCTTCGCAGCCCTCTTATGGCACAATCCTGGTGATGTATTCCAAAAGTGTAATACTCGTGGCACAGTTCTTGCTGCTGCTGTTTGTCGGCTTTGGAGAATGCAGCGAAAGCCAGCATTTCATGCATCAAGTAGGGGTGCGAAACTGCATACTTTGGGGCATCGACTCGCCACATATGGCAAATATCGCTTCGATGTGTGAGCTCTTCGTACGCTTCGGTGGTCCAAAAATGCCTACAAAGGATGAGTCGACGTGTCTGGTTAGGTGAGGTTGATGATTGGTCTTACAGAAGCTCCAGGTCACGCAGCCAAAGGTCTGCTTGGGGAATTTCATTGCGGTGTATGAATCTTGACAGAAACAGATACTGGTCTGCCTGTGACTCTGGCGAGGAGCCTTCGGATATGGCTGTGTGCTGGCTGGGGTGAGAGTCTATGCGGGAGGGAGGCGTTGCAGATGCCGACGACGCCTGTTGACTGGTCAGCAACTATATCCCGTCGATGTGCGGGTCGGATCGTACGGCTATGGGTCGCTCAGACGGGGACGACTGGTTGGTGCGTCGGGGAGTAGTTGCAGCGGAACCTGCCGCGAGGGAGGAGGGTTGGGGCGTGTTGGGGTCCCAGGTAACAAGGCTACACGGGACGCCATGGCGGGCACAGTTTGAGCACGGCTTGAGCTCGTCACACTGGAGTCTATCTCAGCAATGATCTTCTTGGATCAGTCCACCATGCTCCGCCCAAGTTGGTCTGGCGTACCTTCACGTGGCGAGCCTTGCACTGTCGGCAGCCCAGGCGTGATCTGCCATACACATTTTAGCGTAGTCCAGTGCCAATAATAGCCCCTGGTATGACCAGGACGGTGAAACGGGATGGGGTTATTGGTGTGTGTGTGCGGGTGACGAATAAACGGGTGGGGGGTTAACAAAGTACGGACTTCTTGTGCCCGAGGCGTGGCATTGGAGGAGAGCAGCACGGCCAGGTACCGGGGCGTTGGGCTGCGACAGTTGACCGCTCGCTCACGAGAGTGTAACGGACCTACTCTACTGGACGTGTCGTCAGACCGTTGATTGAGGCAAGAAAGCGAATGCGACGTGGAGGAACACGGGAGGTGCTGTCTTGGTGGAGCGTGGGATCTTTGCGCGCGCAGGGATAAACAGACACTATCCCCCTTCCATCGCACGATATGCAGCGGAATAGAACCTCGGCGAACAAGTGGAGCTCGCATTCGCATTCCCTCCCTCGTCATCGACACATGGCGCTCCAGCTCGCCATCACCACTGGCCCGTCGATTTCCATTGCGTCTCGGGCACTATCCACGTGCAGCGGCTCGTTCCACCACATCTGGGGTCTTCTAATTACTTACATATGTATACAAGTCCTCTGCAAATCGCCCCACACACCCTGCTGCCCCGTCCTTGCACCCTGTGTCCCAACACCATGCAGAAATGCTCAATGCCTCTCTACCCTACATACGCACACAGCGCCCAGCATCATCACATGTTGGTGGTCTAGATGACCGCTAGGTCAACAGCTACCGCGGCCGCATATACTCCAGAACGTTTGGATTCGTGTTGGGCGGTCGAGAAAAAGCAAACCACGCTCGCAACGCACGCTACGCCCATGGCTCCATGTATACGTACACGCCGCCAAACGAACTACCTTGAGTAAGAGACTGATTGGCGTGGAATCGAGACGATTAGCCTAGAGGGCCTTGTCGCGATCCCGCGTTACGTCAGGACGAAGCGGGGAGAAAACAGTCCTCCACATTTGGGTTGCCTCATCATGGAATCGATCTGTAGTCCACAGCTTATTAAGCGTTCTAGTGTGGCGTAGGAATTGTCACTAGTCTCCCAGCTCTGACAGATGAAATCTGGCTTGCTTATCGTCGATCAATCTCGACTCATCATCCAGCCGTATTCGAAATGGCATATCCCTTGCTCCTACGATAATTTCTTATTGCGCAGTTCCAAGAGACAAATATGTTGAACGACAAATTCGATTGCTGAAACGGTCCTCAACGCCATGTATTGGATTGACAGATATAGTTTGACCACAGCTGTTGCGGCCGTAAGGTAAATGGAATAAGGGCTTGGCAACGTCAACGCCCAGCAGAGCCCCTAGCCCGCATTAAAACTCTATCGCAAACGCTAAGGCATCCGATGGGCGACGACGGTCAGGTTTCTCTGGGGGTGTAGAAGATGCTCAGCTATCTGTACCTACTATTGTTAGACACTGCTATTCCGCGTAGTATGTACGTGCGGTACATATGTCACCAAGGACCCGTCGTCTATTCCTAATGTCGTGAGTTCTTTTGCAAGACTCGTTTCCGGACGGTCATTTCATGTCCTCGCAAATGGAAAGCGGCTAGAAGCCTTCGAGAATGCCAGCTGCCATGAAGGCAAGTCAAGAAGAGGTTCAAGGTACATGGATCATTTGACGTCCAACTTGGCTCCCGTATTGATGAAAAACTACGCGACAGTGCAGTCGCGTGGAGGCTTAATCGAAAGTGTATTATTTTAGCGTGTTCATAGCATAGGTAAGTACATCAAGCTCCAGCGTTGACAGGATGACAGTGGAGCGGTTTTGGGCCTAGACTGCTGCCTATCGATAACGTACCTTTGCCTAGGTCCACTCGGGTCACATGCCTTCAACTTCATCCAACGACAAAAGATGCCCAGTCCACTAACAACGGTACATGGTTGTATAGTCGCGAAACTTAGTGCATCTACAAATGAACTGTATTCATACTATTCGCTTACTTCAACATGTAATGTGACCACGGCCGCGACCGTACCTCGTCTTAGGCACTAACCATCTACCAGGAACGCCAATAGTAGTAGGCGTAATGGGAAGCCCGCCTCTTGTGAACCGTGCAGGCTGAACAAAACAAAATGCGATCACGGCCATCCCAAATGTGATAGATGCCGACAGCGTGGAATCGAGGAGCGCTGCTTCTATCATCCGGCACCTCTAACCAGACCGCGTCCCGTGCCAGATGAGTCAGAAGCAGGCGCGTCTCGTCCTCACAAGCGAAAGTAGAGAACGACTGCGACCGATGTCTTGAAACAATGGCTAATATTCATAGCCGTTCATCAAAGAAGAATAACGATCCCGCTGCCGTTTTCCTGTCGCCTTCATCCCATGGAGACAAACTCGCCGATGCCGTTGCTGCTGATGTCTATCACCCAGGATTTCTCGGCCCTGGCTCTTATGCCGTGTTACTTGCTCAGGATGAAGAACCGGGTCAGCTACCTGAGCGCGAAGGGTCTGTCGCATCAGAGAGATCAGATCGGGAACTTACCCATCAGCACACTTTGTCCAAATCAATGAGATATCAGATGGCGCATGATGTCCTAAGCACTTTTCGCCATTACGACATAATAAAAGAGCTTGTACTCTGGTATAACGCGCGCAACGAGGCAGGTGTAATACCGGCACCAATAGGAGTCGACGCTGTCAATGCGCTGGAAGCTGTCGTCGATAAGCACAATCTGCGACGCAAAGAACCAAGCCCAGAGCTGATAGCCCAAGTTCTGGAAACCACTGCGCGCCCTTTTACAATATCTCAGTCCCTCGAGGCCCGCGATCTTCACATACTATGCTCAGGCGAAAATCTCCGTTTTGAATACATTGGTTTCTTGCTCGCCACAGCTGGTCGCTCGCTCACGTTCGGTTTCGGACCAGAGTCATACAGCGATGTGAGTAATAAAGACATGAGGTTGCGCTTTACCGACGAATTGCTTCGTGCAAGTACGACTTGTCTATTCCTTACCACCATGCTTGCTACAGTCAACGACCTTACCGTATGGATGTATTACGAGAACTACCTATTTACAGTCATGATGTGCGGATATGCTGGTAAGTGATATCTCGACACTTTTTTGAGCACAGCAAATGACCGTGAATCTAGGGCCGCCTGCTTGGAGACGCATCGGGGAGCTGGCAACCCAGGTATACGCGCTCGGCATCCATCAAGAGAGAAAGTGCGCCCAAGCGCCAACTTGGTTGGCAGAAACTCGCCGCCGACTCTTCTGCGCGGCTTACAACCAAGACAAATCCATTTCCACATTTCTCGGTCGCCCTGTAAGAATCAGTAAGAGACATACTGATATCCACCTGCCGCTTGATTTAGCCGATGATGAAGTAACGGGCAACGAGGAGGTACTCAACGCTGCCATACAGGCTTTAGACCCGGATGGTTGGAACACCAAAGGCAGATGGCTTCGGGCGTCATGGATCGTGAGTAATTCGGCTTCCTTTAAAATCAATCAAACTGACATATTTCGAGCGTCTGCGCCAAATGTCTCTTGAGTTTCGCGAAGAGATACTCGAGTTTTCCTTTGTCAAAATTGATGCAAATGCGGAAGCTCAACTTTTGTACGCCTTCGTCAGTACCGTTTTCCTGCTTCCACTGATACATTCGTAGGGACATATCTCAGCGCATAGGTACATGTTGGGATATGCTGCCGAAGCACATGCGTTATTGGAAAACATGCTGGGACGATGATGTTCCCACCAAAATCTGCTTGATGCTGTGCATCGTTCATCTTACCCACTGGTATAACGAGTTCATGATCCAGAAACTACTCGACTACAGCCCCTTGACACTCAACACGGCATTACTGCGTGTTTCAATTGACTTACTGTCAAACACTCTCACCTTGGGTACAATACGCGATCGGTCGTATGATGTTCACCGCGACATGCTGCATTGCGTGCTGCTTTTTGGGATTCCAGCTGCCTCAGTTCTAGCCACAGCACTTCGTGAGCAACACCACACAGGCCAGCAGTTTCCTTCTGGAATCTCCCGATCAGAAATCATCCGAATGCTTAGCGTGCTCATCTCGCATCTCGATGCTGCCGCGCACATGGAAAACTCTGGAGCGAGGCATGGCGAGGCAAACTACAATTTGTGTCGCAAGGCGAGTAAGATTTTCACAAAGATTATTGACACGGTGTTGGATCCAAAGGCCGTGGAAGAGATCACACCAGCTAGTGATCAGCTGGGAATGGACCTTGGCTTGGATCTATTCTCTGGCGCTGGGTTAGATGGTTTCGAGGGAATGGATTTTCCTGGGCTGGGAATTGGCCCTAGCACAAGTGGGGGTGTCAATGATGCTACTAATGTGGATTGGGGGGCTCTTGGACAATGGAGTGCTTGGACTGGACCTGTGTAAATCACTTTACAGCGGGTTTCATACTAATATTACGATCTAGGCTATATAATAATGCCTGCAGCCCATGATTTTAATCTAAGAATCTCTTTGACTATGGATCAAGAAAAAAGCCATTTCTCTTAGTTTTCCAACGCAGTTGTTCTCTTGATAGTCGTGAAACGGAACCCAAAGCCAGCAAGGAACGCTGCACCACTAAACGCAATGGCAACGATGATTGTGCCCCTGAAACCTGATACATACGCCTTGAGTACTCCCTCGACAAACTCAGCTGGAATTCTGCCTCTGATCTCGCTAGCGCCAGCTTCAAGGACCAAAGCAGGGTTTAATCCGGCTGCAGTGACGGCCAAACGCTTGAGAAGGATGTTCTGGAACGCGGTCTGCGCAGCCGAGATACCAAAGGCACCTCCCAATGTTTGGATGACTGTTTATGGGGTTAGAAATAAAATCCAACATCTGGATGATGGCATTGCACTTACAAAGAAGCGTGGCTGTTGTCAGAGGTACGTCGGCTTCCTTGGTCGTGGCTTGGATAAGCATGACAGGGACTTGGAAACTGACACCAACACCCAATCCTGCGAGGATCTAAAAAAAGATATCAGCAAGGGAATTAAGGTGGCCAAAGGAAATTGTACGTACCTGGTAGCCAATCCAAACTCTACTAGGAGAATCGATGTCAAAAGTGTAAATTAAACCAGAGCCAATGGCCGTGACACCAGCGCCAATGATCATCCATGGGAAAGCATATCCGGTTTTCGAAATGATTTGACCGACAACGACGACGCATAACGCTGGCGGTGTGGTTAGTGAGAACTTGAAGGGGATGACTCGGTGCACTCACTGACTGCGAGAATGTACGGCACAGTGCGGACACCACTTGTTGATGCGGAAACGCCTTGGACAGACTCTGTTTCTCGTTAGCACCAGGATTTATCGCCTACAGTCTCTATAAGTAACAACTTACGGAAGTAAATCGGGATATAATAGAACGTTATTGAGAACGCCGCATTGATCCTGATGAAAGTTAACATGGAACTCCTATCTCCTAAATCTTAGATTAAAACTTACAAGAAAGAGAAAGTCGATCCAACAGCAACTGTGCGCCTCTTAATGATACGGCTATGCACCATGGCGTTCTCACCCTGCCACCACTGCGCCACAACAAACAGCACAATGAAGATGGCAAAACCCACGAGCGTGCCAATGACTTTGGAGTCGCTCCAGCTCTTTGTTGTGCCACCCCACTGCATAGCGAGAATGAAGCACAGGACTGCACCGATGATGAGAACAACGCCAATGATATCCAGCTGACGAAGCATGCCGCGCCAGTTAGGACGACTCTTCGGTGGCTCATTGACGAAGAAGAGGAGAATGAAAAGGCAGGATACGGCACCAACAGGAAGGTTGATGTAAAAGCTATACAGTCACTCAGCCAAACTTCTCAAAAACATATTTAGACGAGCAGATCACTTACCACCATCGCCACGACACATGGCTCGTAAAAGCACCCCCAATCAACGGCCCAACCACACTAGCAAGACCATACGCAGCGCCCATAAGCCCACTGTACTTTGGCCTCTCGGCCGCCGGTACAAGAACAGCAATAATAGTATACGAGCCCGCAAACAAACCCGCAGCACCAACACCGCAAATCGCACGGCCAATGATCAGGGCAACTGAGCTGGGTGCAGCACCTATATAGTATCTCAAAATCAGTATTCCGTTACTTGCAAGAGTAAGCGGCGTGAAGGGAGGGATAAAACGTACCGCACACCACGCTACCCAATTCGAAAAACCCAATTGAGATTAGATATGTCCATTTTAGCGGGAAAAACGTGTAGAGTCGACCCCAGGATGCTTGTGTTGCGGCTGTGGTGACGAAGAAGGCGGAGCCGTACCATCCGATGTCTTCTAGACTGTGGAATTCATCGGTGATTTTGGGGATGGCTGTTGAAATGATTGTCTGCGATTCGCGCGTTTGGTCAGCATTATTCTCACTTAATACCAAGAGTGAGGGATGGTGCGCATTCACTTACGAAGTCGAGAGAAGCCTGTTGCATTCCACTATTAGCTTTTATTCGCCTTTACTTCAATTTCTGGGGGTAGAAAAGGAAGGGGAGGGGGATGTACTTACCAAGAAAATCGCCAAAACAAGTCCAATCAGCACGAGCAAAAACCGTCCTTTGGACAACTGAATATGCGCATCTTCCTGTAAATCCAAAGATTCCTTGCTAGACTGCAGATCCTTTTCTGAGTCGGGTGTTGGGGGTGTGATCTTCATCTCTCCTTTCCAGAACTCTCAAGCAAACGCAGTTGATTCTCTCGACGACGCAAATGTAGAAATAGAAGGATCGGCAACGACAGTAATATATACGCAAAATATAATTTTTCGCTGCGCAAAAATTCGTAGGTAGTTGGTGAATGCCCAAATCCACGAGCCCCTTACTGTGTACGCTTTAACAACAAACACCAAACATTATCAACAGCCCACCGTCCATCGGCTCTCCACTAGCCACACCTCGCATTCTGACTAACTCGCTCGCACACAAGTTCCGAGCGCGAGGTCGGACAAACAAATGCGCGAGATTGATGGGGTACAGGGGGTGGCGTGCATTGCGAAGGGGATGTTCGAGTGTACGGAGGTCCGGTGCCAAGGCGGAAGTCCGTCAGCATGTGATTTGTTGATTTGGACAACGAATATGGACTTGAGTGTTTCGGTGGTGATGAACGGAATGTAGAAGACGACAGAATGATGCGCGAGACCGGATATAACGTGTTGTGTTGATTACTTCACGGATGTCCTGTGAGTGCGTGGTCTGCTGGTCCGTTTGGGTGTCCGATGTGCTGTATGCCGTGAATGCTGGGGGTGGTTCATGTCTTTGTTTCATACAGGTTTGGCATTCCAGTCTTCTTTTGTGCGGATGCAAAATAGAGTGTGTAAAGATATCGTACTTTTCTCCAGGGTGTGTTGCCTGGAGGGCGGAGAGGTGAAGGTGGACAATAACTTGATGGGCATAGAAAATGGAGCCATTTGGACTTTAAAATGTTGTGTCACTTCATTTTTCTACACTCTCGGGTTGCCATATTTCCATTTCGATGTGGAATGCGAACAAGGGGACTAGTCGTGATCTAGCAAGTTAAGTCGCAAATGTGAAGAGGGTATGCAAAGGCAGGCGATGGTTCAAATGATACCTTTAGCGATGGATATGAATCTTAGCGTTAGAAGGGATGTGGCACCGAAACAAATAGTGCAGCCTTGATCTCTTGCTTTTGTAACATGCTTATAACAAATGAGGTCGTGTGGACAATTATTTGACTGACCGACGAGTGAGTCATGGTTGTTAACTCAGCGACATCATTCACAAAGCTTCTTGTCGAAAGTGTGTAATAGTAACAAAACTTGAATTGTAAATGTAAAGGAGCGATAAAAATTTAAGAGAGCTACAGAAAAGGAAGACCAAAGCTAGCCAACAATAATGAGCTAATGTAAGATTCACAAATGAAGACGCCGATTTCAGAGAGTATTTCAGATAGCAAGATCATCGCACTCCATCACAGCCTCCTCAAACATGGTGTCAATCAACTTCGCCTTGTGTTCGTCCCTAGGCTTGATGTCAAACACAAAGGGCGCTGGTCATGTGATGAGTAGGTCCGTCCAGTCAGAAACGTGTACTGGAATATCTGTTGATGCGTCAGTATGGTTTCTATTGGGTGCGAAGATTAGTTTTGATACTTACCCACTCCGATTTTATCCTTCTTCTTGGAGACGTTGAATGCCCAAGCCAAAGATCCCATAATGGTGACCAATTGGTAGTCAACGATCTCCATACCCATACAGTTGCGACGGCCATAGCCGAAGACATGATGGTTGATGACATTGGGGTACTTGGTGAGAGGCTCTTTGTACGTTGGATATTTCGGGTTCAGATAGCGATCTGGGTTGAACTCTTCGGGATTTGGGTATAGAGCCTCATCACTGCGGCGTGCCCATTCTGTAGCGTGGACGAGTGTACCCTTTTCAATCAGATATCCATCGTAAACATCATCCTTCTCGGCTTCGTGGGGTACGCCGGTAGGCACAGGTGGCCTCCAGCGGATCAGCTCCTTTCCGACAGCCCTGAGAATAGGAAGCTTGGGCGCATCGGCCCATGTGGGAAGACGATTGGGACCGCAGACTTCGTCAATCTCCTCCTGAAGTTTCTTTTGCCACTGGGGGTAATGGCACATTGCCAGGAAGAAAGTCTGGATAGGAGAAGACATGGGTAGCGATGCTGTAATAGCAAGCATGCCCACAGCAAAAGCACCCTCCTTGTCGTCCTGGACTCCGCTCGGGAATTTGAGGCGCTTTTGCTCCTGTAGAAATGTGCGTGACCATGAGTAACCATCGATACCAGCTTCCATCTTGGCCTTAACTGCTTGCATCGCACCCACCCAAAACTCTCGCTGAGCATCGTGGCGTTTCTTTTCCCTCCAGTACCAGGGGTTAAGAACATTCGGTAACAGCATAATGATTGGTAATTTGTTCGGCAGCTGTCCGGCAGGTGATATAGCAGATAGAAGACCAGAGGAGCTTTTGTTCAGGGCAGTGCTGAGGCTAGCATCTTCCCATGCTAGGCGAGCACTCACACGATGTGTGAACTCCTCAGCAAGTCTAGGGTAGTTCCGGTTATCCCTCTTCAACTGGTACATCATCCTCTTAATTTCAAGATGAGTAAAACCATACATGTCGTAGTTGTAGGTCTTTGCGAAACACTCGTGGGCGAACTTTCGATGCCTTGTAAGCGCCTCTGTAGGTCACCTAGTTAGCGATACTCCAACCAGAAACCACATGATTCTTACCATTGTTATCGAGTAGGGGAAGATACTCCGCATCAGTCTTAGCGCCAGGAATATTTGGTGTAGGGGCACGGTTCGAATAGTAAGCACCACGTTTGGCGAGGAGGTCTTGAGCCATCTTTTCGCTATTGATTCGGATGTGTTTGGTACCGAACAGCGTCAACTGGTAGATCGGACCATATTCATCATGCTCCCAAGTCATTAGTCGAAAATTAAGAATATCTGGTAGTATACTCACCCAGTCTGCAAACTTCTTGTAAACATTAGTAGAGGGCAATTGGAAGATAGGCCCGATCCATGGTATTAAACCTTCATAATCATGTTAGTAGTGATAATATAGTTTTTTCTGGAAACTTACCTTTCGGTCCGGGGATCGTTTTGTATTGGGATTTCTTTGGGTCATTCTTGACAAGGCGGATGATAGCCCAAAGAACAGCACTGATTGCACTAAAGGCAATGGCAGGGGCGAAGACAGAAAGCAGAGACTGCGATCCAGTCTGAATCAGTCCCTCAATCATGATGAATGTATTTGAGAAGGGGAGAGTGAGCTGAGGTTGGAAGTGAGTATGTTCTATAGCCCTCTCTACTACCTTTTTATCTTCTTACTCACTCTCAGCTTCCTCCTCAGTCCGACTTCCGTATCCACACATTTGCATGATACTCTTGGCTCAGCCTTCTCCCTTCAACAATTCCATTGCATAAAAGACACGGTACAATCCACATGAAGCTTAACGTGGATGTATCATCGCGAGGTCCGAGGACTCGCGCCAGTCATAGAGGTCGGTGTTGCGACTACCGGCCAACCGACAATTATGGAGCGGGTGTGGAGAGCCGAATTTTATCAGGAACAGAACAGTGTGAATCATATCGGTTTCTTCTAGTATCTGGAGTAGTAAGACTGAGCTGAGATTGAAGTGAGCTCTGTTCATCGGTCGATACAAGGCATCGTGTCATCACGTGATACACAGCACTAAATGTCTTGGCGAGGGTCGATAGTCCCATTGGAAAGCTTGCTCTATTGGTGGTATGATATCTTACTCTCGCTGGCTCTAGTTGCTTGATTGGCTAATGCTTCGCTGATAGCTATCAGCCTTCATCCAGTGAGATTGCGGATGTCCGCTAAACAGTCGGCAAGCCACCGAAGTAAGCACCAAGGAACCGATGGCACCATGCCGGCGGACATCCGCGATACCACCACTTACTCACTACTTTTGGTGTCAGCCTACATCGCAGCCATTTCGTGTATCTAAGCCCCACTAGCGCGTGGGACATCTCCTAGCGATCAAAGCTGAGCCAATCGGGTCAGCGTAACGATGCTGTGGCTCTAGACTGATGCCTTTCTTAGTTACGGGAGCCGCTGCATGCATGGAATTCGGCAAGGGAGAGAGCTTATCGATTTATGGCATGGGTCAAGGAACTCAGCTGTGGCCCCAAGTCCTCAGTAAAATCCGGCTGGAGTTGTGAATACGGCCACCCATCAGGGCAATATGTTGGGTTTGCAGCGATGAGGCGTCGTGGCTATGACTCTAGCTCTATAATCTTTCTATCTTTCTTACGATCGAATACGATATTGGACCCAAAGACCGATTTGATAGAAGGTACCAGGTCCGTATAAAATGGTATTACCAGAACCCATTCCAATGGTTACCACGTTGTCTTTGTGTTTATCCCTCACCCCTGCCGCGCACGCATTGCATCTTTAGCCCTTCATCATTATCATTCTGTTACCATGAAATCCCTGGCACCCCTCGCTTTTGTCACGTTTATCCTTGTACAGCATGGACTCGCGATCACCTCACAGCAGATCCACATAGACTTGGCCAATACCCTATCGTCAGGGTCTGAGGTGGTATTAACCACTGATCCTTCCTACACAACCGACTTTACACAACGATGGACCGTGTACTCCAAAGCTGAACCGGCTTACGACGCTGCTGTAAAGCCTGTCACTGCTACAGATATCCAAAAGATTATCCAATATGCAACTACGAAGAATGTTCCTTTCTTGGCAACGGGCGGTGGTCACGGTTACAGCACTTCTTTGTCTGGCGTGAAGGGCGCGCTCAACATCGATTTGAGTAAATTCAGAAATGTGGCTGTGAACGCTTCTGCAAATACAATGACTGTTGGGGCTGCGACAATTTTTGCTGATATGCTCGATCCGTTGTACGCTGCTGGCAAACAAATGCGTAAGTTCTAGCGAGTATCATTATGAAACAGGATTAACACGACATGCAGCATCTGGTGGGTCCTCAACGCCTAGCATCATAGGTGTTACCTTGGGTGGGGGTATCGGGCCCCTGACTGGTGCTTACGGTCTACTGATCGATTCGCTGCTCTCCGTTGAGATGGTAACTGGCTCCGGTCAGATCCTAACGGTATCGGCTACTAAAAACTCCGAGCTTTTCTGGGGTATGAGGGGAGCTGGAGTTAACTTCGGTATTGTCACTTCAGCGACGTACCGGATCTACGATACGATCAACAATGGTATGGTGTACAATGCCGATATGAGTTTCAACGGAGAGAAGAACGAGACGATTTTCAAGATTTTGCGTACATATCAGGGAACGCAAGACAATAAGCTTGCACTTTCCGTGTCATCTTCAGTAAAGAACAAGATTGTGAGTCTTACCACCTCTCCTGCAATGTACTAGCTAGCCTAGCTAACAACTGCAGCCCGAGATCAGTCTTAGCGCTATTTACTTTGGCACTAGAGAACAAGGTGATGCAGCTATCAAAGCTTTCCTTGATCAACAACCGACATTCAGCAACATTTCTGTTGTACCCTACAACAAGCTGGTTTACGTTGCAAACTTTGGTGGCGACGCGTTCGCTCGCATAAAGGGTATTAGAGCTGACTCGTGGGGTTACCAACTGAACGATGTTACAGTGTCCTCACTCAGTAGCACATACACAAAGTTCGTCAACTTTGTTCTCGACAGCCCTGCATTGGAAAACTCTGCTTCTTGGCTAATAGAGAAGTTTGGTTTGGGAGTCACCGCAACCATTCCCGACGACTCTACTGCATATTCGTGGCGCAAAGCTGTTGCCTATGGCTTTTTCGCGTTCTACCTGCCCGAGAATGTGTCTGAACAGATGACGAAAACTGCTGACCAGTTCGCTGAGAAGATCCGCAGCGATCTGTTTTCGGGCTGTGGAAATCCTCAGGGTAACGTATTCCCTAACTACGCACGGGGTAACGAGAGGCCAGAGCAGGTTTATGGCAAGTCAAAGTTGCCGAAGCTACGATCGCTTAAGAAGAAGTACGATCCGCGAGGATTGTTCAACAAGTATAATTCCTTTGCTTGAGTTAGATTAGAGAATTTTACTCCATACAAACCAGGGCGGCCTTTTTGTTGTTATCTCTTGTCTTTGTATCTGGGCATAGTGTAAATCCAAACAAGAGTACAAATTTAAAATTCCTATATCATTACTCTCCAATACCGCCCTTGATCTGTTTTGCTACACTCGTCCTTTTACTTCCATGGACATAGGAAACTTAGCGCAGCGAGTGAAAATAGCGAAGAAGTTTGTTAGTACCTGTAGTAAACACTCCAAAATGAATCTTAACATGTTTGGTCCTTAAAGACAAACTCTGCAAGTCAAATTCCTGATGAAAATCAATACTCGAAACTTTTCTGGGTGCGGAAGTGTGAAGAACATGTCGAAGTAAAAGAGGATGTATCTGGATAACATTCATCTTCCTAATTTCCCATTTCCCAGTTGTCGGCAATGTAATTTATGTATGAATCTCAAGCAGGAGATACTTAGGGCGAAATCTTGCTTGCATGAACGTGTGATAAAGGAAAAAGATTCGATTTTTTGACGTTGCTAATGCAAATAGACGCTCAATATTCAATTCCCTAACAACAAAACCCCATATAACACTATAAACCCCAGAAAAGAAACAGCACTCCTATACACCTTTCATCATTCTTCACATACTCTCGATGTTTCACAACTTTCCCAGCTCACCAATAGCTTCTATACAGCTCCCATTCCCCGATATTGTACTGTTGGCTTCCAGCACACCTCAACGGCGCACACCTATGCCAAAACAGCCACAGCATTGACCAGGACAACCCCAGAGTACAGCACGATCCTGAAACGGTTGAGCCATCCCCAGTACGCAATCTTTTCATGGTACTAATCACACGCACTCTTGTCAGCTATCCAGCAAATGAAAATAAAAGAGTAACAACTCACAATAGCAGTCTGCATCCCCGCATCCTTCTCCGGCAAATCCGCATAATGAAACTCCTCCTGCTCCTGAAACTTCTCAATCAACGCATCATTAATCGGATTCATATAATGCAGCGTAAACGGGAAGATCAAAAACGCCATGACGCTGCTGGCCACATATAGCATGGTCGTCTTGTTGGAGAAGAAGCCAGATTTGTCGGAGGAGCCGTATGCGAGGATGAGGGAAAGGATGAGGTTGGAGGCGCTGAGTGTGGTGGCGGGGACTTGGGCGCGGCGGAATTGCGTGTGCCATTGGCGGATGGCGAGAATGGGCGATGGCGAGATGAGGACGGAGGGGATGGAGATGCTGCTTAAGGCGGTGTTCATGCCTAGCAGGAAGGTGGCTTGCACCAGGGTGCCGACTTGGAGGGTGGTGAAGGAGATCATGATTGAAGTGGGATGTGATTGTGGTAGTTGGAGAGAGAAGGAGTAGAGGATTGAAGAGATGGATAAGCAAGCTATCTGTTGTGACTGTTGTGCCAAAGGCAATAATTCAAGCGTTTATATTTAAATGCTGGACTTTGTGATTGTTACTACGGATGTCCCATGGTGTCTTCCCCTCATGTCCGATGTTGCATCTCCATCTCCAAGTCCTACACTACTACACACGAGCCGTAGAGGTGATACGGCTCTCCATACGCATCCCGTACTATCTTGCTCCAGAGATCGAAAGAACACTCAACATCTTGCATCGGTTATCGGTACTCGATGTTCAGAATTATCATCAGACTATTCTTGATGTTCGACCTTAGCACCGTCTTGGCAGAGACATCGATATAACGGAGTACCTGTCATCACGTGACAATCCACGCTACGGAGTTCCGTACGACGCCAACACAAATGCAGGACAATGATAGTGGGCCAGCAGCAATGCAGCTGACAAACAAAAATAGCGAAGACGCAGTACCGGGATCCCGAGAGTGCGCATTTGTAATAGTGGGTAAAACAATAGATACTACGATCCACGGCGATGTCGATTTCAATCGTGACGTTAACTATGTGACTGTGCCGCAATGCAATCAGTCGTATTTCAGCCCTTAGCCGCACCTTCTTCCTTCGTGTGCAGATACTTTTCACGCTTAAGCTGAAAAAATAACCCCTCAGGATCCTGTCAGCCATCAGCATAGCCATTTACATCAAAGTCCTCCATCCAAACCCCCACGCGCCATAACGCACCTACTACACACACATACATACATCAAAACACGCATACACATTCAACTCCACCAAATTTCACTAGGCCAACCACAATGGCGAGCTTCCCCACTTTTCTCAAGTCCCAGCTCTTCTACAAGCCCAGACTGCCGCAGCCGGAAACATTTGCTGGCAAGACGGTCATCGTTACAGGCGCAAACACAGGTCTTGGCCTAGAAGCAACACGGCACTTTGTCCGCTGCGGCGCCGCAACCGTCATCATCGCATGCCGCACGCTCTCCAAAGGCGAAGCCGCCAAGCGCGACATTGAAGAAAGCGAGAAGCGCACCGGTGTACTCCAAGTCTGGGAACTAGACCTCTCCTCCTACGCCAGCGTCAAAGCATTCACAAAGCGCTGCGAGACCCTCCCCCGTCTAGACGTCTGTGTCGAGAACGCCGGCATAGCAACCGGCAAGTTCTCACGCGCAGAAGGCCACGAAGCCCACATTACCGTCAATGTGATTTCTACGTTCCTGCTCGCACTGCTGCTCCTACCCATCATGCGCAGGTCAGCCTTCTCAACGGGAACAACGCCGTATCTCACCATTGTCACATCCGAGGTCCACCACTGGACTCAGCTGCCGCAGAAGAAGGAACCAAGCATCTTCGCTGCGCTGGACGATGAGTCAAAAGCAGACATGGCGGACCGCTACAACGTCTCCAAGTTACTTGAGATCCTCGCGCTGAGGTACATGACTAGAGTGCTGATTAAGGATCGTGCAAAGTATCCCGTGGTCATCAATTGCGTTACACCGGGCCTGTGCAAGTCGGATCTCGTCAAGGATATGGGTATGGCGCCTGTCGTGTTCAAGACGTTGTTGGGTCGCACGGTGGAGGTTGGCAGCCGCACGTTGGTTAATGCGGCGGCGCTACCTGATAGCGCCGGGGAGTACATCATTGATGATCACGTGTCCGAGCCGTCGACGCTGGCTGTCAGTGAAGAGGGCGCGGCGTTATCGAAGAGGGTTTGGTTCGAGCTGGCGGATATCTTGGAAAAGGCTTGTCCTGGGGTTACTCAAAACATTGCTGCTTAGATCTATGAGCACACTGCGTTGACAGTGTTGTGCCGGTAGGTAGCAGACGTACTATCTTAGAGGCACGTGACTCTTGGGATCATATGATTGCTAGTAAGACATAAGGGGAAGGGTACAGCGACAACACTGCGGTGGCATGAATCTTTCCTTATTTCATTTTCCATCCTCGTTCGACTATAGTATTTCCGTTCTATTCTTCTGTTTGTTTGCTACCACAAGCCCTCTGCTAAAATGCTTCATTGCAGAAGGGCGTCCTTGTTCACATGAGGGATAAAGAAGACATATCTCATTAGTAATTCAGCTCGATTCATGACACATCAATTCTAAACAACGCTGTTGTCCAATTCTCTATACGCTAATGCAATAACAATGCAAGGTCGTGATTCTTTTCAGCTCCATCTGTGGAGAAAATACCGAGCCTTCTCAAGCACACTGTTGACGAGATGTGTGGGGTGATTATCCAGCTTACTGATGCAATATAGCAAGCTGTTACCGCCCTCAAAGATTGGTAATCGTCTGTTGTCAGGAAACGTGACGACCGGGGTGACCGCAGGGGTATTGAGAAAGCGTTCCTCATCGCTGGGTAGAAGTGCATCAATACCCACTTCCCGGGACTGCATCCCCGGATTCATTCGCTCTATCGTCCTAAGCGACCAGCAGGCCATGGATGCGCGGTAGATCGCTACCGGCCACCATATGGGTCGCGCGTCGACCGGTAGATTGTCGATAAGTCGGAAGATCTGGCCAGCATGGAACAAGATATAGTTCCCTCCTTCGGGATAGCGTACTCGGCTCCACATCTCAGCGCATCCTGATGCTGATGATGGAGGCTCCTCCTTGGCACATTTCTCTATGTCAGGGATGCTTGTGCATACATTTAAGCTAACCAGATGTAGCATGATTATGCCCGTCCAATCCACCGGTACGGTCCAGGGGTTATTCTCGCTATCTATGGTGGCCTGCGAATTTCGATTGAGAAGTGCAGCCAAATCTTGAACCAAATCCTGTGTTTCTTGTAGGCGGCCCAATACCTTAGTCTTGGAAAGGACACGATGCCTATTGGTCGATTCATCGTTATCAAAGATGCGAAGAAGCTGTTGCTGTTCCAGGACCATGGCTTGTAGGGGGTGGAGAAGGAGACGCAGATGATGTGGAGATACCTCATCACTACCTGTTAGTCGACCCTGGAGAAAACTCCGGAAAAGACCGTTCAGTGATGGTAGCTCGCGACCCATTTGGATCTCGTCTGCACCAGGTTGTCCAATCCAGTCGTTGTACGATTGTGCGTTCCAGAGATTGCCATTATTAGGTAAAGGCACTTGCAATTCGCAGTTTGAAAGTACGGGAGGAACATCATGAAGCAAGCTTATCTCGAGGTCCACATAGACCCATGCATGTACATGGCTACAAAGGTCAGATCATACCACTTGATCACGTAAAAAAGGGTTCTTACCGATTTTTTGTCTCAACTTCTTTCCATCTCTCCCATAGGCTCTCACCATCTGAGCCGTGGTTGTGGAAATCTTGCTCAGGATTTAGAATTCCACTGCTTCTCAACAGCTAGCCGATCTGTTAGCACCTTATTCGTGTTTTCTCCAAGATGAGAATAACTTACACTTAGGTACTGGCCTCGTTTTGACATGGCATACTGATTTGTGTTAGCTTTACGCAAGAGAAAATCACACCTGATACATACCGAAACAAAAGAACTCTTCCCGCTTCGCACACAGAGTGTAAGTAACTGTAATGCAACTCCTCCCACCATTGGCTGTGACATGCATCGGCGTTCGAGAACGTGGTTCAGTGCAACCATGCACACCTTAATCAAACCATGTGCGAATACGTGTGACTCATGGTGATCTGTGAGCATAGCGCCATGTGTAATGACAAGAATGATCAACAACATGCCTACGTCGACCGCGTCAATCTTTAGGATATCTTGGATATTGGCGGTGGGGGAGCCAGGGAGACCAAGGTAGGGTTGAATCGAGTCAATACGTGCTGCATAAATCTCGATAAAGTGCATTAGCACGTGCGACGGAGGCAGTGATACAATGCGGCCAAATAGGCCTTCGGTTGACGATGATGGCGAGCTGCCAATTTGCAACGCACGTTGGAGCAGCAGCTGCACAGTGGCCACTATTCGATCCCGAGCGTCATGCGACAAGGCCACAGTACCATCGCTCTTGTTACTGGGTAGCCCACCCCAGGCATCTGGCCGGGCCAGGACATTCACTAGTTCACCAAGTACATTGTCTGTTGCGTCTGAGCTGCCTACTGGTATATTCTGGTTCTTCTTCTTCGGACTGGAAGTATATTGGCTATTCATCATGCTTGATGACACACTCGACTTGATTTGGGGGCTTGTGAAAGGCGGAGTCGGGGGGTGGTTGGGACCGTGGAAGAACCCCTGTTGCTGCTTGTACAAACCATCATTCCCAGGTCCGCGCGGAGAGAGCTCAGGTTCGTTTGTTTGCATCTCCGAACGTGACATAGATGGGAAGAGTTGAGCAGATGTGGTTCCGTCCATAGGCTCGCCACCTAGGGACACGGGATATGGATATCCCATGAAGGTTTCGTACCCAGTAAGATCCAGTTGCCCTTGGGGCAAAGTCGTATCTACAAGCATGTATAATTCGCTGTTGTTTGTTGGATCGTCAGGCATGATGTAGGCAGGAAATTGATCCATTGTTGCGTTTTGATTGCCATCTTGGCCAACAGTGTTCGTTGGCGTTGTCAAAGGCTTACTGCGCGCAGATGGCGTCCGAGAAGCTCTCGGCCGACGCGAGGAGCACCTCGGTTGACATACATAGTTTCTTGCGACACACTGAGAGCACGGCACCTAGTTATTGCGTTAGAGGCCGTTGCGATGGTCCAGTATTCTGAGTTCTCGGTACTTGAGTAGCGAGTCGTCTGACTAACCTTGCGGTCACATCGTGCTTTTGAAATGGCACACCGGGTGCAAGCGATGAGAGAAGCAGTATCCATCTTGAAGCGATGTCGAGATTACCAAGTAGCAGGTAACGTACCGAGATATAAAAGTGAATATGGCGGGACAGTGGTCTCCACTGCCTGTAAGGAAAACAAGGAACCATACACAAAGACGGGACAGATACTGGTGAGTGCAGGAGGATCCGAGTATGTAGGATTGCGGGCCTAGGCTACCCATGTAAGATATGTCGTTCGCTAGTGGTTCCGTCCACTTCCTCGAACGTGTACCTGAACGGCGTGCTGGGACCTGTATCCGATGTTACGAGCAGGGGTCGTCAGCTTTGAGGCGCCAGACCCACGGGTTTATAGCTAGTGGATTTCCCAAAACATGTTAGATTATGTAAGCATGCCTACCCAACATGCATCAGGTTGCAGCTTGTAATTATGGCTGTCGAATCAGCGATGCATGTCGAAAAGACCTGCCATAAATGGAATTGCTCACGTAGTCGTATAGCACTTGTATTTTAAGTTTACAATTAGTGTACTAATGATTCGAGGACTTTTTGAACAAAGGTCATTGGTCTGGAGCTTATCTTCTGGGGCAGACTGAGATCATTCAACCCATGTGTGTGGGCAGAATACGAGCTGCAACATGGTGTACTTGTGATGCAACTCAGACGCTACGCTGATGGGTTAGCTGAGGCAACTGCTTGGCGCCACGGCGCCACACGCCATGGGAATGTGCAACATGTATCATGAAGGCTTTTTAGGAGCCGATTAGTTATATGTCACGACACTAGCTCTGTAGCGCTCCGCCCGGACTTTCAAGCTAAGCAGGGGAGGATCGCACAGACGTGTATGTGTAAGTATGGATGTCTTTTGCCTACCGCTGTTAGTCTAGGAGTTCCGTGGATATTTTAGTACGTATGTGTTTGGTTTAGCTGCATTGTCCGTTCGTTGACCACGTCAAACATCTGTTTTTAAAACAGCTAGGAACGGCGTATATTCAACCCCCCCCCCCTCCATTGTTTCCAAGGCGTAAACAACATAGGGTTGAATGGTGTTTTAGTGTAGCTTACAGATGGCAGACACTATTAACACAAGCTGTGTTTACAACTTTGCCGAACCACATTCTTTTCTCATTTCAGATCAACTTTCGCCAGATCATAGCAATATAAGGGGACCTCTTTAACTATTGCCAATCAGCTTATTGGCAAAGTATACAATTCCTACGATACCCGAGCAGTTGCTCTCCCGAGAGTGATCCCTTGTACAAACGGAAGTCTCGATTCACGAGCGTCGCTTAATTAGTATAGAATATGGTTAGCATTGAATTGATTTGTTTTGTCTCTACTGTCACCAAGATGACCATTTTATCAAATTTAATATCTTCTAGGGTGTCGCACTGTTGTTGAAATCCGTTTTATAGTAACGTGTTCCACGGGCGAGCGCCGCACACGGGCGAGCGCCGCACCCCACCAAACTCACACACCTCTCCCATCTTATCATACAATGGCTCAACGCAGCGCTACTCTATTAGCTTCAAATGAATCAGATATTCAGCTTGCTATCTCTTCAATTAATTCTAAGCAGATTCTAAGTAATCGGAGTGCTGCTGCTATCTACAGCGTGTCTGAACGAACGATCCGCCGCCGACGCGCTGGTGTCCCTGCGCGACGTGATTGCCAGCCCAACTCAAAGAAGCTAACCCAGCTAGAAGAGGAGGTGATTGTTAGCTATATACTTGATCTGGATCAGCGTGGATTCGCGCCTACGTACGCAGCCGTGCGCGATATGGCTGATAAGCTGCTGGCTACGCGCAGTAGAGGACGCGTTGGAGTTAACTGGCCGTCTACCTTTGTTAAGCGTATAGACAGTCTTACGACGCGTTTTAACCGAGCGTACGATAGGCAGAGAGCTCTATGTGAAGATCCAGTCCTAATTAAGAGCTGGTTTGAGCTTATAGAGCAGACAAAAGCTAAGTACGGTATCTGTGACGAGGACGTCTACAACTTTGACGAAGCTGGCTTTATGATGGGCAAGATTACAACTCAGCTTGTTATTACAGCGTCAGAGAGAAGAATACGGCCAAAAGCTATTCAGCCAGGTGGTCGTGAGTGGGTAACATTTATCGCTGGGATTAACGCGGCTGGCTGGGCTATCCCACCGTTTCTTATCTTTACTGGTAAGCACCACCTATCTGCCTGGTACGAGGAGGCAGAAGTCCCGCGCGACTGGGTGATCGCAGTCAGCGACAATGGCTGGACGAATAATGAGCTAGGCGTTGCATGGATAAAGCACTTCGACGCTCATACGAAGACTCGCGTTGTTGGTACACGTCGTCTACTTATCCTTGACGGCCACGAGAGCCACCAGTCTCTTCAGTTCCAAGAGTTCTGTCAGAAGAATAATATATACACTCTCTGTATGCCGCCTCACTCGTCTCACCTACTCCAGCCTCTTGACGTTGGCTGCTTCTCGCCATTGAAGCGCGCGTACAGCCGCGAGGTAGAGAGCCTAATCCGCCATCACATCAACCACATTACCAAGCTTGAGTTTCTACCAACGTTTAAGATAGCCTTTGATCGATCCTTCACGCCAGCCAATATCTGCTCAGCTTTTCGAGGCGCAGGCCTTGTCCCTCTCCAGCCAGACGCTGTTCTATCAAAGCTTGACGTGCAGCTACGTACGCCTAGTCCTCCAGCTGCTCTTATAGAGGCTCTCTGGCAAGCTCGTACACCAAGTAACGTACGTGAGCTAGAGGCTCAATCAACGTTAATAAGCGAGCGCGTTCGAAAGCACCAGAGCTCATCACCAGCTTCAATTATTGCGGCGATTAATCAGCTTAAGAAGGGGGCTGAGGTAATGATGCTCTCGGCTGAGCTAATGCGCGATCGAATTGCCAGCCTTAAGAGAGCTAATACAGCAGTATCAGAGCGTAGAAAACGTAAGAAAAAGCGGATACAGAAGCGTGGAGTCCTTACAAAGGGAGCTGGCGAGGATCTACTCGCTCAGCGTGAGGCTGATCAGCAGATTGCTCATGAAGAGCGTCAAGGAGGAGAGCGATTAGGTGTTAGCCGTCAGGCTCTGGCGCGCTGTAGTAGGTGTAGAGAGACTGGTCACAATGCACGTACATGTAAGAAAGATACCTTAGATAGTACTTAATCTACTATCTTAATATATAATAGAATATTTAATTTATGGTGGAGCTACGCGCTTGTAGAGGTGTATAAGTTTGGTGGGGTGCGGCGCTCGCCCGTGTGCGGCGCTCGCCCGTGGAACACGTTATAAATGTAGGGAGTATACGTTTCCTAGACGATACTGCTTTATTAGATGACCAGATGACCAGATGGTCACTTGGTACACTCTCTCTTTTCAAATATTTTTAATCCAGATGAATCTATGTACGAGCTAAACTTGTCCCGATCTTCCAGATGTTATCCAAAACGTTATTATAAAACGGGAAGTGGGAAACGGAGTACTAAGTCATGCCTCCCGTAGCCCCACGCTAACACCTTAGCGCCGCATCACTACCTGCACGCCTCGAATGCCGCCCATCGTGCGGCGGGTGCTTGCTTACCGTGCGATAAGCACTGTCTCAGCGCACCATGTACATATGTCTAATGAATAACTTTCCTATCGATCGATCGCACTGCGATGTCTTGTACATTTAGTAATTAGGTGAAACACTAAAACTGCTTACATGCACGGATGAGAGAGACAGAGAGAGGCTGATATGCAACTCACACAAATAGACAGATTGTTCATTATCATCATACTAACCGGTCCCCGAAATCCGACCGTTTGCGCGGCTACCATGTACATACTATGTATGTCCCAATGATCAGCGTCGAGACGTGCCGCCCGCCTACCCCCGCATACTAATCCCTTTTCAAGGGTAACTCGCCAGGTAGGCGCCGCGCCGGCAAAGCTTGATCAAACTCAATGCAAGTGTTCATGTTAACACCGTCAACCGTTAGTGGCGTACATGCCATGACTGCATAACTCTCCTTGCCCCATACCACCAGAGAAAGACGTGTGGTTGCCTGCCCCGATTCCCAGGGCCCCCCGCACCAACTCAAGCGCACTTTTCTTTGCAAACTCATCAAGCTAGTGACGGATAAGGAAATGTACTTGTAGAGAAAACGCGGATATGCGCATGCAGGGCTTAAGAGTGCCGGTACATGGGGGCGTGGGCCGGTTAGCCGTTTCTGCAAGCGCGGAAACATGGTTCGTTATCTCTATAACTACCCGTTTAAAAGATGCTCTTAGCTCTGCACCGCAACCGACGGCATTAGCAAATAGGTGCGATACACGAGAAGGACGAAAAGAAGAAGAAAGAGATGAGCGAGTATTGCCGAACTTTCCGGTGGGTTTCCAAGGCCCAATAGCGCAAATACCGAGGCTTATCACCTGTGTGAAATGACCAACAAAGTCATCCTTCTCCGCTTCCTGATCAGCCCCGTCCCACGGTTTTGTTCGAGATGGAAATGGGTTGCACGGAAGGAATGCGGCTCATGCAGTCTACTGTGCCCTTCTCGGCCCGATGGTTCTTCCGCAGCAATGCATCGGCGATCCACTCGGAAAATTCAGTGATCGACGATTTGTATGTGGCTGCTGACGCCGAATGGGGCAATGGTGCTTGCATTGAAAGCTTTAATCGTCGATATCTTGCAGTTTTCTCGCTTGGGCCTGCTCGCTTGGGCCTGCTCGCTTTGTCCCCCAAACCTCGTAGACTCCGCTCGTCAGCATATGATATGTACGCATCGGCTCAGGGTAAAAATGCAGATGGTGCATTGCCGCATACATGTAAGTATATACTCACATCTCTCTGTGTGCACATGTCAAGGGTCCACATGCTGGACGGACAAGGTCTCGAGGACCCTTCTTTATCGCTCACTGTCCTGGTATCTGGGTACATAGCCGAGCTTCAGTCAACTAAGATCCAGTAACATCGCACCCGGCCCAGAACTGAACACGATAACTAGTGGGGTACTCTTTCCGACGTGTAATCAGCCTTGTTTTCTGCAACTTTTAGGGTCGCGATCATGGAGGTCGACCCACTCTTTGTCAGATACATATCCTCCCGTTCCTGCGGGCGGCTACTGTGTAGGAGGCCTAGAATCTATCTGGATGAATGAAATCGGGCCAGAATAGGTCGCCGGATACAAACAAACATTTGCGAGATGCATTCTTGAGGCGCAAATCTAGGCTGCTCTCGGAAGGATAAATTCACACGGTCATTGCGTGTGGCATATTTAGCGCATGCCAAGATGGGCGGTACGTCCCGATTGCCGTTGTAGCGAGTCTCGTGCATAAATAGACATTCCTTTCGCTTGCGTACTAGGAAAAACACAAGTCCATTATGCAATGCTGAATCCATGGACTTCCGATACTGGTTGGTATGCCTCGTCCGGACAAGGTTCTGAACGGCGACTACAAATTCAGCGAGCTGCAGTAACAACAAAGCCATTGATCAAGCCATTCAGAACGACAGCACACTCGGATCGATCCCCCAGGTCATCTGCCATCTTGAAGCTCGGGAGTACGGAAGGTGTTCGGGTAGGGCTGTGCCGACTTGCGGTGCGGTTAAACTGGCAACAAAAAACAACGGCAGTTCAAGGTGCAGTTCAATATAGAATTGAGCACTAGATGGCCACGTAGGATAGTAGACCTGTCAGCGCATCGACAAACCCTCGGCCCTGTAAGTAGGGAAGTCGGAACGAATTAACGTGCAGGGAGAGATCTAAATTTCTGTGAGAGTTTGAGTCAACGTGCCGATAGGGACGATATGCGAGGACGATGGTTTGGCTGGCAGAAGGATGTTTGTATACTTGTGCCAAGCCAACCCCTACACCATTCCCCTTTCCATCCTCACGTGTCAAATGCCGGAGTTTTCGAATGCAGCAATGTCTGTTTGAAAAGGTCATTATCTTCTTGGAGCTTCGTCATGTAGCTCAACGCCTCCCATCTAGATCCGTTTTGCTCGTTCTGCTAAAGTACACGACGAACGTCAATGAGAAGTGGAGAGCAGAAATACATCCGACACAGTGATTAATATACAAATGGCCCTCTCCAGGCTCGACGATGGGTATGCTCGCAACATGCTCCGTCATTCTGGCGGACCAACCTACTCCAGAACACGCGTCACCAAACCAGTAGCGACTGTTCGGCCACCCTCACGCATGTTGAAGCGCTGGCCAGTCTCCAAGACGTGTGGTGCGTGGAGCTCGCAAACCATCTCGACGTTGTCACCAGGCATGACAAGCTTCTCGTGGGCATCCTCAGTACCTTCGGGCCAGAACAGCGCACACGACTCATCAGCAGTGCGGATAAACATTTGTGGCCTGTAGTTCTCGCCGAAACCAGTGTGACGACCACCCTCCTCCTTGCTCAAGACGTACATGGAGACGAGGAACTTCTTGTGAGCCTTGACCTGTCCAGGGACGGAAACGACCATACCGCGACGAACTTCGTCACGCTTGACACCACGTAGAAGAAGACCAGAGTTGTCACCAGCACGAGACTCTTCGCAAGACTTCTTGAAGGTTTCAATGTCGGTAACCTTGGTCTTGATGGGCGCGGTACCCTTGCCGACGAGCTCGACTTCAGCATCGCGCTTCAGAATACCTCGCTCAACACGGCCAGAGACGACGGTACCACGACCAGCAATGGAGAAGACATCCTCGACGGCCATGAGGAAAGGCTTGTCAGTCTCACGCTGAGGGGTAGGAATCCATGAGTCGACGGCCTCGAGCAGCTCGTCAATCTTGGTGACACCAATTTCCGGCTGGCGGTTCTCGATGGCACAGAGGGCAGAGCCCATGACAATGGGGGTCTCGTCACCCTCAAAGCCATAGCTGCTGAGCAGCTCGCGCATCTCCATCTCGACGAGCTCCAACATCTCCTTGTCCTCGACAGCATCGACCTTGTTGACGAAGACAACGATCTTCTGGACACCGACCTGGCGGGCGAGTAGCAAGTGCTCACGTGTCTGGGGCATCTGACCGTCAGAAGCGGCAACAACAATAATGGCACCATCCATGTTGGCAGCTCCCGTAATCATGTTCTTGATGTAATCAGCGTGACCGGGGCAGTCGACGTGGGCATAGTGGCGGTTTTCGGTCTGGTACTCAATGTGGGCGGTCGAGATGGTGATACCACGCTTGCGCTCTTCAGGTGCCTTATCAATGGAGCCATAGTCGAGGTATTTAGCAAAGCCCTTTTCTGCTTGTCGCTTGGTGATGGCGGCTGTGAGAGTGGTCTGCAGCGTGTCAGTCTGGTGACGTCGAGGACATTTGGTGGGATGTACTGTACCTTTCCGTGATCGACGTGGCCGATGGTACCTGGAAACTGTCAGCAAAATCACATCTGGCCTGAATGACAAGACACATACCAATGTTAACGTGAGGCTTGTCTCGTGTGAAGGCGGCGTAGTTACGGACACCATTCATCCACCTGCTGGTGCCCTGCGCACCCAAGGCATTCTGCACCGGCGAGACGCCACGCTGGTACTGCACGGCAGCACGCGAAGTGCGCAGGAAAACCTTTGAAAAGCTTGACATGATTGACCCGATCACAGGACGCGGAAGAAGCGAAGGCAAGGCAATTGGCCAAGATGGCGATGTTGGATGAGGGCGGCGAGACTCAAATCATTTTCTTAGCGCGAGAAGATGCTTACGCTGGCCATCATCCAATCAGATGAGGGGGAGATCCGAGCTCGCCCACGCTGCATCGGCGGGGCATACTATTGCGGGCAGCAGAGACATAACAGATTGTCTTCCTTTCTCTCTAATCAATTTGGGCTTTCTCAACTCACCGGCAAGGTTGAGAGGGACAAATCTCATCATTTCGGCGTGTAGGCTAGATCCGTCGGTTGCCCAAGGTGGTGCCGGCCTCGACATCTCAATTTGCGGGTACTACGTACCCGAGGCTCAACTCGGTCGGCAGCGGCTGTGAAAGTTGTTGCATCGTCATATCCCAAACACCACACATGTCTCTCCGTACACTGACAAGAACGCCGCTGAGCTGCGTCTCGCGGACCCGTGCTACCTGCATCATGCCATTGCGTGCAAACATCACAAATCCCGCCTGGATGAGCGGGTCAAGACTGGTACAATGGCGGCCCTTCCGCGCGTGCCGATGCATAGCATACTGACGGCGCACAGTATGCCACGCCGACAGCAGACCTCCTGAAGGCGGAAAAGGACGACGACCCCGACGATGTCATTTTCACCAACAACTACGGCGTGCGCAGCATCGAACTCAATCGGCCTAAGAAGCTCAACTCGCTCAATGGCTCCATGGTGCGCAAGATCGTTCCGAGGCTGCAAGAATGGGAAAAGTCAGAACTGGCGGGCGTCGTTGTCATCAAAGGCAGCGGTCGCGCATTCTGTGCCGGCGGCGATGTCGCGGCATTGGCAGCGTGGAACCAGAAGGGACCAAAGGGACAGCAGAGGAGCGCAGACTACTTCGGCCTGGAATATAAGCTGGATCACCTGATTGCTACCTACACCAAGCCGTATGTCGCCTTCATGGATGGTATCACGATGGGTGGGGGCGTCGGACTGTCGATGCACGCGCCTTTCCGCATCGCGACCGAAAACACCCTCTTCGCCATGCCTGAGACCACCATTGGTTTTTTCCCAGACGTTGGTGCCTCCTTCTTCCTGCCACGCCTGGAAGGTGCGCTCGGTACCTACCTTGCCCTCACGTCGGAGCAGCTCAAGGGTGTGGATGCCTTCCACCACGGCGTCGCGACCCACTACATCCACTCCTCCACTCTGCAGCAGCTCGAGGCACGTCTCGCCGAACTCCAGTTCCCCGACTACATGAGGCTCCACGAGCGCTTCAAAATCATCAATGCTACCATTGAGGAGTTCAGCACCGGCCTGCCTGCAGAGCGACCACATATCTCTGGTGAACTGCGCAGGATAATCGACAGTGTTTTCCACGTTGACCAGCCAGGAATCATGGACATCATGGCATCTCTTGAGAAAGTCAAGAAAACGCATGCAAACCCCGAAATCCAGACGTGGGCTGACAAGACCATTCAAACCATCAACAGTCGCTCTCCCATCTCTGTTGCTGTAGCCCTCAGGCAGATGCAGATCGGCCGTCAATGGTCTATCGCGCAAGCATTCCAGAGAGAGTACTCCGTTGCTTCCAAATTCATGGCTCACCCCGATTTCGTCGAAGGTGTGACAGCACGCCTCGTCGAGCGCAAGAAGGAGCGACCCAACTGGAAGCCTAACACCCTTGATGAGGTCAATAAGAGTCAGGTCGATTCGTTCTTTGAATTTGGCAGGGAGCCGCCACTTCCACTCATTAGTCAAGCAGACTACACGGAATACCCACATGCATGGATTGGGCTGCCAAGAGAGGATGAGATTCTCAGGGAAGCAGCAGGCAAAAAGACCGAGGACGTTGTCGCCAAGTTGCTAGAAAAGTACGAGGGCAAGCAAGGTGTCAGGGAGAAAATTGCCGAGGTTCTTGACAGATTTCAAAAGTAGAAAGGTATCGACTTTGGCCAAACCCATTGATCGGTTGTTTGAGTCCAGATGCTCGTATAGAAACCCCACATATCTGCTAAACTTACTCAGCCTTGATTATTCACCAAACTCCTAGTTTCTATTATTTCTTGAAAACTTCCCATCCTCTTCTGCTCCGTTTTTCCTCAACTCGACTTTATCTCCTTACTAAAATCACCCGTCTAGAGGTTGGGTTGATTGAATCATGGCAAATCCACTTTTCATGTCGGCCTGCAACATGCGAAAGACGGTACTGGGCTTTGCCCTGGTATCCAAAGACAAAGGGCGGTATGCCAGTTTGTTCTTCCCACAAATTTTCAAAAGCACATTCCTACCATGAGCTTGATAAGAAGCAACTCCGGATCATCAGCGAAGGTGAGCTGTGCATGTGCTGGACTAATGCCACTTGGGCGAGTATTCTGGTGAACATTACGGGTTGCGTGCACTAGAAAAACACTTTTGATTTCACAGGATTTTTGAACTCATCTACTGCTGCCTGAATGCCAAGTGTACTGATAAGGCAGACTTACTTCTTCTTTACATGCGTCATCGACGTAGCCCATGAGGCCGCTCTTTAGAAAAAAAAAAGAGGCAACACGAGGTGCTGCCTGCGGTAATAACATGTGGCAGTGAGATTCACTAGGATTGTAGTATGACACGATCGATGAGACGCCGTTTTAAGCGCCAGGAACCGGTTCTGGTAAAGAGTGGGGGCCAAACGGCAGTTCTCTCCACCCACACCATGAGTTCACAGCCCCCAAACATCATGACATCAGCTCTCTATCCGCCTCGCGCACCTAGCTATGGCTGCCTGCCTAGGATACTAGGCCTGAGTCGGCGTTGAATCTCCGCTCCACTGTCAGCTAAAAAGCGCGGTTCATCGCAAGTCCTCCCAGCGTGATTGGTTGTCTAAGCGTTGAGCTGAGGCTGAGACGGCGGTAAGCCATTGCCCAAATTGGGGCATGCCGCGGCTTGGCCTAAATTATGATGGAGGGAATCAATCCATCTCCACACTCAGCTTGTGGCTGTGTGGTTCTATGCTTATAAGTAGTCTTTTCCTTGCTGCTTGTTTTGCTGTATTGTCCCAATCTTTTTACACCGCACCATTGGGAGGAATTGACGAAAACCATTGAGCAAATCCACGACTACATTATATCTCAAGACGCATTGGCTAAACAGCGACTGGATTGACCAGTCAAAATGTCGGCTATAGAGCGGCAACCGTTGTTAGATGAGAAGATTGCCCTCAATCATGAACATCAGATTAGCGACGATGGGCTTGGATACACAAAAAGAGCTGCGGGAAGAAGCCTAGGAGATACCCTCCGCAAGGCCGTTGTGCTGTCCTTAATCTGTGGGCTTGCTGCATATGGATCGTATACCCTGTTCAGACAGCATCTCCGCTCAAATGTACCGTTGTCGTCACCACACCAGCATTCCGGCTCCTTCAACTACACTTGCCTACCTGGACAGTCTTGCTGGCCGACGACAGATGAATGGAGCGCCTTCAACAAAAGTATCAATGGTCATCTTAAACTGACTGTGCCCTGGGCCGAGCCATGCTATCTTAACTCATCCAGTGAAGAGTGCAAAACCGTGGCGAAAAACTATGGCAATGGATTGTCGCGAACAAGCCAGTACGGCTCAGGGGAGTTCCTTGATTGGGAGAGGTGTGGTGAATCGCAGTGCGCCCTGAACTCCTTCAACACTTCAGATTCCGTTTCTGGTCCCTGTTCGCTCGGTCGATTCTCCTCATACCACGTCGAAGCCAGATCTGGAAGCGATATCAGTAGAACACTGGATTTCGTTCGCAAACATGGTATTCGAGTCTCGATCAAAAACACTGGACATGACTATTTTGGTCGATCCACTACTCCCAACTCTCTTGCCATCTGGACGCACAACATGAAAGATACCAAATTCCACAAGACTTTTCAGCCTCAAGGATGCAATACTCGCTATGAGAACATTGGCGAGATTGGTGCTGGCGTGCAGGCTCAAGAATCATGGGAAGCTTTCGAGCCACATGGCATGCTCGTCACCGTAGGTGCGTCGGCATCTGTTGGCATCGCAGGAGGCTACGGCCAAGCAGGTGGCCACGGACCGCTGGGACCCAAGTACGGGCTCATGGTTGACCAAGCTGTCGAGTTCGATGTCATCACTGCTGATGGTAAACAACACACCATCAACGAATGCAGTGATCCAGACCTCTTCTGGGCCATGCGTGGAGGCGGAGGCGGAACCTATGCAGTGCTCACATCATACAAGTTCCAGCTCCACCCAGCTGTTCCTATCAACGTATACCACTTCCATGCCAAATTCCCGGCACCGAAGAACATCTCTGAGTCGAAGATTCACCAAGATATTCTGACTGCACTTGCCTCAAATCAAGCCCTCTTTGGCAAACATGGTATCGCCGGATACAACTTTGTGCTACCAGACCACGTAATATTCGTGCAAGTCATGCCATCCAACGATACCGAAGTGATCAAGACTATCACTTCCGAGTGGCGCAACCTCCTTACAAACACCCCTGGTATCGAAATCACTGCCGATGACTACTACTCATTCGAAAAGTTCTCCCAATGGCACGACTTCACCGAGCAACCCGAGCTCGCGCGCAACGGAGCTGTTGGTCTAGGATTCAAAGGCGTAGGCCGCTTCATTCCACGCACTCTCTTTGAATCCGATCAGAGCATCGAGAAACTAGTAGAAGCAGTCATGACTTCAATGCAGTACTCGTACGCCAGACACGGCTCAGGAGGCGTGCAGCTGTACGCTACGGGGCCTGACAACTTCCCGGACAATGGCAAAACGAGTGTTAATCCCATCTGGCGAGATTCTCTCTGGGAAATCGTCATGGGCCAGTTCTGGACCACCGCCACGCCGCCGAATACCCTGTCACCAATTCAGGACATAGTCACCGCCATGGTTGAGCCGCTCAAGGCGTTGACGCCCGGCGGTGGATGCTACCTAAATGAGGGTGATTGGGCTGAGAAGAATTGGCAGGAGACGTTCTTCGGTGTTCAATATGAGAAGCTGCTTGCAGTGAAGAAGCGGTATGATCCAACTGGCTTGTTCAATTGCTGGAAGTGCGTGGGCTGGACGGGATATGATGAGTAAGTGTCGTGACCCCAATATTGCAAACAAAAGCTAACTTGTGATAGCCCAATGTATTCTTGCTACGCGCAGTCTCGACATGCACCACTACCATCTATACCGCTAGGCCCTCTTAATGGGTAGCCACCGGGCTCTGGTTAGCTCTCCTTCTTTACTCTTTTGTTTCACTGTTCCTCCAAAACTGGAACTCATTTTGAATGTACTGTAGCATACCTCGGCCGTCCTTCTGCGACCAATTCCATCATTACCCCTTCTTTATTGAATCTTCTTGTCCTACACTCACTGTCAATGCATTTATCTTGCGGTTTTGGATCCTCTGAATACAGAGACAGCCACATGCGACATAATCCTCTCAATGTTAGCTCAAAGTTCGACATCGTGGTGCAGCGTTCACCGCGAGAGCTTCACACCTTATTTGAAGCACAGTAAAGGTTTCATGGCATCTCTCACTGTTTGACTTCATCTAATCTCTCCTCACTTGCTAGCCTCCCATTGGTCGGACACCGTGATGTTTGCAAACGGGCCAGCTGCGCGACACCGCTCCAGGATAGTATATAACTGACGCTCACCTCCACTTTCTTGATACACAAGTACAAATCAGCTACTGAGTCTTACACACAACATACACAATATCTCCTAAGACCACTTGAACACGGAGCCAAATACTAGACTCGACAAAAGCTCACAGTAACAAACCACTCAACGAACACACTCAAAGGAAAGTAGCCATGCACTTCCCCGTCTTTGCTGTTTTGGCAGCATTCCCCCTTCTCACCGGTGCTCTTGGATATGGCCACCGCCGTATCCAGGGCCGCGATGTCAAGACCGAAATCGTACTCGTCACCCAGATGGTGTACACGACCATGATCATCGCTCCAACCCCCGCCCCCGTTGCCTCACAGGCACCCACTTTGAGCATCCTCACCGTCGGCAATCCAAACACCATTGTGCCCATCCCCTCACCTTCTGGCGCTACACTCGCAAAGCCGTCAGCACCGTCCCCGAACCCGAACCCATACGCCCCACTGGTCCCCACCCCAACAACACCAGCATCGTAAACTCATGCGAATACGACGTCTGGGTCTCCTCCATCGGCGGCCACGAAAGCTGCGGACCAGGCAACACTGACTACCTCGTCCGGACCAAGACTACATACACAGAGGCCCTCCGGGTATGCAATAATGCTGGGGTCTCGCTCAAGGTAGCAAAGACTGTCGTGGGTCTCGCGAAACCCATGCAGTTCGAATATACCGTCGGGGCAGACAAGAAATCCGTGTCGTACGATATCTCGTATCTGGACTGCATGGTGAAAAACGGCACGGAGGTTAAACATTTCGCGGGGTGCGTTGGGCAGGAGAAGGGGACTCAGGCTGCAGGTGGGAATAATTGCAAGGGGTTCCATTGTGTGCCTGGAGTCGAGTGTGCGCAGTTGGCGTATACAGAGCCGGAGTTTGAGGGAAAGAAGGATGCGCCTGTTGGCACTTGTGGAGTTGATGACGGAGTTGTGTTTGAGATTTGTGCGGGGAACAGGGCGTGAGTGAGAGGAATGGAGGACGAAAGAGGTAAGGTGAAGTCCGACTTGGTACTCTCTTTTGTGTTTTGATGACTTCTGGTTATAGAATGGGGTGCTGACATGATTTCGTATAGGTGGAGAGGAGAGAGGGTAGAGGAACGATACAATAGTCGACATTCTCCCTCTCTGGGTGCAGGCATTTTTCTTTCTTCATAGGGGGGATCTTTTGCACATCGGCGAGCAACGCGGGGGTGTTTATGTAGTTCAGATACCTGTCTGGTACCAGCAAGGATCATTCCAGGATTGGAATTTTCGGAATGGTAATATGAATATAAGAATCAATGTACAATTATATAAGGAAACCTCGAATGATGTGCAATCTTTTTTTTCTTGCTGAACAAGATAGATTTAAAGTATGAGGTTGGCGAGTTTGTTCACAACAAACGGTTAGACGGGCTGCAGCTTGTTAGCAGGGAAAACGGCGGTGTTGGGTTTTTCCAATCACTTAGATAACAGCAAATAGCAATCATAGTGTCTGCAGTGGTCCCATATGAATGTGGAGAGAGGTACGGGTAGGCACGTGATCAGGGGTCGATCTGTAGCTTTGGCATTAATCTTGCACTTTCCAGCCTAATACATGAATTCTACAATCTAATCTCGAACTTGTCGTTGCCATACCAACTATGGTGTGGCCAAGAAGTGTCGTTGTCATGACTGCCGGTTCCCATTTAGCGTGCTAATTCATCGAACCCGAGCATACCCGTGTCCTCACTCGTGCCAACACGCTCTGACCAGACTCTACCGTATTGACTAGTCCACACTTCTCCGACAAACTGTCCAGCCTGTGGGTGTTTCGAGGGAACAAAGTCTAGACTGCATATGACGCAAGGATACCTGCTATCGATAAGACAAGTACCGAGCTAAACGCGTACTACCGCTTCCGTCGTCCACGCCCGCGTTTGGGGCGAGGAAGCCGAACGCGCCATTTGCACCAGCCTTTTGCACCATGCGATGCACCCCGCATGTTAGCCAACATGTCTGTGCCAGAGTCGGAAATACTAAAGCCACTGGACGCCTCAAACACCAATTCCGATGACTGGGAGATATTCGTTCTCAAGGATGCGCACATCACATATGAGAGCAATGGAAAGCCTGCCAGCCTGCTCGCCGCGTATGCGGATACCCCGCTCAAGGTCGAGGGGCACCTAAAGATGCCTGGGCGCAGCCAGTTAAAGTATCGTACGTAGATTTGGGTGCAGTGAAAAGCGCATCAGTGGAATAGTATAGTCAATTGACACGGCCGCAGTCCTCAAGAAGCCATATAACCCCACCGACATCGAGATACGGAACGTGACACGCTTCTCGTACGGCGAGATGACAGATGGTGCATACGTTATATGGGCCCAAGGCAAAGCAGGCTGGTTCGAAATCCAGCCTGCGCCCCAGTATAAACCCATCTATGACGAGATGATTCAGGCTGTCGAGCTATTGTACTTTGTGACGGATATTCACAGTGAAGTGCGGAAGAAGAGTGGAGGGCCCAGTGCTGAGCTCATTTTCCAGGAAGTAAGTGCAACACCGATATCTGCAGCTAGCTCCAAAAGCCTACGCTGATTGAGCAGTATTATGAGATATACAGGCTGACCCATGTAGTACGCAGAAGACAAACGCTTCTCTTGTAACGACATAGCCATGGTAGAGGAAATCTTCGACAAGCACCACATGTTCCTGATGATGTGCTTCTTAAACAGGGCACAGGGCTTAAGCTGGAGTAACACTCCTATATACCAGCGCTTTAGAAGAAGGTTTCCGGTAAGTGGCATTCCAGCCAACCCTGGACTCAATCTGATCTGCGAATAGAAAGACTTTGACGACTGCAAAGCACGCATTGAGGGGCGCTATTCCCAAATCCAATCCGAACGCTTGCCAACAAGTTCAAAATCAAGGTCTACACCATCTCTCACCTCAAAGCAAGCAGCTACACCTGGAACGTCACGGCATGCTCGAAGGAAGTCTGCAGGGTCAAAAACGCCGGACGCGCCGAAGAAGGACGATAATTGGTGGGAAGCCGCAGCACTTTTTGAGTTTATGCAGAAAGCAGTAAACCAACGAGTTGTGCGCCCAGGAAGAAATCAAATAACTTTGGATCGGGTTGCAGAGCTGATTGTTAGGCGTTATGAGATTGAAGAAGTGGAGACTGCAAAAACGGTCCTACTGGTGCATGCGCAGAACCTCTGTTACATGATGGACCATCCACGCCGAAAAACCGTGCAATTCTTTGCAGATGAGCCGATATATCAAGAATTAGCAGCTGGACATAATTTATCTGCAGCCGAACAGAGACGAGCAGAAAACGTCGAGCTCAACCCACGGAAAGATCACGCAAGACTAAGAGATGGACAGAGCGATTCGTCAGATACATCCGACGAAGAAGAACTACGAACGCCCGTTCGACGTCCACCAGGTAGACGGAAGAAAGGCCGCCTGTCAGTCCTGCGACCTAAAACCGGCAACTTCTCCGGCAAGAGTAAACGTGTGATCATCAAGCCAGGTAAACAAATAGCTGGTAAGGGTAAAGCACCTGTAGCAGCCAGTGACGCCTCATCGGAATTACAAAGCGAGAATGAAGCAAATAGCAGTTCAGACCTGGACATGACTGATACGCCAGCCCAAGCCCTATCACCAAGTCGCGAGAAGAGAAAACTAGGCAACACAGACACCGAGCACGAAGCAAAAGATGCTCGAAGAAAACGAAGAAACAGCAACTCTCTAACCTTTTCCTCTCCGCCTACAACAAACGATTCCGATTCCAGTGAAGCAGACGCAGAAGCCAGCGCTTCTCTACCCCTTCCCCTCCGACACCTTCCCGCATCAGCATCAAGCAACAGCAAGCCTACCGTTTCCCCTCAAACCGTCTCCACCCCGCTCCCCACCTACGAAGCCAACGGACCCCGCGACTCGTGGCTCTGCAGCTTCGACGGCTGCACCCAGCGTATTTATGGCTGCAGCAAGGAACTTGGTCGCCAACTCATCACCGAGCACTTGGAAGACCACAGTCGTGGGCGTGACAAGGTGGTAGGGATTCTCTGGAGAGAACAGAATAAGTTGCATTTACCTGTTAAGTAAGTTTTCCCCCATATGCAAGGAGAGGCGAAGTAGAGTTTTTGTGGGCTGAGAAGCTAATGACTGGGGATTAGTAATTTGATTAAGAAGATTAGGGAAATGAGTGAGGCTAGTACGCCATTATTTCCGAGTGAGCAAGGGGGTGTGAAGGGAGAGAAGGTTAGGCCGATTGAACGGCCGGTTTGAAGGGGAGATGTGGGGGATGATTAGTATATATTGAAGATATGGGGGGCTTGGATATGTCTCGTTCTTCTCCGAGTTTATGAATAAATATTTGCCTCATTTGTGCCTCTCCGTTTTCTTTTTCTTGGATTTTACCGTTTCGTCGTCTTTGAACGTTCTTTTTCTCTTTGTCCCTGTTTCTTCTTCGGCGCTTTCTATGCTCGGTCGTACATCTTCCAGGTCCACTTCACATACTTCGAGTACCACACTTGCGTCTTCGTATACGGCTCCGGTGTCCGGGTCAATGCGCCATTTCGGATGGGGAAAGGGGAGGGCGTGGAGTGAGGTTCTCGTATCACTTTCTTCGTACCGGGTGTCGAGTGCGAGGAGAGGACCACATGATGTAGGATGGGTTGTCGTATGGTGATCCTGGTGGTTGTAGTTTTGCGAGGGTACTGAGAGTATGGGCGATGAGGACGAGATCGAGGAAGTGCTGGGTTCTGGGGAGGTCATGGGAAATGCTTTGCGTATGTTGTCTTCTTGGTGGTTATGGAAATTGGCTCGTTTGTACTGAGGCAGAGTTTGTTATGGGGATTAAGTGTGAAGCTGTATAGTCTGAGGGAATGGACATCACACGCGAGGACGATAGTATGTAGTGAACAGAAGATTAACGAAGATGCGGATTCGTGTTGATTCTTGTTGATTTCAAATGCAAATTAGGGGTTTTCTTTGTTTGTCCAGAATTGGGTTTGAAAGGGATAATTGGCGTCACTAGTTAGGACTGCTTCCAGCACATACATAAATATCTGAAAACCCGTAAGATGATGAAGTTTCTTATTCATGAATACCCAATTACTTTTATACGCTAATTGTCTTGAAAACATTGAATCCTGATCCGCCAGTAGCCATGATGGCACCCGGAATCTGCGGGTGCCAGTGTGCCTCCTTGATTTGCTCCATGTAGTGCACAAATAGCAGTTGTGGCGGCACGTCTTGCACGCCTGCTGTGTATTTGCTCTCCTCATCATCGAGCTCGACGGCAAGATCCCATAACGTGAGGGTGTTGTCACCGGCGCAGACGAGCACGATACTGTCGTCTGTAGGGTGCCACTCGACAGAGGTGATTTGCTCTTTGTGGAATGTGTAAGATGCGACGGGCGAAGGCTTCTTGTCGCTGGACATGTCGGTGGATGGCTTCCATTGTCGCAAGTCCCAGACAGCCCACTCGCCATCGTCGGCACCAGAAGCAAGAAGATGAGCGGTCTGATGCGACCAGCTGAGTACGTTGACATCAGTCTTGGATGCTTGGACACTGAGCACTGGTTTCCGTGACTTAAATCGAGTATCCCAGATCTTGACTGTGCCGTCGCTTGATGCTGAAGAAAATACGGTCTTCTCAGTTGGAGACCATTGCAGTTCCTCGACTGAGCCCTGGTGGCCAGTATAAGGTGTGGTGTCAGTTACAAAGCCTCCACCTTGCGTCCTAGTTGTTGCGAATATCTTTCCAGCGCAATCAGCTGTAATCAGCTTGCCTTCTGGTATCATAGGAGACCAATCTAGTGCATAACCCTCGTTTGATCCGTGAGCTCGGATGGTGCAGACTGGCTTATTCTGCGCGGGAGAGATGGTGGTGCCGGGTGTGTCGAAAGAGGTGAGATGTGGGGTGACGTCGTGAATGAGAACCTGGCCTGACTCTGTCATGGCAGCTGTGAGAGTTGTTGGAGGTTGCGCAGATGTGGCTTGTGGTGTTTGGTGTGCTCGTATACGGTTCGTGCAGCTCGTCAATGGTATCGACTTGGTCTCCAATATGGGATCGGATGCCTCATCATCCGAATCTGAGTCCTCATCTTCCTCGTCTTCCTTCTCCATGCGCGACAAACTGCTCATTTTCATGACCATGATCTGGTTCTCCTTGTCCCTTCCCCGTGCTGCTTGTGTACCGGCGACCGCGTATACGGTTGCGGGGTATGTTTTGCGATCTGAGCCTAGGTTGTCGGGTACAATGTCGCAGGACAGACAGGGCCATGGCGCTTCTAGGGTATGCAGCATATCGTATGTTGAAAGATCGGGGTTCAGCGTCTCACCAGGAGAGAGTTTGTGGCGTCCAGGAATAAATGTGCCTAGAGAAATAGTCAGCAGCATGTTTAAGTATGGCATATGGACCTCTCTGACCTTTGTCGACGTCCATGCCATTCTCGCGCTCTTCGGCCTCGCGCTCCTCATCTGGTCGTCCGTCTACTCCTGCTTCGAGAATCTCATCCTCGCTCTCGAATTCGTCCTCAAACTCATCCTCGAATTCGCCTGCCTCATTCTGGGCGTCGATTTCCATGGGCCGCTCGCCATTCTTGATAGCCTCCAGCTCTTGCTCTGATTCTGCCGCTCGCTTTGCCATCTTTTACGTTTGAATATATTCTTGCGTGTGGTTGTGCTAGGGCGAGTCGCAAAAAAAAGTCGGACAAGTGCGACTTGGAAAACGAACTTTTTGAATAGTACGCGATAAGCGGCTTATCGAGCACCAGCCACAACAGCCCCTCGCAGTGGCTTGTGGCTTGGCGAACCAGGACACGGCGCAGCCATCAGCGCTACCCCATGATACCCAATTGCATCGCGGCTTGCACTCAGTCAACAAGCCGACTTCAGCTCACAACACACACGCCCCTTTTGTCCTTGAATGCCTTCGCACGCGTGAAATTGGCCCTGCAAACTCCTCGAAAGTCGCGTCTGCCGGGTGATCCTTGTCTGTCGCTCTCGACGCGTGCGCGCCCTCAGCTCTCATTGCTGCCGAATATATACCGCTGGGAGTCGCTGCCGCTGCCATGGAAGAGTACTCGAGTCAGGCGCCTGTGTCAGAAACACTTCCCCAACCTGTTCAGGTGCCGCCGGAACAACTGGGGCATGACCAGCTGCAGCCTGAGGCTGTACTTGTTGATGAACACGAGGCGCAAAAACACATGGACCAGACCATGGACACGAACGATGACAGCATGGCCAGCACCATTACCGCCAACACCGTCACACCGCTACCAGATCCAGCCCAATCTAACAGCCTCAACAACAGCCCTTCCCCATACGGACACGAGCCTCACCGACCATCAACGTCATACTCGGACACCGCCTACCAGTACACAACGCACAATGGCTCACGCTTCACTACATCCTCAGATGCCGACACTCCTCCGCGGCACGGCTACTACGATTCCAGCAGAGAGGCACACGTCGGCCAATCGCACTCGCGGCCTAGCTCACAGATGGGACGGTACCCGACCTCAGAGGGCGGCGCCCGCTCAAACTCATACCAAGACCAACAACGGAGCGCACAACAACAGCAGGAAGCAGTCAAGAATGCCAGTGTGGTCATCAAGGTCGGCATGGTCGGAGACGCGCAAATCGGAAAGACCAGTCTAATGGTCAAGTATGTCGAGGGTAGCTGGGACGAAGACTACATCCAAACATTAGGTGCGTTACACCATGCTTTTTCTACAGGTTGCAGTTTCTGACACGCGCAGGTGTCAACTTTATGGAAAAGACCATCTCGATCCGGAACACCGAAATCACATTCTCTATTTGGGATCTAGGTGGTCAACGTGAATTCGTCAATATGTTGCCATTAGTCTGCAATGATGCTGTCGCGATACTCTTCATGTTTGATCTGACGCGCAAGAGCACTCTCAACTCGATCAAGGAGTGGTATCGACAAGGGCGCGGCTTCAACAAGACTGCTATCCCCTTTTTAGTCGGCACAAAATATGATCATTTCGTCAACTTTCCCCGAGAAGAACAGGAAGAAATTTCTAACCAGGTACACACCATGTTTGGATCTTGGACACTAGCCTAGTATGCTAACAAGGTATAGGCCAAACGGTTTGCACGAGCAATGAAGGCTAGTTTAATCTTTAGCTCAACAAGTCACAGTATCAACGTGCAAAAAGTAGGAAATCTTCCTGTTCAGGCTCGGATATGTGCTGACCTGGTTTCAGATATTCAAGATCGTGCTATCGAAAGCGTTCGACCTCAAGTGCACGATTCCCGAGATAGAAAACATTGGCGAGCCACTTCTCCTCTACCAGGCCGTCTAGTCGCCGGACCGACGAGTGAGACCCCGGACAGAAGGAACGCGGATGAACCTGTCTGAGAGGCAGATGGGGCGCGTCTTTTATCGGAACGTTACCATGAGCGAATGACTTCATGATTGATTTGCGTGGGATTGCATGGCTCGGCGATTGGAGCACGGAGCTATACATATATGTCGGGCACAAAATTGGCGTTCTTCTGCTTTGTATTCGCAGAGGTGCTTGTAAAGTTGGAGCCATGAGAGCTCAACTGGGACAATGGAATGAGAGCATTGACTTGCACAGGCGGCGCAGTCTTGCAGCATAGTATACTATAGTCTAATGAAGAGTCGTGGGATAGCAGTACCTGTTAGTATGTATGTTTACATAGTACATGACTTTGCGACGCGTACGAGGGGCAAGTTTAGGCGAATGACGTAAGCTTCCGCAACTAAAAGTTCGAGACGTGCGCAAGTAACTTTGGTCAACACTTACAACCATCTGTGCGCGCACATGTTAGAATAAGAACGAGTTCGCATCCAATACAGCGCGTCTTCGAACATACTATAGAAACTCAAAAGCGGCTTACCAAATTCCGACTAGTGGTTCCGAGAAAAAAGCACTCCATCAGGTTCTTCGCATAGCAGGCGTTTTAATACGCGACCACATCAAACAGCACTCTTTCTTGTGCTCCACACACGCACAATGGCACTACCATCCATAGCCCTGCCGGGCCAGCTTCTCGGTAGCATTGACAAGTACTCTCCGGGCCCCGGAACGCACATTTATGAATCGCAAATCTACGCCTCAATAGCAGGGCCAGTGGTGTCGGTAGGCTCAGCACCACAACCGACACCAGGGAGCAACAAAACCAAGCTACCACCTCTCGTCGCGATAACCCGACCGCCCACCTTCAGTGATCCAGGCATCCTAGGCCCCAACTCGGGAGGTGGTGTGCCCCTGCTGCCCACGGTCTCCAGCACAGTACTAGTCCGCATAACGCGTTTGGGCCCACGCTTCGCCTCGTGCGAGATCCTCGTCGTCGACGACGCCGTATGCCGGGAAGCCTTTCTTGCGCAGATCCGGCGCGAAGATATTCGCGCAACAGAAAAGGACAAGATCAAGATTGAAGAGAGTTTCCGCGTTGGCGACTTGGTGCGCGGCACCGTGATCAGTCTGGGTGACAGCGGAAACTACTACGTTGCGACTGATCGAAATGAGTACGGCGTTGTGCTTGCTAGGAGCGAGGAAGGACGCGTCATGCATCCCGTTAGCTGGAGGGAATTTAGGGACCCAGTCAGTGGAAAGACGGAGTTGAGGAAGGCGGCGAAGCCGTTTTGAAAGAGTCTTGAGATGTTCTGTATAATGTATACCCACCCCCTTCCTTCTCTCAAGAAGGACCCTACCCCCCAAAAAACCCAAGTATACTACTATTCTCATGATATGAGATGGATCTACAATCACTACCTCGTATATTCTCACCGCCCACTCACCCATCCATCCATCCCACGTTGCCTATGTCAAAAAATTCTCCTAGTTTGCAAATCAGGGTCCCCGTTTGAACGGGAATGATTTGCATTTCTTCGCCCATCTCCACGTCTAAGAAAAGCACAACCCCCCAACTAACTACTGTTTCACCTGCACAAGCATTCCCCTCCCCTCAACCACCCCCCACTCCTAGTTCACAACCCTGATCTTCTTCCTTCCAAGTCATAGCCACGCAACCACACAAAAGCCCGCCTAGTCACACTATATGCCGAAGCCAAAAAAAAATTGACACGGGGAATACCCCAGGCAAAGGCTAGGGGAACGCAACCCCCTTGCGCTTGTCGTTCATTGCGCGTCAAACTTTATTTCTTATTTTATTTTATTTTTTAAAATGAGGGTTGTTAAAGGCATTGTGTTCGGGGTGGATTGGAGAAGTGAGGAGGAGCTAAGAATAGAGGGCGGGGGGAATTTGAGTATTTTAGGGTTGTGGGAAGAGGAATCAAGGGGGGCAAGGGAGGAGGAGGAATACGAGGTGCGGAAATGGAGGTGATGCGTGGGTGATATTGCTATGTATTTTTTCTGGATGTGTTGGGAACTTGGGGTGGTGTTGATAGACACGGTGTCGTGGTAAAAACAGGGTAGTAGTCTAGATCAAAACTAGTATGTAGGGTTGAGGAAAGAATGGAGTATATGCAATATTCAGCAACAGAACACAATGCTTTTCATTTTTGACTTTTCGAGTAGATACATCGGTACAAATCAACCACGCCAAGTGCAATGCCCTGATGAACAGTGTTAGAAAGATAAGTAAAATGTAAATAAATAAAATATATAGAAAAAAACTTTGCGTGGCCTCTCTTGATGGGACCGAGGTCGCTACTCCAAGAAAGAAAAAGGCTCCTCTCATATGGAAAGCAGTAAGAGCAAGATAGATCATCTCCAAAATCCGAACCTGATAACCTCTTCTGTCTCTCTTCCCCTTTGCCCATACTCTAATAATTGTAACAACCCAACTCTTCGACATACACACCGTCCGTCTGCCTTTTTGTTTCTGGACGGTGTAGTCAAGTTACAAAAGTAAACAAAGGCGGACCTTGGGCAGATCAAACGCCGTTTATGTGCCAGGAAAACTTCCTTGTCGATGCGCCAAAACTCCAATCATCATGATGGGATACACCAAAAAGCTCCGTCGTCTTGCCCATGACTCCTTGAGCCATCTTTCCCTATGGCGAACCATGGGCTCCACACTGCCGACGGTAGCTGTCTGTAACCATGCTCTTCCAATGCTCTTCTTGAATCTTACAATACTTGGATGCTCGCAAGAGAAAAAATACAACACGTCTTGACCCGGTCTTGGGAATGCGGGTTCTCTACAGCACGCCACCAGGCAGAGGCGTGCCTCTATTCTGGTTACCCCATCCAAAACTCTCCGTCTGGGGGTTTACAGGCCGTACGTCGTTGCCGCCCACGGTACTGACGTGACCTTCTTGTGGTGCGGCATGCTTCCTAAGCATGAACATGGGTTTCCGGCCTTCTTTGTCGAGTTGCTTGAACAAAATCAAAGGCCTCTCGTTCAATCCCAAACAACGCTCTTGATCGCCGTGGACAATATACAAAGCATATTGCCGCCAGTCTGCTGTAATATTGTATTTCTTGAGCGCAACGGGAAGGACTTTGTGGCAAGGGTCATCGATGGAAACACGGAACGACTTGAATATTTCGACTTGCGGGTTCGTGGAGGGTGTGGAAGAGGAAGTGCCCGATGTGGGGGCATTCATTGAACTAGAACCACCAGAAAGTGGAGGATCGCGTTCTTCGGGGTTCGGTGTTGGCGCAGCATTGTTTCGCATAGGTCGCGAGGATAGTGGTGCGGGAGTGGCGCGGGGATCGCGGTTCCGGTCGGATATGGAGTTGGCGTCGGAGTTCCACGTGTTGGTTTGGCTCCAGCCAGAGTTTGTGTCATGGTCGTGGCTGCGGGGTATGTCGCGGCTGTATTGGCGACTTTGGGATTGTGTGTATGCGGGCGATGTAGGCGAGGGTTGGGCAATGGAGTTGGGCGACATTTGTGGGCCGCCACTGCCGAGGGATGCTGTGAGGTGTGAGGAAGCTGCGACGGCTGCTGCTGAGGGATCCAACGAAGAATGATCGACAAGGGCACGATGCTCTTGGATGGTTGGAGAGGGATTTTTTGGCGCAGACCCAAGGAAAAGCTTCTTGGTGGAGAACTTACGCGACAGACTGCTTCCAGCAGATCTCTCTTGAGTTGCTGGTGGGGAGGTGAGGGTATGCTCATGGGGAGTCGGAAGTGGCTGGTTGTCTTTCAACATGCGAATCAATGGTAATATCTCCTCGCGCAGGCGCTTATTCTCGTCCATGACGCGGCTGAGGTCTTCTCGGAGGTGGCGCAGTTCCGATTCGGCAGTATGGATACGTTCGTCACGCGCTTGGACTACTCGAATGACTCTGGCAAAGTCGTCCTGTGTAGGCGGAGCTTCCTGTGCCGATGTGTCGGCAGCTATGCATTGTTAGGGCCTGGAGGGTGTGAAGAAAAGCAGATGGCAAAAAAAGTAAAAGAAAAAAAGAACACGCACACAATGGAACGTAGTCATCAGGGTCCATGGGCACGTTCTGCCGTATCTTGATGTCATAGACGGCCTTGAGGATGGTGAGACGGTGGCCCACACTGCCCACGCCCAGTTCTTTCAGCTCTGCATGCTGAAGTGCGGCCAATACGTCTCCGGTAATGCCCTCATCTGTAGGAGAGGAGATTAGTAAAAACACAAATAGACACAGGCAGAGCCAAGGTTGGCGGAGCAAGGCCACGTACTAGCAAAGGTATCCGAGTATTGCTCGAGGCCGAGGTCGGCTATGAAGTCGGCCGTCTGGTCTTCATTCCACTCCATGATGTGCCCCGTTGGGCTGCTCTTGCTGTCGCGGGAATGGGTAAAGGTGGTGGGCGTGTGTTCGGTGCTGAGCGGGCCAGAGCTGGTAGGCGAGCTTTCGTACTCGACAGGCAGGGTCGGGCTGGAGATGGCCTGGCGTTCAAACTCGTCGTCGGCATCCGAATCCTCGTGGTACTTTGTGGTGTATGCCATGACGCGAGGGGGGGGGCTGAAGGTGGAGTGGCAGCAGCAGGAGGAGAGGCCGAGGGCTGGCACAGAGGTATTGGTAGAGATGTGGGTAGAGAGAGATATCGAATCTCGGCCGGTGATGATGCCAAGGCCTCTCTCTTGCAAGCAGGCAGGCTCGTGGAGGGACAAGGTCTGTGTTATCGATGGCGGTTCGGCGCTAGACTCGAGGCTGGCCCCAGGGCGATTGGGGCACCCTGTCTGAGACGAAGCGAGATTGAGACGGCGTGTTTCGTCGATGGCGGGAGCAGGGCGGGAGTGCAGGCTCAGTCTCAGATGCACAGCTAGCCGGTGGGGCAGAGGTGAGCAGCAAGGCGGGGAGAGAGAGAGGGTTGTCGTCGCCGGGCGAGTGGCTTGCGGCTAGGCGCTTTGTCGTCCGACGGCCTGAGGGGGGGAGGGCGTGTCGTCAAAGCAAGCAGCAGCAGCAGCGGCGGCGGGCTGTGCATTCGACCGTGCGAGCAAGATGACGAGCAAATGCAACAACATGCACATACGCCGGGGGGAGGGTGGAATAAAGAGCGAGATAACGGGAGAGAGTGAGAGGGGAGAGAAGAGACCGCTGGCTGGAAAGGAAAGAAAAGAAAGAAAGAAAGAAAGAAAGAACGACAGCGCCAACAGGGCAGGCAGGCAGCGTCTGCTTCTGCATCTGGATTGCCAATACCCTATACCGTCCGACAGGCGGCTAGCTGGGCAGCCGGCGGCGTCCGTGCTGGCTCGACGCTGCTGCTTGGAAGTCAATATTGCGATAAAGCATGCAGGTACCGACCGCGCCCGCTACCGTGCCCTACAACCACATGTACCTCGATGTAAGTACTGTGAGTATATACCTACATACTAGTACACAGCACATGCACACTCACGTCCAAGCATCAAGCATCAAGCATCAAACCACACGTAGCATTCCCCCGCACACCCCATTGCCCTTGGCCTCTCCTTGCTTTTGCACTCTATGTACCCTGCCTGCCTCTCCATTCATACCACCGCCCCAGTCGAGCACTATTAATCACTATCCCATTCTCGCTCTCTCCCTCCCTACCACCTCCCTAGCCACACACTCCACTCATCCCATGCGAACTCGGGATCTTCACCGCCAACGCTTAAGCAAACTAAACCCCTCCTCCACCCCGGCTCGCCCGTCGCCAAATCGGTTACTTCCGCCCGCAGCACCTCACGTCGCACCTGACAAGGAAAGCTGCCATCCCTATATTACGACATACTACATCGCCGGCCCCCCCAGTAGCGAGAAAGCACAACCCCACGCGCGCCCCCAACCCACGTGAACAGGATCAGCAACTACCGCGACTTTGGGAAGCTGACCCGGTATTGCTCTCTTCCAACGTCGTCCCTGGAGCCTCCTCTTTCTTTTTATCGAAATCGCCCTCCAATCCTTCCCTTTCCGAGTCTTAATTCGCAATCAATTAACTCCTCATTCCCCTTTACCCATCTCCACTCGGCTTTGTTGTTTATGGTTACTAACCCCCTTCTCTGATCCAATCAAATCACCTGATTCCGGAGGCCAATCCCATACTATACCCAATTAAACCTCCACCAACCACCCCCGGCCAAACCTCCATACCCAAAAAACAACACTCCTTTCTTTTCAACCCATCCAAAAAACTACCCAATTACCGGAAGCCCGGTCACCACCCGCTCTCCCTATATTCTCCACATAAAAAACATCCGATAACATAACGCATCACCCATCAAGCATGTCTGACACCCCCATCCCCATCACCACGCAGCAAGCCCAGTCCGGCATCTCGCGCGACCTGCGCAACAACATCTACTCGGCCCTGCTCGCCGGGCCCGGCATCCGCAACATCGAGGCCACGCTCGACGAGTCGCTGCGCTCGTCGGGCTTCAAGGACGCTCTCCGAGCTTACATTACCGAGCTCTTCCGCTCGGGCCAGGCCACCACGTGCGAGGAGGCCAGAAACCTCGCTATGCAGCGTATCCGCGAGCACACGCGTCAGCTAGATGGCAACAGCAGCAGCAGCAAGAAACAATCCGCCACAAACGGTCTCAGCGATGACCAGCTCAACGGCGGTGACGGCACCGCAGACGACGCCCTGGAATTCGATCTCAAAATCCCCAAATCAGCTATTGATGCCGGGGCCAAGACTGTCATGAAAGAGTTGGAGAAGGTGTGTGAGATTACGTATGAGGATGACAAGTGATGCTTCTTCTTCTTCTTCCTTCATTCCAACCCATGACCCATCGCCTGCTCAATCTATCTGTCTATCAAAACTATGGATCACACTACATTCCAAGAGGCCACATGTCAGTCAAACTATTATAGGGCCAATGCCACTGTTGCAAACGCTGTCCAAGGACCCTTCCACACGGACCCCTTGCATCTGCCACCGTTGCAGCCTTCAGATCCACTCTTCGCCAGCATATCCATGCACAACACATACATATACACACATACATACGCTCTGCATCTCCTCCACGTCATCATCACATCTCAACACCAGAGAATGCAGACTTTTACATGTAGACAAGATTCCATGTGTTAGCTACAACTTCTTGTTCAACAAACAATGCATGTATGTAGCCCATCTATCATCATAGTGCCAGGGAAATACCCTCGTCATATTAGACATCAATCAATCACTAAATCACATCACATCACAACACAATACAAATACAACTCTTCTTCTTCTTCTTCTTCTTCTTCTTCTTCTCCTTCTTCTCCTTCTTCTTCTTCTTCTTAACATGCATTCTCATTCATTCACTGCATCATGGCAACTACTGCTGCTACCAATATCTCATCATCGTCATGCCTCCCCAATTACCCCCATGTCTGCACTCATCCAGAACCCTCCAAAGACCCTGTTCGTGCAGTATCTTGCCGTGAAGAAAAAAAACGCTAAATCCGTCTCTCATAATGACTATATCATCCCATGCTCATTCTTCGGCCCTTTCCTTGCTACAACCTTTCCTTAGTTGTACAGGTCCTCGTCCTCGCCACCAGCACCAAATGTGTTCTGGTCGCCACCAGCCGCGGCGTTCTCCGCGTCAGGGAAGCGGAAGAAGCTGGAGCCGCCCGAGTTCTTCATTGATTGCGCAAAGGCCTCGTACCGGCGGATCTCGACATCGGTCACCGAACGACGGGCAGAACGCATAGCCTCCTCAAAGTGCGCCTTGGTCAGCACAGGTACTGGGTCCTCCTCGTCAACCTCCATGTCGACATCCTCGCCAGCAGCCTCACGAGCCTTGCGACGCTCAATGTCAATCGCAATCGACTGCTTGATCGCCAGCTTGACGGCACGCTGGGTGACGAAACCAAGATCGGCACCAGAGAATCCGTGTGTGTTCTGTGCAATGAAGTCGATGTCAACATCATCAGCCACAGGTGTCTTGCGGAGCTGAGCCTTGATGATGCTGACACGTGACGCCAGATCAGGCAGAGGAACGTAGACAAGTGTGTCAAGACGACCAGGACGGCACAGTGCGTTATCGAGCTGCTCCGGTCGGTTGGTAGCACCAATGACGAAGACGTTCTTCTTTGATGTCATACCGTCCATCTCAGTCAGAAGCTGGTTGACAACACGGTCCGAAGCACCACCAGCATCGCCTTGAGATCCACCACGGGACTTGGCAATGGAGTCTAACTCATCAAGGAAGACAACGCAAGGTGCGGCAGCACGAGCCTTGTCGAAGATGTCACGGATGTTGCTCTCAGACTCACCGAACCACATGGAGAGCAATTCGGGTCCCTTGATAGAGATGAAGTTGGCCGCACACTCGTTGGCGACAGCCTTGGCCAGGAGTGTCTTACCAGTACCAGGAGGACCGTAGAAGAGCACACCTCGTGACGGGGACATGCCAAACTTGAGGAACTTGTCAGGGTGGTCAACAGGATATTGCACGGACTCAATGAGCTCGCGCTTGACATCCTCCAAACCACCAATGTCCTCCCACCGGACGTTGGGCACCTCAACAACAGCGACCTCACGGAGAGCTGATGGGTTGGATACGCCGAGAGCGAAGCGGAAGTTCTCCATGGTGACACCGAGCGAGTCGAGCACTTCGGCATCGATGGTGTCCTCATCAAGATCGATCAAATCCATCTTCTCACGAATCTGCTGCATGGCAGCCTCAGAGCACAGCGATGCCAAATCCGAACCGACATAACCGTGGGTCTCAGCAGCGATGGTCTGTAGATCGACATCGTCGGCGAGCTTCATGTTCTTGGTGTGAATCTGCATGATCTCGAGACGGCCGGTGGGGTCAGGAATACCGATGTCGACCTCACGGTCGAAACGACCGAAACGGCGGAGAGCAGGATCAATCGAGTTGGGACGGTTGGTGGCGGCCATGACGACAACATTGGAGCGAGCTTTCATGCCGTCCATGAGGGTAAGCAGTTGAGAGACAACACGGCGCTCAACTTCACCGTTGGTCTTCTCACGCTTGGGCGCGATCGAATCGATTTCATCAATGAAGATGATGGCGGGCGAGTTCTTCTCGGCTTCCTCGAATGCCTTGCGCAAATTTGACTCTGATTCACCAGCCATCTTGGACATGATCTCGGGACCGTTGATTAGGAAGAAGAAGGCACCAGTCTCGTTTGCAACGGCACGAGCCATCAGTGTCTTACCGGTACCGGGAGGGCCGTACATGAGAATACCACGTGGGGGCTTGATACCGATCGACTTGAAGAGCTGAGGATGCCGCAGTGGCAGCTCAACCAATTCTCGGATCTGTGCCATCTGCTTTCGGCAGCCACCAATGTCATCGTAGCCGACCTCGTTGAGGTTGCCCTCTTCATCTTCACGCTGGATAGGCTCGCCTTCACAGTGAATGACGGTATCTTGTGCAACGATACCAAACTCTGGTGGGTCGACTTCAACGACCTTGAACTCGACTTGTCGCATACCACCGCGGGCTGTGAAGGTGTCGCCTTGGCGGACCGGTCGGTAGGCTTCGCGGAAGTATGGCGCAAGGAAAACATCAAAGAGCGAACCGGTGATACCCTCGACTGTGTCGGCGATGGGGAGGACTGCAATGCGCTTGGCCTGTGATAGAAGTCAGAATTGAGCAGAAATCGCAGGTGTAATAATGACACATACATATTTGATGTCGGGGCACGGGTGGATGGTGATAACATCGCCGTGCTTGACCCGCAAGTTGTGGCGAACAACACGGTTTATCCGCGCTGAGCCGTCATCGAGATCGTCATCAGCCAGCACGATAAGGACGGTGTCCTTTCGCTTCTTGCCCTTTACCAGGACTGTGTCACCGCGGAAGAGCTGGAGGGTTTCCATGGTGTTGTTTGAGAGGGCAATGATAGAGTTGTCATCGTTGACGGCATCGGTAACGCTACAGAAGTCAGTATCAACTCGGAGTTTCATTTCCAGATGTACTCACATCAGCGAGTTTGGCTTCTTCTTCTTCTTGAGAATGGCGGTCGCGGTCTCATCGTTCTGTGGCGGGTTAGCGGGGCCGTCGCATCGAAAGCATTGCTCAGTGCCTACCTCCTTGGGCTCAGCGCCGTCCGGGTTTCTATCAAGATGTAAGTATGCTATCAATTCTAAAGCCGGTGGCAATCAACTCACTTTGACAGATCCGGCTTCGGCTTCGTGTGGTCTGGTTCAGCCGACATGTTGCTGATGTGTCTATGTGATGTGCTGCGGGATTCGGGATTCAGGTACAAAGAGTGACAGTTGACGCAGAAACGCAGGTGTGAAGGGTATCGGTGGGGTGGGGGGGGGGTTAGATGGAGTTTAAACGACCTTCTATGCCTGGGGCGTGGTGGTTTAAGTAAGTTGGAGCTTGAACAGTCGGTGATCTCACTGTTAGAGCTAGCTCGATGTTGCCTTAAGGTCCGTGCTCGGTCCGCAACGCCATTGGAAGTTGCTGGAACCGCTTAGACAAGCAAAACTAAGTACTAAGAAACACTGTGTCCCCTTCACCGCGAGCCGTATCCCATCGCCACCTACAGACGCCGGCTTGGCCAATCATTGTCTCATGGGTACCAATACTAACCGTACCCAACTGAGACTGGCTTTGCTACGCGTCCTCCTGGAGCCTGCTACAGCCTCACTTACGCCACCATAGGAACGCCAAGAGAGATATCCATATCAGTTCTTTGGGTACTTACGATAAGTAAATCTGGCCCGAACCCGCCGGCGGAGTATAACAGCTTGACATGCCCTCACTGTCTCTTGCTCTCTCTGGGTATTAATAACACTAATGGCCGACGTGGCTCCAGCAAAAGCAAAGTGCGGTGGTTTCACGTTGAGATGGGGGCCTTCATGTATCGATAAGGCATATTGCCCGAAGCCCCAATTTCGTATAGTACAATGTCCGCCGGCTGGTATGCGACAGTAGCTATTCGTTTTTATCAGTTCAGCAGCACGTATGTCCTACCAAAATGGAAGAATAAAAGACCTATGCCGCTATGAACCATTTTCGAGATATGAAAGTACTGCTCGTCAATCCTTAATCAAGTGCAAATGTTCATAGCTTGCCCATGAAGCTCAAAACAGTGAATGACTACAACTACACAAAACCCATTTCATAAGTGAAGGGTTACATCACAGCCAGCAAAGCAAGAAGACACTATCAATTCACAGGGTAAAATATTAAATTTCCTGTAAAATCTCTCATCTTGAAAGCATAGACCTACAGCTCTCATCTTATCATGACTATTCCCCATAGTTTAGCAATAAAGCCAGCTCTCTCATATGCTCGTCAAGGACTTCCAAGTCCTCTTCTTTCGCCCTTGGATCTGCAGCCTGACGTCGTCTCAGGCCCCGCATGGCACCCCTGACAATTCGCAATCGAGTCTTCTGAGCTATGTAATTTGCCACTTCTTTTCTCATCATGCGCTTTAACCCCTCAATATCCTGGTCATGTGAGCGGTACTATCGCCGTTCAGCGAGCCATTGGTTCGTCTCCGTCCAGGCTTGCTTGGTGGCTTCTGGAATTGTCGTGCTGCTTGCACTGTTGACTCCAGCATAGATGGCATCCCACATAGAGAATGCCGTCGTGAGGTCTTCAACAAAGTTGAGCGATTGTGGGAAGTAGCGTGTTGATGCTGTTTCAATTACGCGGGCTTTGGTTTCCGCAGCGGTGGGGTCGGCGTCGTTACTAAGTAACTCATCAAGATAGGATTTGACGGCAATACTCAGTGCGCAGTTGTTCGGTAAAAGGAACGGGAGTCTGATGAATTTCAGTATGTTACAGGAGACGAAAAATCTCCAAAGTTACTTACTTCATAGCGACTGATGTAATATCAACGTGCCGATTGGCACAGCCAGTCAAAAACATGTGTGTACACGCCACTTCGACAAGTTCCCGCAGAGTCTGACGGACAACATTGATAATGGAGTTATATCCGAGAAGATGTTGGCTAAGAGGACCAGTGAAGCCAATCGGTCGGTGGTGCAAAATACCAAGGCCGGCAACGCGAGATACTAGCATGTTCGAGTTTTTGTCCTTTGCTGTGGGGTTGTTAGCTACGTGAACCTGTCTGGATCCAAAACTGTTGACTTACTGCTACCGCGCATTGGTGCGCCGTTGTATGTAGGGAACATGTTGATATCTGAAGTCAAGAGACCCATGCGGATCAGCTCGACTGCCAGCACCGCTGCCTCTTCATGCTCTGGCTTGCCCTTGAGTCCAGAGATAACAGCAGCAAGAACCTTGCCCCATTGGGTCAAGTTGTGCGTCTTTTGATCCACGTACTCACGTAAAGCGAGGAAGCGCCATATTGAGTTGTAAAGGATCTCAGTAGAAGACGCGAGTGGATTTTTGTGTTCTTTCTTATATATGGTCTTGGCAGCGAAATCAGCATCTTGCAAAGACAAGATGGCTGCTCCAAGGATTCCACAATCCTGGTGTTCATGTCAATACCAGATGAAAGCTAGTTAGGGTAGCTGCTTACCTTGTATTTTCCAACGGCGTCTTTGAAGGTGGATTCCTTGACATTCCATGTGTCGACAATGGAGGGAGCTTGTGCTTCTGACGGCCTCTCGACGTGAATAGTGGTGGATGTCAGTTTCCTATTCGAATCCGGGGGCGAAAACCAGTTTGTCTGCTCCAGATTGTTGTGTCGATACCAGTTGTGCAGAGAGCTGGAAAGCAGGTTTATGACCGATGTCCGTAGTGGGATTAGTTTCGAGCTCACGAGATTCCTGTATTCCGGCGAGTCTCCTCCATCCATAGGAGGAACTTCGAATATCTCGCCAGTGGTACGCCACTGAAGGATTCGTGGACTGATGAGGCCCTTTGACATGTAGTGTAGGATCTCATCTGGCAGCCTGCGTCCCAAGTACTCGACTGCATCATTTGGTATAGAGGCCGGGTTCTGGGGCTCAATCTTTCCGTCTTCTGTGTAGACAGGGTGGTTCTTGACAGCCAGGCGTGCCTTTTGGTACCTAGTCACATACTCCTTCCCAGAGGGTGGGACATCGTTGTTGCTAACGACAACGGAGTAGCCTGACTGGCCGTTGCTCATAATCATCTTAATGGCACTATAAGGCTTCAAAAGCTCTGCCCTGTTTGGCGCATCCAATATAGGAAGTGTAGGGAGGAATGGTGTTCCAGCCAATATGCAAGTGTCGAGAAAGATGTCGTCGGAAATCTGAGGAGCGCTGACGAACTTGGACAAATCGGCTATACATTTTTCTCGTCGTATGAAGCTGAATTGGCGCGCCTCAAAGTCCCATGATGTGATGAGTCGGGTGGCCTCGAAGATGAGGGTGTCTGACGAAGCGGCGATGGCGTGGACGTATTCGGTCTTCTCAAGATATGCCAGCTGTACACTGTTAGGCCTTGCTGTCACATCTGTGTTGTGTCTGTTACCTGAGCCCAGGCACTGTAAGGTGCAACCGTCCAGCGAGTCTTTTGTTCGCTAAGGATAGATTGCAATGCGCGAAAGAGGTCTTCTGGTGTGACGTATGCTACAAATAGTCAGTACCGTATGCCAACTAGGTCTTCTCCGAATATCATACTTGACTCTCCAAACCGAGCGACTGAAGCCTCAGCCTGATGACTGTCGTACAAATTCCATGCATCTGCATTCACCGTCGCCTCGGCGGTCTTGTGCCCGAATGGGTTTCCTTGCTTTGTAATGTCCAACCCACTAAATACAAAGTACGGTTCAATCTCGAAACTGCGGAAAGCGGCTAGATCTTCCTCAATGTGTTGCGCCAATGCCAGTGGGAGACCTCCAAGTGCGGGGACGAGGGGCTCCTTTGCGCGGGGGTGGTTGAGAATACGCTGGTTGAGATACTCGGCGGCTTCAATGCCTACGCGACAGCCGCGCAGCTGCTCGAGCTCGCCCGTCTCGCTGAAGGCGGCCGTCCATTGCACAAAGTCGCGGATCATGGCGCCAGTCGCGTGTGTGGCTCGCCAGATAGGTGGTGGGAATGAGGGGTGGAATTAGCGAAAAGGTGGTCTAATATAAGTTTGGAAATGATACCGTGGTACTAGTGTGGTAGGACTATGGCCAGGGCAACCGTGGATGAATTGGAAGTGTTTGCGGGGTGCTTGTGTAGGGAAATTGGGAGCTCCGACGCAGCTCCACGTCTTGGCGTGTAACGTGGGAACTTTGGAATCCCTGATCAGCCGGGCGCTAGTTCAGGTACAGCGCCGCACTGCTACGCGAGTGCATGGCGTATGGAGGTGTAGTCAATGAGCGGGCGGCATAGTTCAGCTCGGAAATCTTAAACTTGGAAATTACAAGCATTGCGTCCTCTCTGCGTAGACTCCGTTTAGTGCATCAGCTATTGGAATACGAACATTGCCCCTCACTTGCGTTATCTAATATAGTACTTAACCTTTGTTCTTTCAATCTCCTATACGAACTTTCTACAAAATGTCTAGCATCGAGCACGGCCAGGATCCTATCCCAGTCATTGATATATCAAATCCATCTGAGGCAATAGCCCAGCAAGTTCTCGATGCAGCATCCAAGCACGGCTTTCTCTACATCAAGAATGATGGTGTGACCATCCCGCCTCAAGACATAGATGATATGTTCAAAATTGTAGGTCCAACAATCACATCACCAAATAAACAACCAGAACTGACCATATCAGAGCAAACAATTCTTCGCCTCCCCCAAGGAGCAGAAAGCCGAATACGCAATCCACTCAGACAAAGCCGGCGGCATAAACCGCGGCTGGGTATCCATGCAAGGTGAATCGCTCGATCCCCAAGGCCAAAAGGTAATAGTAGCCACCCAGATCCCCCACTCACCTCCACTCTCCTAACAAAAAAAACCCCTTCCAGCAAGGTGACCCAAAAGAAGCCTTCAATATCGCCCCACCCCAACCAACCCTCCAGCCTCTACCCTCCCCCCTCTCCTCCTCCACACCCCTAATATCCCGCTTCCAAACCTCCTGCCACACCCTCTGCACGCACATCCTCTCTCTCCTCTCCACGGCCCTCAAAATCTCCGAGAAAGACTACTTCAGCACCCGCCACGACCAATCTCGCGGCCCCTCAGGTACCATCTTCCGTCTACTGTACTACCCCAAGACATCATCTACGGCAACAACCGACGAAACCAGCATCCGCGCAGGCGCGCACTCAGATTACGGGAGTGTCACGCTGCTATTCCGGCTCCCGGGGCAGGCAGGGTTGGAGCTGCTAACGAATAACGGGGAAAGCTGGGTTCCCGTGCTGGTGAATCCCGATCCGGATGCTCTTGAGCATCCGCCTATTCTAGTTAATATCGGGGATTTGCTGTGCTATTGGACGAATGGGCTGCTCAAGTCGACGGTGCATCGTGTGACGTTTGGGGGTGGTGAGGAGAGGTATAGCATGGCGTATTTTTGTCATCCACTTGATGATGTGCGTTTGGAGGCTGTGCCTAGTGCGCTGATTGAGGATTTTGGGCGTGAGGGGAAGGGGGAGACGGAGTTGAGAAGTCAGAGGCGGAGATTGGGGTTGAGTGAGGAGGGGGAGGATGAGGTTATTACTGCCAAGGGGCATTTGGAGAGGAGGCTGAAGGTTACGTATGGGATTTAAGGTTAGGGATGCGAATGTTGTAAGAGAATAGAGTGATGGTAAGTCATTGTGATGTCCAAAGGCTATCTTTTCTATAAGCATTTTTACCCAAAACACCCTCGCTATGCGCTCATTTCATGCTAATTTGATGCCGTGAATCCAGAATGCTCCGCATACATATACAAACCACATATGCACATTTCACATGTTTCATCCTCTCCTCTTCCTCCCCGCTCTGCCTAGTAGCTCTTCACCGCCAACGTCTCTTACAACACCGATTTCCTCAACAGCAATGCTTTTCTCTTGCACAGTACCACCGAGTTTCCGAATCATCTGCTCTCTTGCTTTGGCCGCACCTGGCGAGTCCCAACCCAATGTCTGACTGGGCTGATATTCCTCTATCACTACAGTGTTCTCGTTGTCATCATCTGCAAGTATATCACCTGAGCTTTCCCCGCCCGACGCATTGGAACGTGTCGATGTTGCCCGGCCGAGCTGACGCCGTATGCGTGTTTTTGACGTAGCCTGATCGCTAGGACCAGGTGCAGTCTTACGATTGGCACGTAGTTGCGCTAGAATAGATGAGTAGTCTTTCTCTTCTGCTGTTTCTCGAGGCTTGGACGCTTCTTGCGGGGCTAGCGGCTCGGTATCTGGCGGAATGACAGCATCCGGTCCAGGTTCCGAGTCTAAGGGTCTGGTGACTGTGGTTTGATTGTTTTTGGATTTGCGGGACACAGGGGCAATAAGTGACTCCGCAGACGAGCTTCTTGCCCGTGAGAAAGTATATGAATTATTTGATGGGGTTGATGGTCGGTGTGGAGAGGCAACATTGATTGCCTGATGGGGATGCGATGCTCCGCCATCATATCCGCTGATGATTGGATCATTGTCTTGATTTATGTTATTGCTGTCTTTACTGCGAGGGGCAGACTTGTTAGCTGTTACTGGAAAGGTTGCATCGGCGGACGGTGCAAGATTAAGCCCGCCAGGCCGTTGAGGTATTTGTTGCGGTGGCTGTCTCGACGCGACGTTCGCAGTCTGCGCTTTCTGATGAGGCTTAGATGGGCCCTCGGGGAGTGGCTCAGTATCTACGTTTGCTTGTGGCTGAGGCTTTTGCTTTGGATCCTGCGGTGGTGGCTGAGTCGTTTTATTCAATTGATATTCGTCATATGGTTGCAATCGTCCGCTGCGCAGACATGCCCACAGCCAAGTGACGTGAACAGCTGGTATGCGCTTGCTCGTCGCAAATTTGATTTTTGGTGTGTTTACAGTGGGAGGGTTGCAGATCACTACTGATGTCTTTACCGATAATTGTTCATCGTACGTGGCGCCTGCCCAATGAGTCAGATCGCTGCAGTAGGTGCGGGTTTATTCGAACATTCACATACCCATAAGTGTGACGACTTTAGTCACATGCAGCAATTCGATGCCGGAAAACCCCGTGGAGTTGATGATCAAGCCGGAGAACCCTGACGACGTCAGAATCAATAAGGGATTTGTGGGCCACAAACATACCACTAATGCTTAGTCTTTCAAAAGGTCGGCTTAAGACGTCGTCTGCAGGATCAACGAGGCGCTTGCCATACAGGCAACGCTCGACCCACCAATTGGTGACCAAGCTTACATATGATCCGGCATGGGCCGGAAATGCTGTCAGATCAATCTCAGCATCATGCGGTATCACGACATAGCTTTGTTTGAGTTGATCCAATGAGAAATTGTTGAGGTCAATGACGCGGATGACTCGCGCACCATTACTCTCAAGATGTTGCCGCAAGATGCTTGTCTACCAGCATGTCAGCAGGGTCTAGAGCGCACGGGTGGGGAATGTTGGACCTTTTCTACATCAAATCCATGTGGGCAAATGAGGCGCCCTTGGAAAATGCCATTATATCCGGAATCATTGTCAGGCTGCAGAGGCAGGGATGCTTGCTGGGCATCTGCAGGGTCTCGAGGCTTCGACTCGGCAGGCGCATCATGTGCCAGGGTAGACGCATCTTTGCCAGGCGACACGGGTGTATGTGTGCGTGTACTTGCTCGCGTGCTTTGTTGCTTAGCAAGAATGTCCTCAGTCCACTCGTCCTCGTCAATCGGTCTCTCGAAGCTTGGCGCAGTAATGCCCGCCCATAGAGCATCACTCTGACTGCCTAGCTTTGTGCTCGCTGAACGTCGTAGCTTTCTTCGAAATGGATTGAGTGCTTGGCTCGGTTCGGCGTCTCGTGTGCGTTTGCCCATGGCGGGCGACATGGGCTGTCTGCGGTCCCAGGCGCCCTGGCCCCGCTCTTCGACGGGCATGGTTGGGTTGTACAGGGACTCGTCGAGCGCCATGCCTCTGTCGAGGCTCTGCTCCAGCCATTCGAGGGATACAATCTTCATTCTCCAATTCAGAGCGTGCTCGTATTTCTTGCCCGATGGCGTGGCGGCGATGAGATGGGTGACGGATTTGGTGAGGTCGCCATGGTATTCAGCGCCATTCGCGTCGACTGTCTCCTGGATACTCCGCCGTTGTTCAGCTATTGGGGGTCAGCGTGGGATAGTTGCACGTGTATGTGGGGGTGGTGCTGTACGGTTGTCGAAGCCAGTGAGGCATATCCTAAGACCAAAAAAAGTAGGCATGCGATATTCCTTTTCCAGTGCTGCCACATCCAGATCGTCGTCTCCACTCATCCAGACCTCGCGGAGAGCCTCGAGCCATGTGGGGGAGAGAACCTTGACGTCGTCGCGGGATTTTGCGACATAGCGATATTTGGCGCTGTCGATGCTGCCGACGATGAGGTGGGTAACATCCGAAGTGAGGTCAAGCTTGATGGTCGCGCCCATCTGCGCGCCAATGGCTGCGAGTTGGGACTGCACAGGGACATGGGGTTAGCAGGTGTGATAGAGAAAACAGGGCGGTGGTGGGCATACGCGCTGCTCGGGGGGAATCGAGGTGCAGCAGAGGATGGCCCCAGCCAGGGGCAGTTGGCTTGTCCCTGCATCGTGTAAGTCCATGTGGGCGAGCAATGTATGGGAGCGCCAAACGCACCATAGGCTCCATCTGTTGCGTCCATCACCGTCGTGGCGACATGCGCAGGTCACAGTGTTGTGTGGAAGTGAAGCGCCGAACGAGCAGCGTGTCCGAGCTAAGCCCGATTGCAGTGCGCGGGCGCGTTGCGGGGAAGCCTGGCAAAGACGAAGTCACGTGGCCCAGCCCTGGACTTGTCGGTCAGAGTGAGAGAATTCTCCTGGCCTTGGCGGGCTCTCGCCTCGTCTCGCGTCGGCGCCATCTCGCTGCTCTTTCCGCTCTGTCTCGAGCGATCTTCCCCAGGCGATCCATACACAGTAAGTGGCCACGCAAATGCAAGAGCAAGAAAAAAAAGCTTTTCCTCTGCCGGGTATCCACCCAGACCCCCAAACCTTGATCCGACTGTTCCAGGGATGGCATCATGACGAACCGCCCTGTTCCTGAGATCGCACATTTGGGGCGACGAGTTGGCAGTGACCTGCTCTGCTGCCGATAGCGCAACCTGCCTCCAGATTCAGCACCCCCAGACGGCGATCAGTACTGGATTGAGGCATACACTTTTCTTTTCGACACCCATGCCATGGTGGGACGCATGCCGCTGATGCCCTGCCAATACTGCGTCAACTGCCCCCGGGTCCAGGCTACGGTGCAAGCGCCTACTGCTGGGCACGGGGCACGCGGAGTACGAGTTTTGTCGGTTGCATGAGATGGTCGCAGTCGTTGGTTTGTCTGGCGGGCTTATGGCAGCAACACTAGGTATAGTTATACATACTACTGTACGTGAACAGACTGCTGCTCGTCGCATGGAGGCCGTCAGACTGGCACCGCGCGTTGCCCAAGCACATAATGACCATGCCCAGGCTCGCCCAGATGGAAGTGTAGGCAATGCGGGCACTGCCATCTTGTCTCCCATCAGCTGCGCGTGAATGTCTGGTTGTCTGCGTCCATGTCACGACTGCGTGCAACCTTGGCGGGTAGACCAAGGTCATGATCCGTCGATCTCAGTACCTTGCCGGGTGAGCCGCCGGCGTCGGTCGCTATCCGGTATACGGTCTAGAAGCAGATGATAGCAGTTCAGAAACCAACGCTTGCTGCTTGTCTCCAGCGCCTTGCAATCTCTGGATGCCAGCCATGATGTCATGCATCCGAGCCTCCGTCCACGCAAGCTTACTACACCTCATTTAATCCCATGCTTAGTCGATCTCCGCAGCTAGACGACTGTCCGACTCACTTGTGTCGCTCCTTGACGCGCAAATTACTCTACTACTACTACCTACATACTATCCCTCCCTCGCCCACGCAGTCGTGCCGCTGCAGAGCCCAGCTGCGCACCCCTTCATCCTCGGCCTGCCTAGTGCCGCGACCCCCGCCGAGCAACAGCACACTGAGGAGTCCGCGTCATCCAGTTCCCTGCACTTGCGCCCCGGCATACTTTCGCCGTCTGTCCTGGCTTAGTCTGACATGCCCGCCCGTAAAATGAATGCATGCTAGTTTGGGCACACCTCAAAACACTCCATGTCCCTGTCGCCCGCACCATTATTCACCTGACAAAACACTCGTCTTTACCGACAGCGCAGACGCTCAGTAATAGGACAAACCCGCTCCCTTCCGACTCCCCGGCAACCACACCGCTCCACATTATTATAGCGGCCTGTCGTGCGGATCCCATCCCATTTACACATCACTATGCTCACCGTAGTATCTTGATACCTTGATCCTGCCCGTAAGTCCTCGCCTCATTTCCCCTTCACTGCACCCGGACCCTTTGTCTCCGTAGCGCCCAACCCACAACCTCCTTACCAAAAGCATCGACAAGGACCATGGTTGGGTTGCCTTGACCAAACACCTCTTTGTGTCCCGTTCATGACTCGGAACTATCCTGTTCCTCAAGCTCTTGTATATTCTTGTCCTTTACACACATACACATACATCTACGCTCTATAAGACAACGCTCGCCGCATGCATCGCCTCATCGCTTCGTTTACCTGCAATTGACACACATACTAACCTATCATCGACATGCCAGAGTACCAACCTGTATACTCTGATCGTGGTCGTTTACGTTATATTCCCGACCATCTAGAAGACCCAATAAGAACAAATCGCGGCACATTCCAAGGTCGCAATCGTCGACCACATCGCATTCACATCGCTCACGTAGGACCTGATCCCCTACTTCGCATTCAGCGACGACGAACGACTGAGAAGTCGTACATCACCGAAAAACTGGCGATCCATCACGAAGGCGCTAAACGGTTCTTCCGCTCTCTGCTTGATAACCGCCTCTCTTCCAAACCCGAAACTGCAGACCTTCCTACCCCACGCTCATCAACGAGTGGCTCTAGCAGCAACCGCAGCTCCATTACCTCAATTCCAGAGCCACGCTTCCGCGACATGAGGTCGCTCACGAGAAACTCCCCCAGTGACGCCGTCGGCGCAATTGGTGGGACATTGGCTGCAACCGGCATATCAAGACCCTCGACAGAGTCACATTGGTCCTCTGGGCGCTCATCTACCAAGAGCGCAATAAGCAGCGTGAAGCCCGTGCCCGAAGAAAAACCAATAGCTTCTGGTGGTGGCTTGAGCGTCAATGTGCAGCTCACCGAACCAGTTTTGTTTCTTCGGGGCTTTGAGCAGGCCGAGAACGGTGAGCGCAACACTGCAATGCTGCGCGGTACCCTGTGCCTGAAGATCACCAAATCAGCGAAACTAAAGGCCGTCACTTTGAAATTCCGGGGCAAGGCAACCACGAAATGGCCAGAAGGTTAACTACGCCCCCTCATTGTGCTCATTACAATACTGACTATCAATAGGGATTCCCCCAAAGAAGACTGAATTTGAAGAGGTGGACACCTTGATGAGCCATACCTGGCCGTTCTTCAACTCCCAATTCCCGACGGCAGAAAATGGCACTGGTGCAGATCATGTGGAACTATACAAGAGTTCCGGTGGCTTGACCGGCTCGCCCAACAATTCCTCATTGAACCTCACGACAAAAGAAGCAAAACGGCTATCGCTGCAAGTTAACCAATCCCGAAGCTTCGGCAAGGGTGACACCCCTGGTGGTGGCCCTTCGGTAGCACAGAAAGGTTACAGAACCTTTAGTCCTGGCGAGTACATGTACAACTTTGAGCTACCGCTAGACAGCCACCTTCCCGAGACCATTGACGTCGACCTTGGTTCAGTCAAGTACGAGCTTGAAGCCACTGTCGAGCGTGCCGGGGCTTTCCGCACCAATCTCGTTGGTACCAAGGAAGTCACACTCATCCGTGCACCCTCAGAAGGATCGCTGGAGCAAGTGGAGCCCATTGCAATCAGCCGCAGCTGGGAAGATCAACTTCACTATGACATTGTCATCTCGGGGAAATCATTCCCGCTCGGGGCACAAGTTCCAATTGCTTTTAAGCTGACCCCACTCGCCAAGGTCCAATGCCATCGGATAAAGGTGTTTGTCACTGAGAATGTCGAGTACTTTTGCAACAATAAGCGAGTACATCGGATGGAACCAGTGCGCAAGGTACAACTATTCGAAAAACGTGCAGATGGCCCGCCGACGAGCACTTTCCCTGGCAGTACCATGCGGATAGTATCTGGAGGTGGTGTCCCATATGACCAGCGTGCAGCAGCTTCTCGTGGCGAAGATGTATCTGTAGAAGACCCTACCAATCTGCTGGGTAATCTCAGCGCCGACTCAAACATTGGTCCGACCGAAATGGAGTTCAATGTGCAATTGCCAAGCTGTCACAACCTGCGAGAGAAGGACAAGTCGTCAAGGTTACACTTTGACACGACGTACCAGAACATCCAGGTGCATCATTGGATAAAGGTAAGTCTACACTAAAGGGATTGCTGTTACATATGCTAACAGTCTCTTAGCTCGTCATGCGCCTTTCGAAACCGGACGCAAATGATCCGTCAAAACGACGACACTTTGAAATCTCGATTGATTCACCATTCCACATCCTTTCATGTCAAGCTACGCAAGCAAACATAGCACTGCCAGCTTATTCATCACCTGAACCTTTGATGAGTGGAGCGCGGGTGCCTGAGTGCGGATGTCCCGACGCACCATCTCGCCGCCCATCTCCACCAGGCTTTGTACCAACCTTGGGCAGTATGGGTCGGCCAAGAGGCCATACCGAACCACCGTTACCATCACCGGCATCAGGGATCACTCGGCCGCAGGCAGCACATATCGGCGGACCAAACGACTCTACCGTCCCACGACCGATGCATCTCTTGCGTGTACCCTCGTTCAACCCACCGGCCTTCTCCGAAATCGAGCCGCCGCCACCACTAGAGACGCCGCCGCCGCTGTACGAAACGATCGCATCACCTACGAACGGGTTGGCAGATTACTTCTCGCGGTTGTCAGACGCATACGACTCTGATAGCGATCCTGAGCGCCGTGACCGGGCGCGTGTCGAAATACCCTTAACGCCAGGGGGCCGTGCGAACCGGAGCATGGATGAAAGGAGAACATGGCTCCCAGTCGGTCATTGAGCAACAACGACTGAGACTTATGATGTCACGCGTAACGCATTTTTTTACGTTCATGCACATTACTTATATTGGACGATTATTTCTCTCAGTACAGTTTTAGACATGGTCTGTGCGTATGACCTTATATCTGGGTATGGGCGAATTTTGGAATTTTGTTTTGCTGCGACTACGGGCACATGAGGCGAAAAAGGCATGTTTTGCATATTCCCTATGTTAGATTTATTTCATGTTTGTCCATTTCCTTACGAGGTTGGAAGTTTGCAGCCCCCAGGCGTTTAGTGGACTACTGGGATGATCCTTTTGTCTGGTGTGTTTCATAATGGTTAGCATTGGGCTTGCTTTTTTGTTATTGTTGTTGTTGTTGGCAACATCGTCGGGCTTGGTCATTGGGCTCTTGCAAAGCCCTGCCGCCCCGCTTCATTTTTTTCCCGTCGCCCACCGTACTTATCTCATCGACCAAGGCTGGTTGTAAATATTTTCTTCCAATCATTATACGAATCCTGCCGCAAAGCAAGCGTTCCCCCACTTGACCCCTCCCTGACGTGTGATCATCTGCTCGCCAAAGCTTGTAGTAGGACATACTATGTACGATGGAGAGTGGTGGTTCCTGTTCGGTCCGATAGGGGAGATAGATGAGAGCAAAAAAACCGGTGTACATCATACACCTTGCTGGAGATGACGTATACATACATACATCTTCCGCTCGCAAATGGGATATTTACATGTCAGCTTGGTAAAAGCTATGTATCATAGTCGTGTTGATCAATGGGCTTGATAGGCGCCACATGTTGTATAGATGAGACGTGTTTCCTTGTACATGCACATACATAACAGGACGTACACGCGCTTGGCTGTGCAGCAACTGTACACACCTCCATCTTGTTGTCTTCTTTGGAGTTTGACGTTTCTTCCTTTCGACTACATGCCATGTACGCATCCACAGGTGTATATACTCGCTCAACTATGTAGCACACCACCTGTAGTACTTGCATCAACAAACAGTGCACGTGTTTTTCCCAGTACTCGCCAAGTACCCGCATACGAGGATTTATTTGGCCATTTTCCCGATGTCTTACGGCAAAGGCTAGCATGCCCCTAGGGTGGATGGTTGGCAGCCTTTCTTGCATATTCCTTGTGTTGTAGCTGGCAATACATGACTAGACAATCAAACTAAAGGACGGTGTTGTAATTATAGGTACGCAGTACTGGTGTGTACTATGTACATATACATCGTGGCTTGTCACTGGTGTGGCTTGGTGTTTGTCCCATCGCAGCCGCCCCACTTGGATGGGATATCTAAGAATCACCTGCATTCTTAGCTGCCACTCTTAGATCTGAGCTTATCGCGGCTATACCGCTCTTCAGACTGGGAATGCATGGCCTACACTGGCGACTAGTACCTGGACGGCGTCGCCGTCAGTTTGTATGGCGTTGAGCAGCTCAGCGGTCAAGGGCAAGACGCGAGTGCGCGAGTCGTGTGTTACCGGTAACCACGGGCCAAGCATCGTTGCTGACTGCGCTGATCGGCTTTGATGTTGATAGAGTGCAGGGCAGCGCATCTCAAGACATCATGTGATAGGCGGCGTGCAGGAGTCTTTGTCAGGTGGCCCTGCACACTGCAGATTCGATAAAGATGCGTGCGATCTGGACCGACAGGCCCCAAAGAAAAGCAACAACAAGCACAGTGATACGAATGGGTTCAAAAGGCTTCGGGACTCGGGCACCACAGCTGGCACGGCCGTTGATATAACGGCAGTTCTCTCGGGCAATTGTCGGCATCCTGTCTCTACCAAAACGTTGAGGCTCGCGCATCTGTGGCGTAGGATAGGCGACCTTCAACCTCCCCCGGACCAGTCAACGTCATTGCCAAGTGACCAAGCACTTTAGTTTCGCAGAACGGCCATCACATTATAGCCGTTGTGTCATTTGCTCATCGCGCTCGTCAAGCTGAATTGCCACAACAAACTTCTGGCAACACGCAATTGCCAGACGCCCATCGAGCAGCACCGCATTGCTTGTACCATCCGCACGCACCAAGAGCGAGGTGAGCGTGAAGGATCGTTGATACCCGACCACCAGGCGCGCGTCCCATCCAAGCTTTCGGCTGGCACTGCCGAGACTAATACTGTGTCTGCACACCTTAGGCTTGAGATTTCTTGATTTGGGTCCAAGACTTTTCTGCTCTGACCCGTCAAAACAATAGCCACGCCTTTTGTCGCTTTCCCAAGGCCGACTTGCGCTGCGTCCCCAGCTTCATACCACCACGCCAAACGGCATTCTCGATCCACCGCATCAAAGGACCGGCGTCTGGGCGGATCCTCAAGTACATGCATTCGACTTCGGATCCATCTTTTTCCTACCTTGGCCGACCTTTTCGACAACACGGCCCCGGCTCCTCGCTCCTCCCCACATAACGAACCTTTTGCCCGCGCACCGCGCTCGTACCTACACCGCTATACTCGGGTAGACACAATAAGAAGCTCGGAAAAAGCAAGGCTAATCGCACTTCATCATGGCTTGGGATCACCTATCCATCACCAAGCCGCATCTGGTGTACCTGATTCTCGGAGGCTTCACCAGCTTGTTTATGCTGTGCTCCTCTGTCATCAAGGAGCGCTTGTACATTGGTGAAGCCACGGTCGCGACCATATGTGGCATCATATTCGGTCCTCATGCAGCCAATCTCATAGATCCTTCGACTTGGGGCAATGTCGATTTGATCACCCTAGAGTTTTCGCGCGTCGTTCTCGTCGTGCAATGTTTTGCCGTTGGTGTTGAGTTGCCTCGCGCATACATGGAGAAGCACTGGAGGTCGGTAGTCCTGCTGCTCCTGCCAGTCATGACTTTTGGCTGGCTGATAACCAGTCTGTTCATCTGGGGCCTGTTCAGCGCCCACCTCAACTGGCTCGACAGTCTCTGCATTGCTGCTTGCGTCACTGCCACCGACCCTGTCTTGGCCTCATCCGTTGTCGGTAAGGGCAAGTTTGCTAAACGAGTCCCAAAGCATTTGCGAGATTTGCTTTCTGCTGAGTCTGGCTGCAACGATGGTATGGCCTTTCCCTTCGTTTACCTGGCCATTTACCTTATCCATTACCGCCCCGACGCCAGCAAGGTTGCGTACCACTGGTTCTGTTACACCGTCCTCTACGAGTGCATCTTTGGTGCTTTCTACGGCGTGGTGATTGGCTACATTGCAAGACGTGCTATTAGATACGCTCACGAGCGCGACCTCATCGATCGCGAGAGTTTCCTTGTTTTCTACTTTGTGCTGGCGCTTTTCTGCGCTGGCTCGGGTTCACTCTTAGGCATGGATGACTTGCTCGTAGGATTTGCTTGCGGTGTAGGCTTCTCCAACGATGGATGGTTTTTGGAGAAGACGGAAGAGTCCCATGTTTCCAATGTCATTGACTTGCTCATTAACTTGGCTTTCTTTGTCTACTTCGGTTCCATCATTCCCTGGGAGCAGTTCAACTCCGACGTCATCGGACTGTCACCCTGGCGTTTGGTTGTGCTCGGCATCTTGGTACTCTTCTTCCGCCGTATCCCAATCATGCTGATGCTTAAACCCGTCATTCCGGATCTCAAGACATGGCGCGAGGCATCTTTTGCTGGACACTTTGGACCCATTGGTGTCGGTGGTTTGTTCGTTGCTATCCTTGCGCGAGCCGAGCTCGAGACCAGTACCACGACGCCGTTAGCTGTACTACCTGAACCTGGTTTCGAGCATCTAAACATCATCGAAATGATATGGCCCATTACCTGTTTCTTGGTTATTGTCAGTATCATTGTCCACGGCAGTTCGATTGCTGTCTTCACCCTGGGCAAACGTATCAACACTCTCACGATATCAATGTCGTACACACAGGGCAACGAAAACGGACCTGGCTGGATGGATCGCCTTCCCCGTATTCAATCGCGTTCAAGGTCTTCCATGGCACGTCGCCCGTCCGAGTCATCCTTTGACGAAAAGTCCGATTTTGCAGCTGCAACTGGCTTCGGTGGCTCATTTTTGCGTCGACAGAGGGAGGAAGACAACCCAAGTCGTTCAAACTCTGTTAAGCCTACGGGTCGAGGCAGGCGCTGGGATGCTAGTCATGGACCTGGCGGTCCCATTGCTCAATCTGCCATTACACCCAACAGACGTGATGAGGACAAGGTAGAGGCCATACCACCAGAACAAGATACAGACACGTTTGCCGATGCCATGGCCATTTCTAGTTCCAGTTCATCGAGCGCAAAGGAGAAGATGAAGATGCGGCAGCCTGAGGAAGAAATTTATCAGGAAGGCCATCAGACCGTCTTCGAAGATAAGGAAGGAAATGTTTTGGGCGTGAGGGATAGTCACGGCGAACATGGCCAAGTACGAAGGGAACACGATATCCAGAGAGGAGAAGACTTGATTACTCAGGCCGAGATTCAGCAGGGAGTATCTCAGAAAGAGCATGGTAGCGGACTTGAAGAAGCCCCAAGTAAGATTGAGAACGCTGTTGAGCATCCTCACAAGACATGGCGCAACCGTATGCAAAGTTTCTCAGGGCGTATGCACAAAGACGGCAAGCAAGCAGAGCCTTCGAAGGCTGATAAGCCAGCGCACAAGCCTGGGCCCGCTCTCGCGTATCAATACGGTAACACCATCATTGTTGAAGACGAAGACGGCGAGGTCTTGAAAAAGTACGACATTCCAGCTGCGCCAAAGAAGGGCAAGGATGGCCGGCCTGTGAACACCCGTGGTCAGTCTATGGCAGAATCTTCAAGCCGCGCCGTACAGAGCTTGAAGCGCATGGGAACTCACATGGGCGTCCCAAACACTCATCACGCTGGCCCTGAGGGTTCTCAAGCTACGAATGACAAGAAGAAGAAGGCGGCTGAAGCAGCTGCCAAGGAGCAGCAAGATGACGATTTGATCCGATTCACTGTTACCGCTGGCGGACGTCGCATGAGCAAGTTGGAGTTCATTCAACAAATGGCACAAATGAACCCCAAAGACAGGGCCAAATTCGTGCAAAACAGCGATGTTCCCGAGGCCGTTAAGGATGCTGCACACAAGGACGCACAGGAGCACACTGCTGAGCAGCGCCGCCAAGCAGCCTCTAAGCAAGCGAACGTGCCTGCTGTTGTAGGCAAAGAGGGTGAGGCCGAGCTCCACAAGATCGAGTCTCCCGCAGCAGACGAAGCGGGAAATGCACGGGGTCCAGAGGGCTTGACACTGGTCGACAGTAACGACGAACAGGTTCCCTTCCACGCTGTACGTCAGGATCTAGAAAATTACTCTTACGGTCAAAGCGGCGAGACAGCAGCAGAGCGTCGAAGACGGCAAGCAGCAGAGCAATCCTCAAGCCAAGGACCCAAGGACGCCGCAACCCCTACTCCTGCAACACAACAGCCCCTCATAGAAGAAGCCGGAGAAACCTTCGAAGGCGAAACAGCCGCAGAGCGCAAGCGCCGTCTCGGTGCCCTGGGTGTGGCCAAAGACGACACCCCTGAATCCGACTCTGAAGACGAAGAAACCGGCGACCCCCTAGAAACCGGCCGCGGCACCCACTCGCGCGCTGCCGCCGAACCTAGCAGTCAAAAGACGCTCTCGCCCGCTCCTCGTACCCCCGGTATCCGTTTCGCAGATCAACCCCGCGTGCCTACAAAAGACGAGCGCGTAGCCGAGGAAGCGCGTGAAAAGGAAGAAAGTGAGCGGGAGAAGAAGAACAATAAGCGTAAGAGTGGGTTGAGTAATTTGATTGGGAGGAAGTAAGACATGGGAGATGATGATATGACTAATATGCTGTGCTGTGTTGTTACATGAAGGAAGATGAGAGATGACATTTCGGTCTTCTTTTTTCCTCTTCTCTTTTTTGGATATGTATACGCATGTGTATGCTTGATCCAGGTTTAGTGTAATAGATGGAGTTTTTTTATCACGCTTCGGGCGTGTGTTTATAGCGTTTTTTCTTTTTTTTTCCGCTCGAGGCAAGAAAAAGTAGATGAAAACGTTGATGTTTCTTGTTTTTCATTTTCAAGAGATGGCTAGGTATGAATGGGGGAAAGTAGGTAAGAGAGATGGAATAGTGAAGATACTTTATGCAATGCAAAAGATTTATTATCACGTTTGTTTACTCATTACATTGTTTGAAGTGAGTTTGAATTATCATTTCAATTGCCCATGAACAGCTCGACACACAAGAGTGGCGTGCACAAATATACACTGTCTTACAAGAAAATTCATCATTTTCTTTGTCATGACAAAGTTACACGAAAATTTGTCGAATACCCCAGAATCTCCCTTTCTTGGAATCTGCTTTTTTTTATAGCAGTTTGAGCATGACGAGTTACTTGTCTGCAGCAGACGCCTTATCTCGAGTGGATCCCTTGCCCTCAGCAGGAGCCTTACCCTTGCCCTTGGTAGACTCCTTCTTCTCGGCAGCAGACGCCTTGTCATCAGCAACAGAGGGCATATAGCGACCCATAGCACCCAAATTATACGACCTCTTAACCGGAAACGTGAAGCGCTCACCAGTCTTCATATCGTACGTGATATCAAGCGGATTTGGGTTTGTGAGGGCAGCAATAGCCTGGGCGGGGGTGAACATGACGGCCATGTGGTCCAGCTGCGCAACTCGCTTTACTTCCTTTTCGGACTTCTTCTTGACTATTACCTCTTTCTTCTTGTCCTTGGGGTCCGGGTTGGACTTTTCATGCATGCCGCCAATGACGTCCTTGTCTTCGTCAGACTCTAACGTCAAGTCAATCAGCCGATACACCGGTCTCAGAGAGAATTTGATGGGAGTGGGGGTCGGTTCGGTACTGGTTGCTCGGCTGCCCGTTGACACGGTCATTGTGGGTGACGTTTCTTCATCCGTCATGGTAAGGTCGATAATCTCCTTGGGCTGGGATGGGGCCTTCTGGGATGATGGTTGTGGCTGCGGCTGCGGTTGCGTCGTCAGCTTGCTACTTTCTGAGCGGGACCGCTTCTTTCCCTTTCGGGGGCAGAGCCAGAAGGGCCAGAGCTCATGTTTGAATGATCGTTTTGACTTGACGAGGGTTGAGGTATGGCGAGACTGTGGAACTTGTAGAGGACGATGGGTACTGCGGTGTGGAGGGTTGGTTGTTGTCAAGTAAACAAGGCGGGATAAGAGAAATATTCAAGTTATTTACTGTGGGCGATGAGTGGTGAAGGGTGAATGTACCGCTTGGCCCACCTGCAAACGCTCGAGTGAAAGGCACCTGCGGTAGTGACCGCTAGTACACGATTGGACTATCATGTTGATGTTCTTCAGGGTCGCCTTCGTTTGCCTTTTTGCTTCCCTTTTTGAGACTTGGACGTCTCTGGCTGCGATGGACCATGTGCGGAAGGCTTCTGGGGAGCTTGCTGTGCAGCTTTTTTCGCCTTTGACCCTCGTTGTCGGGGCCGAGGGCCAGGTTTCGGCGGCGAGAGACGCGCTTGACCCGGCCTGTGATATTCAAAAGCCTCTTGCAGGCCAGGATGCATGTCTGTATATCTATATAGCTGACCCCCAATAGTACGCAAATACTTGTCGTCGACCTCGGTGAATCGTTTGCCGTTATTCACTCCCCAATTGAAGACATAGTCACGTGCAGAATTATGTGCCTCGAGATCGGTTCTTAGGGATTCTTCTGCAACAACGGGTTCCTCGCTTGTGGCGCTGCTCACCGTTGGCGGACGAGAGGCTGCGGACGAAGCAAGAGATATGTATGCGCCAGAATCTGGAGTAGTATCTTCCTGAAAGAGGCCGTAATGGGTACGGAGCGTCAATACACTGAGCGGGAACTGAGACAAGTACATTTCCTTGTAGACAGCGACTGCAGCAGGTACCGTGAACATGACTGTAGGCCTGGGGTTTTTCCTCCTGCCATGTGTGGGTAGATATTCCTCGATATTGATTGATATGTCTTGGGTATCCTCCAAATCCTCATCGTCGTCAAGTATGTCCGAGTCTGTCAAGCTATCGTCGTCGCTGTAGCTGTCGCTCTTTTGGGTATGTCTTTCGTCCAGGCTGTCCATGTCATAGTCTGGCCTTGCCCGATACAGCGCCTCGAAATTGTTGCCGCCGCCGCTCAGGGGTATAAAGTCCTGCTCTTCTTGGTCCCCATTGTTATTTCTGCCGCGTGCAAACCGACCGCTGCCATTGTGTTGTTGGCCGCCGCGTCCTCGTCCCCTTCCTCCACGTGCTCCTCCGCGCTCTGCTTTCCTCGCGTTGTGTATGGCTTTTTGGCGCGCTTTGTGCCGGATTGGGGGCGGTCCTTGTGGTTTTGTGGATCTGGACTTTCGATTCTCAGCTGCAGTGGCGCGCCGTCTCTGGCATGGGCGCGGCATGGCTGCAGCGAGGGTTTGGGTGCGAATTTCTGGTTGCAGTTGTGCGATAGACGTCAGACTTTACGACGCTCGGCCCCTCCCAAACTGGGATTCTGAGATTGCTCGCTTTGTCCTGGCGCACATCCATGTACAGCGCGACCATGATGCAGATCTCACCAGCAATGATAATTTTATATTGAAAACAATGGCTCATAGATTTTTGTTTGTTGGGATCCCTATTCGTGAGTAACTATCATTTTAGTGACACTTCTAGATCCTGTCTTGTGCCATTAACTCACTCTACCTTTACCAATTGCAAATGCACGAATTATGCATAATACACTAGCTCTATGCATTATCAAAGGAAATCGTGACCCTTAGGTCGCTGCTGGCCCTCTAATTCTCGAGAATGGTGAGGACAAACAACTGCTATATACACATAACTCAATTTCACGTGGAACGAGTAACTTTTCTCACCTTGAACATAAACACCACAAAACTCTTATGCACCCAGCTATGTTAATTCACAAAGCAATCTGCCTCACCTGCCGTCTAAGCCACACATCTAGGATTCTGCTCGGGGGGTCTTTCATTTCGCCATCCCAGCACCCCCAAGACACTCATCTTCCTTCAAGTCCCACCCAAACCCGCGCCGCACTTATCCAAATTTTCTGAATCCTATGCGAATATGGGAAACCCCCCCACTTATTGTCGTTGCCTGCGGCTCTGCGACCCTTTTCATTGCACAGAGCGGACAAGGCAGACCCGTTTATTTAGCGCCCGCATGTATTTTACCCGATACCCGCGCCGCAACCCCGCATGTTGCAACCGCCGCACAACCGCATCGGGCGAGTAAAGGAAGTAATCCGAGTGATAGAAATAGGGTCCTGATGAGATGATCAATCCGGTTGCTGGGGTTAGGGGCGCGAAAGGAAGCGGCGCGGTTGGGGGTTGAAAAGGTTAAGATGGGTGCTGAAGGAGCGAGAGAGGAAAAGGTACTTGCTACTTGCTTTACTACCAATTACGCTCTATTACTGCTGCTGGAGTCGCATTCACGTCTCACTCCAAGCTTAATACTTATCTGTTTCATCCTTTACTAAAGCGGCCGTCTCCCTTCCACCCTTCTATACCAACAAAATCCAAACCAGTCGCACGAATCGACATAGTACCCATATTATCACCACCATGCACACCACCACCCTCATCACCCTCTTCCTCACCACGCTCACAACCGCCCACCTCCTCCCCCCACAACCCCCCCACCCCTACATCCTCCCTCGCGCTGCCCCATCAATCCAAGACCAATGCACCTTCACCCTCTACCACAAACAAATCTCCGCCAACCCCCGCAAAAACTACATCTACCTCCCCACCCTCACCGATCATGCAAACAACATCGTCATCGACATCGCAGCCACGCGACCGGCGCAGGAACGTAATTCGTACACAAGGCTGTCGGTGACGCGGAAGTATGCTGTCAAAGGGTTGTTGGGTGGTGAGACGTTGACAATTAGTGCGCGGGACGGTGGTGATGGTTTGGGGTTTGAGATGGGAGATTTGAGGTGGGAAGCTGAGGGGAAAGAGGGAGGTGTTGAGGAGATGGAGGGAGAGGTGGGGTGTCGGGTAGGGGAGTGGGTGGAGAGTGGGTTGATTAATAGAGTGAGTTTTTTTTTCCTGTTTATTTTCTTCATGATATGTTTGGGGAGGAGTTGACTAATACGATGATAGGAACGGAAGCTTGAGTGTGCATTTCCTTGCGGGAAGATTGATGAGGCAGAGGAGGAGGAGGAGGAGGAGGAGGAGGAGAGGGAGGAGTTGAAGTAGGTTATGGGATCGAGTGCAATGGAGATTCGAGGTTTCAGGTTTTGGTCACTCGAGAGATCAGTGTGTGGTCGGAATTGTAAGATATGATATTGTAAATATCGCAGAAAAGCGACAGAGAGGTTCTATTCTATTCTTAATTCTTTCCAAAAAAAACCGCCATAAGCATTCTGCCTCATCCCAAATACCAAAAAAACCCTAGTCGTAAACCCATTCATCTATTCCCGAAAGTCCAAACATCCCTCTCCTGCCCAATCCACCGCACAACCTTCTCCTCACACACAATCCTCTCCCCACACTTCCCGCAAACCCCCTTCGCACAACTACACCTCTCCTCCACCTCCACCACATCCTCCTCAATCGGCCTCATCATCTGCCCCTCCAACCACACCGCAAATTCCCCCTTCGCACACCCCGTCACCCTCGCAACCCTAACCCCCCTTATCCCGGCAAAAAGCCGTAAAACCCCATCGTCACACCCATCGAACATACTCTGCCACGCATGAATCTCCAGATACTCGGCGCCGCTAAATGCAGCCGTCGCTTGCTTCTCTGTAAACCGTGGGTCGGTATCCAGGCGCACGGATAAGTACCAGCGCCGGATCTTGGCGATCGCAGAGGCGTCGAGGAGGGGTTTCCACGGGGAGACGAGGTGGGGGAGGGATGTTAGGAGGGAAGGGTGGGCTTGGAAGATGTGAGTTGAGTAGAGGAGATCCTGGGCTTCTTGGTGGATGCGCTTGCAGGTGGCGAGGATGGCTGGGTAGATGGGTTGGGGCGCGTGGCTGCGCTGTTGCGAGTACTCAACCAGGGAGTTGGAGTTTGGGGTGTTGGCGCAGAGGAGGTAGTCGTAGATTTGGTTGCGGAGTTCGGCGGGGAGGAGGAAGAAGATGGATTGTTTTTGGGAGGCTGTGGGGAGCCGTTTTGAGGGTGTGGTGGGGTGATGTGTTTGTTCTCCTGCTGGTAATGTGGGCAGAGGAGATGTGGTGGTTGATATGGCGTTATCGCTCATGTGGGTGTTGGGCACGTTGAAGTGCGCGGCAAAGTAATATGCCATTGACATGTTGTCGTTCAGTGCTTTTTCTTGCTTTTGGTTTATTGAGACCGTTGCTCTTCTCTCAATTCAGTTGTTGAATTGTTTTCTGGAAATCGTTCGTCTCAAGTCGTAATCGTGGTGGTTGTAAATCGAGCGATGCCCTCTCCTATTAGATGTGTAGGCAGGCAAATAGTTAATCGTATGTCTGACTGTAATGTTGTCTGGTTGCTGATGAATTAAATTAAACCACTGGCAGCCCTACCTGCCTTATAAGTAGAGGCTCTGGAAAAAGCTAGAGCCGCAATCACGTTGTTGGGCAGGTGAACGCGACTCACCGACCTGTGGTCTCACTACGAAATCATCCGCGCCAGCGATAAGAACGTCGGGGCGGAACGGATCGCCCACTAGGATGCGTGAAGGTCGCGCCACCAAGGCTGAGCTGAGCGGTCACTCCACCGCCCCTTGTTACATGCGCTGTCTTTACCTCACGAGCAGCGCAGCATGGTGCATCATAATTTCTTTTTGGAGCATACCAGTTATTTCAAAGCTGTTCTTTGACGTGTGACAACGCTGTTCGTTTGATCTGCCAGTCTTGATAATAGCCGGCGCTTGATCGACATGCGGGGTCACTGGTCGTTCGCCCAACTTCCCTTCTCGGGCTCATGGTTGAGAGTTTGCTTCTTTTCGTCAATAGCAAGCTCACCCATAATGAAATTGGAGTTGTTGAATATAACCCACTTCATGGTTACGAAATGTGTGGTATGGTGGTGTGATCCGCAGCTGACGATGATCAACTACGTAGGTACGCACGGTGCAGTGGCCCAACAAGAAGCATGATTCTCGCATTTTACTCGGACTTGAGCAACTTGTCCAACGTTACAACTACTACAACCCTTGTCGCTCCCTGCTACTTCCCGATATCTCTGTTGTACAGTAGGCATCTCTCTCATAAGTCGTTACATTTTGTAATTCGCCGTATTAACGTGTCCCAACGGATATTTGGCGAAATAGGCCTCGATCTTCCATATCATCCACCGCATAACTAGACTCATAATTCTGATTCGATCCCAACCCTGTATCTCAGAAAATGCCCATGATACCGACACCGACCATAGCAGCGACGCCCTTAGCCCACCCCGAGTCGTGTGTAGGAGCAGCAGCCACCACTTCTACGACGGTCTGAGTCTGACCAGTCTTGCCTGTCAAGGTCCCCATACCGATCTCTCCTCTGCCCGGAGCTGGAGCCACGGATCTTTGCGGCTTGAAGTCAATAGAAATAGTGTGGGGCCACCAAGTCGAATAGGTACCGCCAACGAATGTCTCGACCCACTGCACAGTGACGAAGGGCATATTGCTAAACGACGTCATTGCATGTGTAACACTGGTACTCGTTGTTCTAGATGAAACCGAAGAAGTAGGCGCGGGCGCGGGTGCGGGCGGAACAGGATTGACCACAGGATTGACAATCGGAGGCGGAGGCACTACAGCAGCAGGCCCCACCCGGGCTACAAGCGCATATTCGAGAGAATTGCTTGCTGGTGTGTTGACTGGGGTTAGGATAGCTGGTTCGACTGTTGTAGTACTTGTAATTGACAGTGTGGGAACAGCAACTACTAGTCCCTGGGCAGGCGGGTCCTCGGTTGGAGCGACGGCAGGTACTCGATGGATTCTATACTATGTGAGCAGGTTTTAATCGTCAGTGTATGAGTACGGAGCTACCCAGAGCTGCATATTTCTGATGTTGGAGTCACTGCTGGAGTGAAGCTGGATGCTGAATTCGCTCTTGCCATGAGTGTAGTCTCCGCATCTCGCAGGTATCCAGACACCGGAGGGAGCGTGCATGCAACCAAAGCTGGCAGCAGAAGCATTGAGATGATATGACCTCGCATCTTGTTCGAGATAGAGTGGTTCAAAATGGCTGAAAGTGCTTTCTGTGGTGATCTTGGATGGTGTCGTGTGTGGAGGCTCAAGATCCCAGCGGAGTCCTTACTTCAACAAAGACTCCGCAGCAGAAATAAGCTATTAGCGAAGACTCATCGATGGATCGCAAGGCTCTGATGAAACTTCGGAAGAGACCAGATTCTAGGCAACCTCTACTAGCCAGCCTTGTGAAACGCCACACCCGTGATTAGAGTAGCACGACTCGTAGAAAAGAACTATGAGGTGCAACGAGAGACGAGATAAGAAAGTGGGTGAGCCAAAAAGCAAACGCCAAAACGAAAGTGGGTGCAGAGGGAAAACCGACGTGAAGTGAATGTGAGACTGTAGAGATTCAAGGGGTTAGAAAAGATTGTGTACGGTGTTGATATTGATGACAAAGCCTGGCAAACGGAAGTGACGGTGCTGTAAATCATCAGTGGGAAGCGACGGTGCATGTATAGCAATTGAGGGCCAGTTTCGAATGGGGTATCCTGACTTCCTCCATCTACTCTGGAAACCACATCCCTTAGTAACTGATTACATCATGTTATTGTTCTGCACTTTGTCGTCCGACGAGCTCCAATCCTTGAGTTGACTCGCCAAAGAGGAGAGAGGCAGATGGAGACGTGCAAACGTGGTCTCTACTGTAACCCCGCCTTCTAAGTCGAGATAAGGAGGATGTGATGTTGGAGTAATGTCAGCGGTTTATAGAAATCACAATTCAACTTTCATATCCCAGCTCTCTGCTCATCTGCAAAGCCCGAAAAATAAGCCTTTTCTTCCCCACTCTGTCACCCCTAAACAAGCTAAGCGCACATCTTGGCAAAGGCTTAGCACACTCCAAATCCGGCAACTGGGCGCGTTGAGCCAGCGCTGGAGAAAAAAAAGCAGAATAGAATAGAGACGGGGCCAGAACCCTTTTTCTGTTTCTGTTCAAGGAGGGAGGCAACAAAGTTCATGCATGCCGCACTGACACTTTCTAAAACTTATGTCTGTCAACTCGGATAAAAAGTCACAATTTGGTATAGCTTCGGAACTGGTAATGGTACGAGTTCGTCACTCAGCCTTCAAATAGCGGCGAAAGAAGAGCGAGAGAAAGGAAGAGAGCAGCATAAAAAAAAGGGAAGAAAGAAAGCATTATCGGAATCAAAACTCAGCCCAAAAACAATAGGGCATTCTCTCGTTATTCCCCGCTTCCATCTCCATCACAACAAAACACGCGGATAGGTTCTGTAGGTAATACGCGAACCCCAGCGCTAAAGTACATCCGTCCTTCTGAAGAAAACAAAGTAATAAAGCGCAAAAAATAAAATAAAATATTATGTTATTCGGCTTTCTTCGGTGCACTGCAAAGAAAGAAATGCAAGAGAGCCATACGTGTGTGTGTGTGTGTGTGTGTGTGTGTGTGTGTGTGTGTGTGTGTGTGCACACGTCTGCTCGCAAACCCTAGTTCGTTCACGTCCCTCTCCCTCGGTACGCGAGACAAAAAATAGAAACATTCTAGTCGGAGTGGAATAAAGAAAAAGAAAAATGCGCAAATCCGGATATAGTTACCCTAGGGAAGGAATGAAGGCATTGGCCCACGCAAACATCACCCGCCCGTCCATCCGTGCTTCCGTGGCTATGTACTCGGGCTTTATGCGAGCTCGGAAGTATTCTTTTGGGTAAAGCCGCGATGAGGGAGGGGCGAAGAGAGGTTCCGCGGAATAATATATAGATTAGGATATACGAGATAATCCACATCATTGCAGATATACATGTCTTTGCCTCAGCTACTCACAGGTCCCGCAATCACAACAAACACAAACCTTTCCAGCCAATCCTTCAAAACGGGGCTTTTTTTTTCAGGCGAATGCGGGTGCCCTGGGCTCAAAGCGCAAGCCAGGCTGTCCTGTCCTGTCAGTCAGTCAGCCAGCCCGATATCTGTGCGTCTTTCGAACTAGCGTCAGCCACGCCCGGGTTCCGTCATGTGCCGGGCTCACTAAGCGTACTACTCCAGGGGCCGTGCCTGCAAAAATAGGCGACATTGCACTCTCTTTGTCGGCGCGTCATCAGACTATTTTGTTGTTGTGTGCTGACGGGCCTAATTCCTAGGTCCTAAAGTAGTACAGGCTAACAGATGGGCCGATCTGTCACCCGAGACATGCGGCCTTAAGGAGTGTCTTCGCTGCTGTATTTTTGAGCCTCATTCTCGCCAGATCAAGTGGCTTGCACGCTTCTGACTAGTCGGCTGACACTAGTCCTCTCGTGTATGTAAGGTACACACGAGAGCGAGACTAAGCCCAGGTAGTGGTGTGCCGCGGACGCAAAAGTAAAAGAGGCTGTTCAGAAAACATTGATTTTGCCAGTGGCGTTGAAGCGACACGAAGAAATGGAAGTGATAATGGTAATTGGTGGTAAGTTTGATTGTGCGCAAGTGACTAAGCTGGTATCTTCTAATGCCGATTCGGATGGGGATTCCAGTCCAATACAAAATAGTAGCAAGACTAAAGACAATACGAGGTCGAGATCATGTACAGGAAGCGCTGGTGGTGCGTGTGAGGGCTGACGTGCAGAATGCCTTCCGATTAAGAACGGGGGCGACGCGGTACCATTCCAAACAGGATGACAGGGGTAGTAATCCAAACTGCTTTGGCCGTGCTAGACAAAACAGAACAAGCTTGGAGCTGACTGCAGAGGCCTGATTGTAAAGAACAAGGGTATATACAAGAAAAGAAAGCGTGCAAAGAAGCACATCAAGGCCGTGCCAAGCTGTAACTATGTTGGAGAAGGAGTAAAGTAAATGGAGCAATCAGAATTTGCGTGTCGTAGCGACCGAGTTAAAGATATATGTGCTTCAAGCTGGAATAGCCGGAATTATGACAAAACGCCGTAAATGTCTGGGGGGAAGGTGATCGTATACTCATAAAACGAGTCCCGAGTCCATGACAAGCTCGCGGGACAAACGACTGTCTTTGCGATGGATGGAAAGAAAAGCGAGAAAAGCGGACAGTTTTTTTTTCTTTTGCAAAGGCTGTAGCGGGTCTCGGGCGGCTACCATGCCATGGCTAAGCTGAGCAGGGAGATGATTGATGGAATGACGATTGATGATAGCGGGGCGCCAAATATGCTGGTCGCTGCGTTCTTGTACGTTGTCTGGCCAGGTGTCATGTCGCCCTTGGGGTCTGTCGAGAAGAAGTACGTCTTGGCCGCTTCGGCGCCTTGACTTGGGTCCGGTGCGCTCATTTGGTTGGGAATGGCACAGACCTTGGCCGGGTCGAATGTAGGACAGCGCTTCTTGTAATCGTTTTGCGATCGCTCGGTATCAGTTGAGTTGAAGTAGGCCTTGAGGTAGGAGATTGTCATGACAGTGTCTCGGTCGGGTGGTCCAGCAGACCATGATGGGTCGCCATTGCTCCAGTGGTTGAAGAAGATGCTGCCGCCTTCCTGGGGAACGTTTTCGGTCATTCGGTGGAGGAGTTGGCCATCAACAAAAAACTCGACACTACCAGAGGTCCAGTCAAAGCGGTACTCGTGGAACTTTTCGTCTGGGCGGAATGGAAGTTGCTTGACTACGAAGCCGTTTGTTCCCTGGGCAGCGAAGCCGTTGGTGACGGATTGGGGGCTTTGGAGAACCAGGTTTACGGCGCCTTGGGATTCATTGAATTGATGCGAGAGGAATTCCATGTCGATTTCTTGCGAGTTGTTGTGGTACTGCGACTATTAGCCAGGGGACATGGTTTGTGGGGGCGCGTCATGGCAGCGTACAAAGAAGAATGCGCCGCAAGTTCCAGACGAGTTGGACAACTTCATGCCAACACGGTAGCTGCCGAGTAGCGTGTCGTTGCGTATGCTAACAAACTCGGCACCGCTCACAAGGCCGTTTTCGTGGTTGCCGCGAACCCACAGCTGGAGTCCGGCATCTCCGCCGTTCTCGGCATCTCCCGCCCATGCCTTGTCGTCTTTGAGAGGGTTGGAGAGAACATTGCCCACTTCCATGGCCTTGCCGAAGGGGCCTCTGGCGGTTTGCGCGGTCATATTGTACTCCTGCGGTCTCCAGCCTACGGTGGAGAATTTGTCGGTCGTTGTGTGGAGAAAGTCATTTTCAAGCAGCTCAGTGAAGACGGCATAAGAAGGGTCGCTGGTCGAGTTGACTGAGTATCCGCACTCGCAGGCGGCATTTGCTGCATAAAAAACTCGTGGTTAGCGCTCGCGCGCGCCAAAGGGCAAAGTGGCGTGAAGACGGGAGGTAGACTTACAGAAGCGAGAGAGAGCGAGTATTAGCAGGGCGGGCAAGGCGCCCCACGAGTTGTGTAGGAGCATGGCGGCGGCAGAGAAATTATATTAGAGCGGATAGTCGGCAGGTTGGTGAAAGCTCTTAAACAGACCAGAAAAAGAAACGAGGGAGAGTAAAGAGCGTGGGTCGGTGAGTAGGGTGGTGTTGGCCGGAACAAAAGTAAAAAGAGCGTGAGGTAGTGGAAAGAGTGGCAGGGCTGGGCAGACAAGACGGAGCAGGGCAGAGCAAAGAAGGACGGCAGGGGGGAGAAGAGGGCTGATGATGAACTGCTGGGTTGGCCGTAGGGAAGCTGGAAATGCCCCCGGGCGTGCATGCCCAAAGCAGAAAGCACAAAATGCAGAACACGACTCCAGCCGGCCTGGGCACTGTCCGTTGGTGTCGCTCCCAGGGATCGCCCGTTAATGGGACCGAGATGATAAATGAACAAGACACTCGGCCCAAGACGCGCAGTGGGGAACCGGCCATGGCAACCTCCAATCGGCCAGGGCGGCCTGGTGCATCGTCCTGTCGCGTGCTGCTATCACTCTGCACACGACTCGATGCTAGTACTGGCACGCTGGTGTTATAGCACGAGCATAGCAGACTGCTAGTAGTGTACTCAGCTTAGCAGGTTGGCCCATGGCCCTGCTATGCCCTGCCATACGTCCATGCCCATGGCTTGGTCGACATGGCGTCTGGCCTAGTCTCTCGTCTCGTCCTCTGTCTGCCATGCGCCATGCACCCACTCGAATCCTTCCCGTCTCTAGCTGTCCCAGACGCCATCCTTCACAAAAAAGCGAACGAATCACCAGGCCATCTCCAAGCCTCTGCCGTTCCCTTGGCCTGTCCGCGGGAAATTGCCCACTGGCTCAAGCAACATGCGCAAAGCAAACAGGGGCCCTAGCGCACTTTTTTTTCCTTGTCCGACCCCATCATCACCTATGTCGTCTTTTCCTTGCCTGTGTGTGGAGAGAGAGAGAAAGCAGCGACAAAGACGTGCAGTCACACACACATACACACATAACATCTGCTTTTGCCATGCACGTAAGCGTCTGTGTACGACTTGGAACCACCGTTTCCTCGTACCCTTCTAGTTTGCCCCCCCTATTTGGTCTCGGCCACAGCAACAGCAATAACACCAGCCTCGTATCCCACAAACTGGGCTGCATCCTATTTCAACCCGCCCAGCACTTCCATTGGCCTGAACCTCGACGTTGTTATGTCATAGTTCTCGGCACCATGCGCACATACCGCCCCTGCCCATTC